GGCATTGAAATGTCAACATGATATGCAAAATCTTTCTGGACTTTCTCTAGGTATCTGATGTGGGCATGACATTTAATAGTGTAGGGGGTCTCAGTATTGTTTTCTAAAATAGTGAATGGGAGGTTAGCCTGCATTACTTGAATATAATATGTTAAAGTAGAGCATTGGGGGTGAAAAATATAGTCTCTATCTGTTGGTAGTGGTTGTTGATTCCAGATTCTAATTGATAGTTCAATTCAAGAATGTGATGGAATGTTCACAGTTAAGATGGTGTACAACATTTGTTTTGACTGATGATTGAATTTTGGGATGATGGTCAGTCATGTGTGGGCATTATCTGCCCTTGCAAATATTGCATGCTGTTGAAGGAAATCAAGAATAATGTCTTCTGGTGTGAGATTGTTGACTTCAATGAGTATATTAACTGAAAGAGTGTCAACAACTTTGGTGATTATCATGATGCAAATGATGATTTTATCATCATTTGAGTTGAAATCAGAAAAGTGTAGTGAGAAGCATGCTGAGGCATGAAATATCAAGTTCTCATCAATTCCACTAATGGACAAAGATGTTACATCTTGAATAATTATTGTCAGATTCTGGTCCTGAAGAAATTTACAGTTAACTAACATAGAGTTGCAGTCTGAGTCAAGATAACAGATTGCTAGGTTGACAGTGTTCTTGATGTAATCTTGCACTGTGGCATGTTTTCAGTGATGGAAGTTTCATTGTGTGTCTGGGACAAGCTCAATGTGTTGTGATGCAACAATATTCTGTTCAGGACTAGTGAGATAAGCTGATGACTTACATGTATAAAGATGTTGAAAAAGCTGATTTTGTGAAGGGAAGACTTCTTCACAATGATAGCAGATAGTGTAAGAATCAGCATTCATTTCTTTCATGTTAGATTCTGAAGATATGTTGTCTTCAGAGACAATTGAGTTTTCTTCTGATTCATATGGATAATTTTCATCAACATTTGTTGAGTCTGAATCTGTTATATATGCTTGTTGTGGTCCTACTGTATTATGGGATGCAGATGGTGGACTTTGTTCAGTTGACTTGGGCTGGAATTTTTGGGACTGATTGTTTGACTGCATTCTCCATGATTGATTATTCTGTGAACAACTGAACTGTCCATAGAATCAATCTGCAGTATACTGACATCTTGTATTTGATGTCTGGAATGTGATGACTCTGTATGAAGAGTGGTATGTGAATGTTATGTTATATTGATCAAATCAATTGACTTCTTTATGAGTCAGCAGTTCATGAAAGATGTCCATTGTTGTGCCTTCTAGTGATTCATCTATTATAACTCATAGAGAAGTTTCAAGATAACATCATGCATGCAGTACAACTGCAAATTCTGAAGTGACTAGTTCACATTGATGAACTGCTGTTATGATATCAGTGAGATAGAATGCTGTTGACTTGCTGTTGTGAGCATCTACAACTGTATAGTGAATGCTATTGAATTTAGATTGTGCTTGTGCTGATGATATCTGAAAATATTTTTCAAGAGCAAAGCATCAATTCTGAATGCCAACTGAATCATGAGCAAGAGCTTTGCATGCTAGATCATTTAATTCAACTGTTCATCAGATCATGACATTTTTATGAAGACATGAGTGCAATTCAGCATCTATCTGCAGTGGATCTTTAATGGCAGCTGCAGTCTTAATTCTGATGATAAAAAGATATATATCTTTAATTCAGGTCTTTTCTTCTCAGTCTGCAATGTCTCAGCCCCAATGGTGTGGCATATTCAGGTAGAAATAGCCAATATCAGTGATTTTCCAGCTTTGCTGGGGTGTGTGATTGCTTGTAGTAGAATGTTGGGCTGGTAAAACTGCTGTTGAAAGAGAAGTAGTTGGTTCTCTGTGTAAGACTGCTAATTCTGAATGTATAATTGTATGCATATTTGCTGTAACTGCATCTATGATCTGTTGCATATTTATGTCATTTGTATGAGATGCACATTTTCTCAGAGCTTTAATTGATGATCCTGAAGAGTTGTCAGCATTTGAATCTTTGGAGAACATGATTGTAATAGATTGTTGAATGATTATGAATTGTTGATTCACTGTAGTTGTCTGATCTGAAGATGAATCTTCATATGTTGTTGGGGTGGGTAGTTTCTGCTGCATTTGATTGAAAGTTGTTGATGGAACATCATTTGAATTACCACTTTCAGATGAAAGATCTATGATCAAGTTACTTGAAAGATTGCTTGAGAATCTGTCCAACATGACTTGCTTGCTTGATAGTGATGCTCTATAGAAAGTTAGCTTTGTAACTATCATTGTGTTCTGAATGAATTTGTGAATTGCTGTTCTGATTATAGATGAGTCCAGATTTCAATCTGTGGGGTAAAATATGTCAGAGAACTCTGATTCTGATTGAGTCAGTCATAAACTGTTCAGTGGGAGCACTTTTGAATTCTCTTTTGATATACAAGATTGATAAATGTTAGAGATTTGACTTTGTGATAATGGTATTCCATTATTCTTGATGATGAATTCTGCTAAATGCTGGGTGCTGAGTGAAATTACTTGAGAGCTAGGGTTACTTCAGCTATAGTTAAGTATGTATTTAGCTATTTGCAATACAGACTTCAGGAGAGACTCAATAATTGATTTGGTTTCATTTGCTGATTCCATTATTTCAGGGAATTTAGTTATTTAGTCATTAAATATGTTTAGAGTTTGTGTGTAATTTAGCAAGGAATTTTAAAATTTTGGGCTGCTCTCAGAGTCCCTGATCAAGCAAGACATGCTACCAGTTTGTTATCTGGTCTATAAGAGCTATGGAATGTCTGTGCAATTTTGGTTGAGTAGTAGAAGATGTCTTGTTCTTGTTCCCTCAAGCTTCAATGATAAGCTCAAGGATGACTAATTACTAACTAATCTACTTCAGTAAGTATGTACAGAAGATTTCATGTCACTCTCTTTCATGCTTAGATTTCTTCATAACCACCTCTCACCCAATCTGATCTCATTTATGAAGACTGTAAGCCATTGCCACATTATCTGCAACCACCCAATCCTCACAACTTGTTTTTCACAGAGATCTTGATATCAATAATAAACATGACATCTATGTCACTACTCTCACTGTGTGAATATTTTGCCTTTTAATGACTATAACAGCTTATTTTGAAATGAAGATCTTTCAGATTGATGCTGTTAATGCATTCATTAATGCTTCATTTAATAAATCTGTTTATTGCAGATCTGCAGAAAGTTACAGTAAGAAAAGAAATGTTTGAAGAATTCTACAAGTCTTATACAGTCATTTCAAATCTTCATGACTTTGATACAAAGATTTCACTTCAACACTCTGAGAACTAAAATTTCATCAGATTTATGAAGAATTATGTCTGTTTGTTGATAAGAATATTATTATCTTCTTTCATGTGAATGACATAGTATTTTTATATCACAGAAAGAATGTTGAAACATTTGAGCAGTTATTGAAGAATCTATGAACATGTTATAAACTTTGAGAAATTGAAGAGCTAGAGTGATTTCTAGATATTCATGTCTTATATAATAGAGATGCTCAGAAGCTTTGACTGTGTCAGAATAGTTATATTGAGAAGATTGCTAATAAGTTCAATCTTATAAAGTTGAAGTCATCACATACATCAATGATAACTGTGAATATAGCTTCTTATATGAGAGCACAGAATGCACAATAAATATATGTCTATCAACAGAAGATTAATTTAACTCTCTACACTGCTATTATAACATGATCTGATATTTCATTTGCTACTGCAAAATTAAGTGAGACTTTGATTAATTCAGAATCGGAACATCATACAGTAATTGAGAGAGTTATCTTATATGCTTTTTCAATAAAGTATTATGCTCTTGAATTCTGTACTGAGAAGAAGTTGAATACTCAGAATAATAATAATATTAATGACATCATGAACACTTATTTAATAATTATCAGTAATTCTTCTTTTGCAGACAATTTAAACTCTAGATACTTCTTTCAGAACTTTATATTTAAGTTCTTTAAAAACTTAATTGATTGAAAATTCTTCAGACAAAAGATCATTACAATGTCTTCAATGAAAGCTGAGCTTTTAGTACTATTCTATACAGTAAAAAAGACCATGTGGTGAAAACACTTATTTAAGAATATTACATTGAAATTAGAAAGAGATTTTAATATTTTATGTGATAATTTACAGATGATTCATTTACTGATTTTAGCAGCTTCACAACTAATTATTAAGCTTCATCACATTGATATTCATCATCACTGATTACAGCAAGCAGTTACTAATAAGAAATTGAATATTAGCTGAATTAAAAGTAATAATATGTCTGCAGATGACTTAACAAAGATCTTATCTAGACAGAAATTTGAAAAATTTATTAAGCAATTAAGATTTATGAATATTGATTATTTAATAGAGAGAGATTCATCATCTACACTGCTGTCAAAACTACAGAGATGTGTTGAGTAGAAGTCAAATGACTTATTAAATGATCAGATCTTCAAAGAAGAAATTAGAGAACTATAGATTTATCATCTTTTCTTTTTGATCACAGTACTGATTTTATTATCTTTGTCTATCAGACTGACAGAGATTTACTAGAGATTTTTCATATGTTTTTCCTGTAGTCTCAGTTATAGCATGTTCATCTATAAGTATCTGTGTCTTGTTCATTAGGAGCAAGACCAGATGCAATATTATAGATGCTCAGTCACATGATCATCACGTGCTCCTGTGTCGTCCGATAAGTTAAGCAGGCCGGTTCACATCCAAACACAGCAAACATCCAGCTTTCCGAGCATCCAACGGCCCAAAACTCCAAATCCATCAAGCTTCCACGATCTCGCCCCAAATCAGCGCCAACAGCGCGAATGCAAGTCCATTGTCTATCATGTCTAACATACATACATAAATACATACATCACGTTGTACCTTGCCTCGTATCCTGCCGTTATGGCCTGACAGTGTTGTTTATTTTGCTCACAAACGGGTCGTTTTGCCAATCCGTCGTCCTCTCATACTCCATCCAGTCTGCAACCTGCTTCCCGATAATGGTCCCGTATACCGAATCAATGAATGCTAAGGTCACATCGATTCCCGCAGACACTCCAGACGATGTCCAGACGTTGCCGTCCACCACCCACCGCGCCTCCTGGACCCACTTCACTTTGGGTCCAGTTTTGACAACGTTGTTCCAAGACTGCTTATTTGTTGTCGCTGAGCGGTTATCCAGAACGCCAGCCCTAGCAAGGAGCTGTGCTCCAGTACAAACACTTATGATATACCTCAGCTTTGGGTATGTTTCCTTGATAAATTGAATTGCAGGGACGATATCGGGGGCGAGAGTTCCGATTCCGCCAGGTACGAACAGCACCTCCAAGTTCTCCGGGGCAGTCGAGAAGGTATGCGTCGGGACAACTGATTCGCCAAAGGTGGAATTAAACTTGTTCATAAGCTTGGAGCGCGACTTGGTGGACACAGGGTCCAGACTCGCGGCGATCAGCGACAGATTCAGAGTGCGAGTTGCTGCTAAAAGGTTTAGGGCGTCGAGGGGGCCAAAGACATCGAGGGCCTGAAAGCTAGGGAAAAGGAGCATTCCAAAATACATCGGCGGCTGGCTGCTGGCATGCGCGGCACCCCTCGCCACGAAAGAGCTTGCCGCGAGCAGCGTGGCTCCGAGGAAACTAGAGAGTTGCATGGTGAAGTAGACTCCAGGGAGCTCAGATAATAGCGCATGATATTAGCTTGTGAGGGGAGGCGAGGGGACTTATATATACACCTCTGCGGGTGTGGCCGTATGTTTCCGGCTCATTGGCGGGCGGGCGAAACAAACGAGAGGAAAACCCAAGTCGCCCGCAAACCGTAGTGCCTCCTCTGGTCTCCATGGATGTTGCGCCCCGATGCGGCCCGCCCAGGTCAGCCTGTATTATTGGTGACTGCATGCGGCGTTTGACAGCTGCGACGCGCGAGCCAAGAAGGCGCGCAGATTTGAGGGAGATGCAATATTAATATCTGCTTAGCTACCTAGTTAGTTGAATAACGGCATGCCACGGATCGCAGACCCAGACCGGTTCCGGTCTTCGCCTCGGCAGCACCTAATAAATGCCCAGCCGCTTGCCGTTGGCTCAAAGTCCGCTCAAACAGACTCGTCGGCGTTGACTAACTAGTTAGGTATGTAGCTCGCCGGCATTTGGTAGACAAGCTAACTAACTAACTGACTACATAGGAACCGAACCTGCCCATTCCACCCACCCTTCTGCCGATCCCATGTTCGCTTCCTGGCTGTATACGAAGGGGTCACCGATCCCAAGAGATGCTGCTCCACCGCATGCTCGCTGCCTGCTGCCCAAACCAAGCAGAGGCGAATGTTCCGCGAACAAGCAGTCGTAAAGGTTCGGCGAAAAGTGCCGTCTTTGTCTACAGCTAGTTAAGTTACACGGTCATTTGGCTCCTGGACGCACGCGAGGGGAGTCCAGCGGTGGGACTGCAGCTTTGAAGCGGGCCAGAGAGCCCAGCAGCCGTCCTTATATCAACGGAATTGCCCGGGCAAGTCAGCAGAGGGTGTCTGGGATATTGGCAGCATGTTCCCGTGCGTGATCTCTCTCTCCCTCTCTCTCTCTGCATCTGCACTTTGCACTTCTTGCGAGCATGTTTCCCAGTAGCGTTTCTTGCCAATGCTGCGCTGACGGGAATAAAGCATCGACCGACAACGAGAACGAGGAACTTTTACGGAGTAATTAGCTAGTTAGCACTCTGTAAGATCGCCGCACGAGAGTTGAATGTTCTTCTGCAAAAAATGCCACCGTAAGGCTTATATGTAACCCAAACTATTCTTCATACAAAAGCACGCCAAATACACTCCGCAAGAAGAGCGCCGCCCATATCGGGACCTATCAACTCTGTGGTTGAACAAAATACAACGCTACCTCCTCTATTACCGGCCGCTTAAATACACTGCGACCAAACTGCATAAATGGCCGAAAAGACAACCAATATACATCACCTAGCTTTCCTAATGAGATGATACCTCTAGTTTTATCGTCGGCGCCAGATTCCCGCCGATCCTGCGATTCGCCTCCTCTCTCTCCTTCCCTGACACCAGTTCGTCTGGCTTACGCATGTCTGGAGTATACTGCGCGACGTGCGGGCTGTGACCGATAGACATGCCGACGCGAATCTAATGAGTGTCAGCCTAGAATTCTTCAAAGCAGCGAAAAGAAAGCGATGCATACCAACGTCTCCAGAGCGCCTTTGGAATTGTCGGTCAGGTCACTATCGAAGTTCATACGCCCTGGTTCAAAAAGAACTAAAATGGTACTGCCCCCAAATTTGAAGTAGCCCAACTCCTCTGCTCGAGTAACCCTTTCCCCGGCCTGTCGCGTGATCACTGTGCTGCCCACCATCATTGCCCCAACGCAAATAACCATGACCCGTCCGTGTGCGATGGAGTTAATCGGGACAAGAATGCGAATATTTTCCCCATACACGTCAAGTGCAGAGCGAATAGCCATCGGGTTCACTGTATAATACTCGCCTTCGATAGTTTTAGGCACGTCCATAACGCCATCCACCGGTATATGGAAACGATGGTAGTCTTGGGGTGCCAATCGAAAAATTCCCAGAGCACCGCCTTTGTACCGCTCCACATCTTCGGGGTAAGCTTTGCCAAGGAGCCTAGCCAAAGAAAATTCTCGGCCCTTGACCCAAATCTTTGTTGCATCGTCAATTCGATCGAAGACAACACTTCGGCAGTCCGCCGGTGAAACAATAATGTCTGGGTTGTTAGGGGCCGAGCACGGCCGTGCGCCTGGTTTCAAGGCCCGATAAAAGAATTCGTTGAAAGTTCTGAACTCATCGAGGGGAAGAAGCACTTCTGACAAGTCCAGTTGATGAAAAGCCATGAATCCCTCAATCTGTCCCGCAGATGCCGGGTCATCATACTTCCTCCCTTGTTTGATGCTGAGGGATTTCAACATCTTCCGAACTATTGACCTTGTGTTAAAAAACATACAAGAAAGCAGTAGTGCGCCCGCGTAAGGCTGGTAATACTTACTTCGTTTCTTCTCCATGTCCCTACTCTTAAGGCCCTTGTAAAGTAAGCGAATCCCCAACCGTACATACACGCTCATGCGTTCTTCATTTATCTGTCCAGTGATTCGGTCCTGAACGAGAATATTCGCTGAATTGGCCCCAAGTTTGTACCCACCATACGAAATTTTAGTGATAACTTTACTGTACCATTTCCGTTGGGCCTGGCTGGAAGTGACAAAACCACCCATTACCAGATTATCAACCTGGCGCCAATCCTGACTGGCACATGTAGCAATGTGAGTGATTATGTCAGAATCAGATCGCTTTTCGAGTCTCGGTTGATGGCAGAGTGGGCACTCTCGAAGTTCGATAACATGCTCTTCCCCACGCTCATCAGCCAAATCATCTGGGTGAAGGGGTCCATCTTCGCTAGAGGTGGATTCATCGCGTGATGTACTGTGGCTCACAGTCCTCCGTCCCGAAGTCGTCGTGAGGGGCACGGAAGAACTCAAAGATCGAGGTAGATCCTCACAGGATAGATTTTCGCTTCCCGGCGATGGGGGAGAAATATGTACCAAATTTTTCGAGTGAGATCCCGCAGATTTCTGCAACGTCTGCAAGGTCTCTTCAAGGCAGATAACTGCCTGGTCAAAAGTCAAGTCTATAGTGTCGCTAGGCTCGTTTTCATTGGCAAATTTATGAAAAAAACTGTCAATCGTGGATTCTTTTAGCGTTGAACCGAGCGTGTCAAGCATTGTCGTCAATTCAACCTTGCTTATCCGGCCGCTTTCATCGGCATCGTACTGCTTCAGCATGACTTTCCAGAATTGCTGTCGTAGAGCAGCGTAAGGCATGTACTTAGCACGAACGTGAAGCTCGGGAAAATGCTTGTCTTCCCATCGATCTTTATTCTTCAGTGTAAGCGGTATAACGTAGCACTTCAAGTCATCGGTGTCAGGCGGCGTAGTGGTGCCGTCTGAGGGACAGGCAGCTATCCCTGGTACGCTTAACTGGGTTGCCGAAGTGCATGGGGTAGGAATGTGGGCATGGTTTGACTGTTCCGCCACTTGAAACTGACTTGACAAGGATGTGGCCGACGTTTTTGATTTTAAGCCGGGCCGTGCGAGCTTCGAAAGACTTGAGGCAGATGAGGAGCGTGAAAGGGTCAGCCTAAAACGGGATTTTGATGCTGCGGGAGCCTGAACAGGGGTCTCGAATAGACCAGAGAGACGATATAGGCCTGTCTCAGGATCGGCAACGGGTCCAGCGTGGATCAGATTCTGTAGGGGAAAATTTGCCGAAGCGACGAAGTCGTTTCCGGACAGCTTATCTCGGTCCATAATAGTAAAGCTGAAAGAATAAGTCTGTTCATGCTTCATTACCTGAAAGACCATCTTTTCGTCAAAGACTGGGTTGAGGTTATGACGAATGACACGCGTTCGTAGGGTCTTTCGGCCTAAAGAGGTGACGACAAATGGGTCCATATCAAAAGACGTGCGAGTCACTTTTCAAGGAATCGATTCTATCAGCAACGCTGATCAAATCGTGGGGCTTTTGACTGAGGCTTACCATTCTTCTCGGGGGGCAAGTCCAGGACTTTGCCAACCTCAAGGAAGACAATTCCTGAGACGCCGTCTTTGGCACCAGAAAACTCATAGGCGCGAGCAGCAATGGACTTGTCCCTCAACTTGGCAAGGCGCAGCTTCCGGCGCCTGTTCTCAGCAGATCCCAGCCGGGCAGGATCATCAGTGGTCTCGTCGGAGGTGGCATCGGATTTGTCGTCAGAAGATGCAGGAATGATAGCCTCTTCGTCGTCGTCACCAGAAGTGACCAAGGCGCTAAATTTACAGCAGATGTCTTCGGGCGAGGCGGTTAGGTCGGAGGCATCGTAGAGAGAAAATTGGAGCTGAATCTGGCCAGACACATCATTGTCCTTGCCAGTTTTAAATTTGGCGCGCAGGTCATACCATTGCGGCTGCAGCACGACACAAGAGGCGGCAAGTCAGTAGCAGGTAGCAATTGGGTGGGGGCACCAGGACGGCACACACTTCCTGGTAAACACGGCCATCGGCAAAGAGGTCTTCGAGAGGGATGTCGAATTCCCCCATGTAGTCCTTTCCAAATCGGTCCTTATCCCAGCACACGCACTCCAGTAGCGGCACGCCGACGACGGGCAGATCAAACGACACGTGCCATTCTGGGTTGAGGGTCTTGGAGATGGTGGGGGTAGACTGGCGCGAGTCGCCGAGGGTAACGACCAGGTACTTCAAGAGTCAGCAATGCAGCCGAGATCTCGGCCATCGGGGTGGTGTTTAACATACGGGATCACTGGTACCATTCCTGTCCTTGGCGGCCAAGTTGCGACCCTGGTGGAGAGCTCAGCACCGGCTAGAGAAGAAGGCTAGGAGGGAGCAGGGAGACACACACGTAGGACCGAGGTCCTGAGGATCAAATGCTTGGAGTCGGCTGCGAGAGCATCGTCGTTGGGGGGCCTGGTGCTCCCTTTGCTGGCGATGCGGTGGGCCAGCGGGATGCGGACCATGGTTACGACTTGGTAGCAGGCGACGTCATGAAGAGAAGAGAGAGGGAGAAGAGAAGGAGGAAGGATAGAGAGAGAAGGAGGGGGAGGAGGGGGAGGGAGAGAGGAAGAACGAAGAGGGAAGAGGGGAGAGGAGGGGAAGAAGAGAAGAAGAGAGAGGAGAGAAAGAGGGCAAGGAAGAGACGACGTCGCAGTCAAGCCTCGCGCGGCTGAGCGCACCGCCACGCCGCCGCATCCGCCCGCACGAGCCGCGGGCCCACGCTAGGCCACGAACGGCAACGACGACATCGCGAGCGGATTTTTGCAGGCGCAGCAGCAACCCCCACGGCACCGCCGCGGCTGGGCTGGGCTGCTGGGCTGCTGGGCGAGTTAGTTGCCCAACTACCTACAGGCTGAACAGTCCGCTGCGCCGCTTGCCCAGCGGGTACACCACCAGCGCCGCCAGGAACAGCCCCCCGCTGATGGAGATGCTGATCTGCACCATGCCATACGCCAGGTCGAACACCACGCCGCCGTACACCTTGCTCGTGCCAATGTCCAGCGCTGTGCTGTTACCGTTGATGCCGTTGGCAAACGCCAGCCCGGCTACCAGCGACCCGCTTGCCGCCAGCCCCGACGGCACCTGCACGAAGATTGCCGGGAGCATGGCCGCTACCGCCAGCCCGTGTCGCAGCCGGCTGTACAGGTTGCCCAGCACCCCGATCACAAATGCCCCCAGCGCGCTGGCAACCTGCGTGTTGTCCGGGAACCGCTTAGCCGAGAAGAACGTCACCGCGTAGCCCGCAACGGAGATCATTAGCATCACCGGCGTCTGCGTCCATTTGGCCTGGTGGATCATGATCAAACACACCGTGAATAGCGCCACCGCTGGGAACTTGCGTGCGTACTCGTTCCACCCGCCAAACCGCGCCGCGTCGTCGCCGCACGCCGATGCCGAGCTCGCGGCCGGGTCAATGCTGCCGTAGAACGCCGTCCCCAGCATCAGCCCAAACCCGAGTACCAGCGAGTAGATGATGGCATACACCAGCCGCACAGATCCCGCCAGCATGTTCCGGGACTGTAGCTCAAGACTGCTGCACAGGACGATGTAGCCCGGCAGAATCAGTGCAATCGCCGATTGAGCCACCGCGGGGAAGCAGAACAGCCGTCGTGACTCGCCGGTGGGGGCTGGGATGCTACCCAACGCTCGTGCCAGGAACGACGTCGCCAGCGCTGCAGTGAGCTCGAACACGTTCGAGTACAGAGGGAACCGCGGCACAACGAGGTAATTCAGCGCCCCCATTACACAGCCTAGTAGGAAGGCGACTGGCATATCCTGGACTCCTGCCCCAAACGCAAATGGCCCTACTGTCGCTGAAGCACACCCGTACAGGAAGATCAACCACCATTTATTGAACTGGTCGTTGCGATTCATGATGTCGTCAAGCTTTTGAGTTGCTTCCTCGACCCCGATGATGTCGTGGACGATCTCCTTATACACCTGGTGAACATCCGCAAGGCGCCCCAAATCCACGCCCTGTGGGTATCGAAGTAGCTTCAACTCCGTTGTGTGCGTCGTCACGTTGCTGAAGGAAACAAACATGCAACCTGGCAAATACAAGAACTGCGCATCAAGCTCCAGCGCCCTTGCTGTCGTATGCATGTACTCTTCCAGTCGGTGTGTCGGGGCCCCATATCTCATTAGAGCCTGGCATAGCTGTACTACGTACCGTTGGCGTGAAATTGTCTTTGCAACAGGGACTCTAGTCCGAATTTCTTCTTCTTCGGGATGAGGTAGCGACGACAGCTTTTTAGCCGCTGCTCCAAGCATTGCATTACTCCCCAAATGCCGCGAATCGTTCAATCCCCCCGAAAAAAGCCTTGGAGAGTCGGACACTGATGTCCTTAGGGAACTTGAAGACAAATTCTTAGTTTTCTCGTACCATTTTTGTTTGGAGCAAGGCGTCATTTGACCAACAGAAAAGGTTCGACGATTTGTGTGCTGCGATGGTAATATCGACGAAAAGATAGAACGCTCGTGGACTTCAGTTGTATCCCGAGAATGATGGAGTCTCAGCAGACGGGACAAAACACCACGGTGATATGCCCTCTCTGGTTCCACGCGGTCATTTTGGTTCCTGTTTCCTATGGCCATCATCTCGCTGACGCGTATGTCAAGGCTGCCGCCACTATTTGCTTCGAGATCACTTTGACTGCATTTTGACATTCTACTGACCGTCTCCGATGCATTAGCCGCGGAAGAACTTGTTGCGTTTGCTAACATGTAATGTTGTGCAGTGTTATCTTGCTCCTGTAAAATGCCTTTCGTGTCTCTTAGACCAAGTTCGACCGATCTGTGACGGAACTCTGTCGATGCGGAGTGCCTTCTCCAGCAAAATAGGGGTAGATGGGTGTTTGCAGAAAATCTTGGACGCTTTTCGCCTGCTGGACTTGCAGATAAACTGACCCCATAGACTCCCAGGCGTTCTTCTTCGTTATCGTCGCGGGTACTTGCAGGTTGTCGTCGCTCTTTCAAGGGCATTTTGGTCGCCAACGATTCTTCATATCTATCAGGGGTTCTTTTGGTATTTTTCTCCCAAACACCGTGATGCACAACCGGAGGGAGCTGGAGTTTGGATGCAATGGTATGTGGGGCATGTGCAGGAATACTTTGCTCGTTTTGCGACGGAGCACTCGCTCCAGGTGAAAAATGAATTGACTTCTGTTGAAGTGCTGTTGCTTGTCCTCTGCTTCTTCCTATAGTCTCACCAGGATTGGCTGAATGGGGATATTTGCCATTGATGGGAGCTGGCATCAGACACGACGTATTCCCTGAAGTACTCCAACCCGGCATTCCGCTTCCTTAGGACAGAGGCTCGTGGTGAATTGGCTAGCAGTTTTATTAGTAGTTGAAGAAAGTATTTGAAAAAACAATTCTTTACCTTTAATATCATCCTCACTAGGCGCGGTTAAGAAGACTTTAAAATTGTAACTAGCAAAGGGAACAAGTATAGGGGGTAGTCTATAGTTAAGCTTTGCCAGGCATGGCAATCACTAATTACTTCTAGAACAAACGATTTACGCGTATACAGAGACCATATAGGTCTTCTCCACCAGGCGCTAGCACAAAAATACTCAAACGGAAACGTTGCAGTCACCGGCACTATTTCCTATTGTAGCCTTTATCAGCATAGCAAAGATGGAAAGTAGGGTTTAAAAAGGCTTATAGCCTAGAATATTCTGCAAGTATCAGTGACCCTGAGAATGTCTTCGTCTGTACTTCGCAGCGGTGCTGAGGCAGCTGTTGATGCTTGGCGAGGTACTCACCCAGAGACGGAAAGGAGGCGGTTGTTAGCCCAAGGAAATGCAAGGCTTCTCCAGCCAGCTAGCTAGGCATACGACGGGACTTGTGGGTCCACAAGCCACGCCTTTCCGGCAGCTGAAACCTTTGGGAGGCCAAAGGGCCAGAGCAATGCCCACCCTCGCCCATTGAAAATTTGCAAGCGAGTATTTAAGAGCCTCTCGGCTCGAGAGACATCCTTCGTTTCAAACAGCTCAATGATAGTCCTGAAAAGCGTTTGGTTCGGTCTGCACTTAGCCGTTGAGTACGACCCTTAAATTGGGTACTGTACTTCGTCCCGCCTTTGCCATGTGGCTGCGGTATGAAGCAAACGCCATCCTAAAGTTGACGAAAATGCTTAATTAGCGGTTGGATCGGCCTACCAAACGGAAATCCAAAAATATACAAATGTGGGCAGCAAAAGGTATGTGTGGTTAAATTTCTTTTCCAATGTTTTACTCTAATTGTGGAAGAAGAGCCAATGGTGATTATCACTCAAATCTTGAATGTGTGAGAGTAAAAAGCACCAAGCTGAACAGAAAAGCCATTCCAAAATTCCAATCGGAGGATCACTGGAAGCCTTCTTGAAAAATGGCGTTACAGATGGAAGAATAATCAAAGAAGAAAAGAAATAAGAAAGAAAAAAAGCAAAAAACTGTGCCTTCATCCCCGCACAATTATTCATAAGCCACATGCCTCAGCAATTCATCAAAGTGATATTTACATCAAAAAGCTCTTGCGTTTTTCAGCGCTTGAAAGCACAAACATGGGCGCTTTACGACGTTGAGGGGCGTTGACAGTAGGGCCATGGCTGGGGGTAGATTCAAAGGTAGTGCAAGATTCTACGTCGCAGTCGACCAAATCTCCACTGACTCCTTCGGTTGAATCATACGGTGAACCGTCCCTGTCCTTCCTTTCCATACCGATCGTCCCACGTAAATTTTCGATGCTTGACTTGCTGGACGAGTTCACACTACCGCTGTCGCCAGGGTAAGGGGAAAAATTAAAATCAACATCACTGGAGGGTGTAACGCTTCCGCCAGTACTATTGTTGCCGCTGCGTCGTTCCATGCCTGCACGAACGAGATTGTGTACCGCGCGGCGACGTTGGCGAGTGGCGAAATTCTTGCTGCCTTCATGTTTTGCTGTTGGCTTGGCAACAAGTTCCTCGAGAGATGGTGGCCCACGGGGCTGCCGTATTGGGTGCTCTCCCGCCCGCCCCTGACCGGGTCCGAAGGTGCCCGTAGCAGGGGTAGGTGGAAAATTTGCTAGCTTTGGAGTTCCGTTTCTGTTCAGATCTAGTCCTGTTTTGACGCTTACGGAAGGAACTTTCTTATGAGGCCGTCGGTTCGCAATAGGTGTTTGCTGCAAGGGTGAGGCCTGACGAGGGGGCGAAGGAAAGTTGGGCGCACTGTTTGAAGACTGAGCCCGTATGGGAGAAGGGCGTTGTTCTGTCAATGGCAAAACGTCGCTACGAGCGTTAGAAGTGGGTGCCACTGTAGCCTGGAATGACTCATTCATCGTTGGTCCTGCGTCTTTCTGGATATTATCAACAAGATAACTGTGCTGGCCAGTCATAGGATTGTAGACAGAAAACACCCCCGGGTTTCCAGGAACCGGGCTAACGATGGGCTGCATGCCGTGCTGTGCTTGCTGCTGATAAAAGCTCATTCCAGGAAGACCGGGTGTCAGGACCTGCTGATTATTGACAGGTGTCCCAATATTCAAAGCTTGAAACTGCTGGGCTGCAGCAGTAACGGTCGCAAGCTGCTGTTGGAGGCGCTGTTGTTGCGCAGCTAGGAAGAGATTTGTTTGCACGAGTTCATTATATAGATTTTCGTCCATTGGCTCTCCGTTTTCTAGAATCTGATCCAAATTCGGCGGGGCGAGAACATGTTCTGGAAGGGAATACATTTGGGTGCCAACATTCATACCGAACGCCGCGTTCTGGGCTTGAAATGTTGAGCCAGTCGCGGTATGTGGAATTGAAGCAGGATAGTTAGCATGGGGAATATTATACCCAGTGGTATCAAACCCCATAGGATTGGGATGCTGGTGTAATATGGGAGCCGTTGTTGGCGTCAATGGTTGTTTCGGGGCAGTCCTCAGACCAGCAAGCAAATGAGAGCGACTGGTTCGTGGGGTAGGGAGACCTTGGGAGTCGTCCCCAGGCCCAACTTTGGGGGTGGGCGCAACATTGAGACGTTTTATGTGGGAACCTTTTCCGCGAGAAGCAAAGCCAACACCAGGAACTCCAAGTGAGCCACCATTGAGAGATGCGTTAAAAGTCATTTGAGCTAGACCGCCAGTGTCCATACTCGAAATCGTTCAGAAAAGGTAACAGGGGCGGAGCGATCAGGAGATAAAATATTTGCAGATGAGAAAAGAAAGAAGCTGTCCTGATCAGCGAGACGTGTTTGTAGCGTGTGTGGATGATCGGACTCGAAATTATTACACCGAAAAAATAGATTGTCGGGTACTGATGGGAAGGGCGCAATCGAAACACTAGGCAAGGTTGAATTAAGCAATTAACAGAAGTGCAAAGCACGACAAAATAGTATAATACAACGAATAGACGTTGGAAAAGTCCCGCTGGGTGAAGGAATAGGATCGTTAGTCAGGCGTAGCGGATAAACTGTCTTGCTATATCACGAAAATCAGTACGAAGCTGAGAGATAGGTTCGACATGCCAAGTTGTCATCAGAACTCACCAGATCTCCAAAGTTCAGGCAATAATTAACAGTTCCAAAGATAGCGCAAGTTGAATATAATTAAAATGTACAGCGCAAATATATTAAAAATTCGCACGATGGGTGAGAGCGGCAAGTGAATGTACCAAGAAGTCTGCAGCCAAGATTTTAAATCGACGGATACGAGTAAGGGCTCTGAATATGTGATCAAGGGTCGACGAGGCTCTAGATACTACAAAAGAATTCCAGGGAGGTTGCACCGCAATCCAAAGGAGTAGAACAACAGTCGCGTGGTCACAGATCGAAAGTGAAGTGCTGTCACAGGGAGGTCAAAACGCAGAGATCGTCCTAGTTTGAGAATGAAGAGTAAAAAGCGAGCAAAATACGTCAAAGACTTGTCGGAAGGCGAAACAAAACACACGGAGCAGAATCGAAGAGAACGGTGGATAGAGTGGAAGGATGAGCCCGGGAGAGATGCAACACTGCTTTGTACAGAACCACGGGGTATCGCGTGTGGAAGTCGATCGCGAGGCGGGCCGAATTTCCTTTTTTTTATTGAGGCACAGACGATAGCAACGAGGAGATTGAAGGGGGTCAAGAGAGCGTGAAGGAATGGAGCGCGTTACAGGAGACAGGGACGAGCCTGGTTGCGAACTTTTGAGCTGAGAATCCTTTTCCAAAGAAGCAGAAAGAGTGACGCAACGCAGTGAGAGACGGGCAAAAAGGATACGAGAAAAGAGGAGAGAAAAAGGGAAGACAAGAAGGGGGGGTTGATGGAGGGAGGAGATGCAAGACTCGACGTCTGGGGAGGGGAAGAGAGAGAAGAGAGCGAGAGAGCGAGAATGCGAAGAGGCGAGGAGGCGAGCGAGGGAGGGGACGGCCAGCGAACAGCAGCCAGGGGGGGGGGGGAAAGGCCGCTAGGCGCGAAGGGGGCTAGTGACGGGGGCCGCGCGTGGTGATTGGCTGGCTGGTCGGGCGGATGACCCAGGCAGGCTAGCGCATGGATGACGCTAGGCCGCGCGGGGCTAGCGTGAAACGAGGTATGGTGTTCGCTGGCCCAATCAGACGGCGCAGCGCTGTCGAGGCGCTGCTGACTCAGCCACAGCGAGAAACGGCGGTGGTGAGTCAGCGGAAATGGACGATGGACAATGGAAGGGTTTCAAAACACACGACGTTTGACCAACTCGACCGCCGCCATGAAACGCAGCCAGACACCCAAACACCACACTGCTTAATCTTACAGGTGCTAAAACAAATTCTCCTCCAAAGCCCAGTCCAGTAACACCCATACACACAGCTACACGCCGCCGGAATGCACTCAAAACATATGATACCCGAGCACTAGCGGTCTGCTGAATCTGAAACGAAAACGACTGCACGGTGCACCAACAACCATACCAACATATTAACCCTCAGCCCGATCGCCAAAATCTGCCTCCTGGAGCGGCTGCGGCGCCACCTGCGCGCCGGCGTTGGACGCTGGCTTGTTTGGTCGGCTCTGGTTGGCTCGCGCGAATTCAAGGTTGCTGGCTAAATCTTTCGCCATGGGGTCAAGGTCCTTTTCTGGAAGCCCCGTGGCCAGTGACACTAGTCGTCGATGCACATTCAGCCGGGCGTCTGGCCCCGCGTCCGCCCGGTGCGAGACCATCTCCCGAGCGCCCTTGCCGCGATTCAATTCGGCCGCGGCGATATCGCGCAGCAGACTGATCTTGTGGCGGAGTGTTTCTTCACTGGGAGGTACAGTAGAGTCTGTAGTATCCAGGTCCGATGGCGGAACTTCCTGATGCACACCCATGTCGCCGTTTTCCATCCGGAGACTCTGGCTCAGGCTGAGGTCTTGTGCCAGTTGCAGCGATGACTCGTAACGCTGTTTCGCGGTGCTGTGACGCGCGGCCAGCGCCTCGAACGGTTCCAATTCTGATTCTTTGGCTAACATCTCTTCCTTCTCAGTGCGGATATTCCCACGTTCTATTTCCAGCTGCTCGTATATGTCCCTTGGATGGCTACTACCGTCGAAGTTCTGCGGACACGACCTCACCTCCCCATAAGCACGTGCCAATTTACTGTTCGCGTCCTCCATAATTGACCCTATTCTCTGGAGTAAAGATGCTGTAAGCTCGTTGGCCGCCGGTGGCCGGGACTGGACAACGGTATCGGAAGACCCAATGTGGAAAGTGTCGGCATCTTGAACACTTTGCTGCGTTGCAGATGAAGGCCGGTGCGGATAATCCCTTTGGGAACTCTGTTGCTGCTGGAGCATAATCATCACGTCATTCGCTGTTTCTCCATGCTTGTTCGGAAGGTTGCCTGCCTCAGGACACTGCTGTAGTAGGGTTTCAGCCAGGCGGTAGCAGCCGTTCTTGGCTGCTGTTAAAGCTGCCGTATCACCGTTGGAATCCTGTGAAGCAAGCAACAATCCCACTTCATGGGCCGAATACATCTCCGCAAGCTTGGCAATCAATACTTGACAGTAGTACCTGGAGCTTCTCCATTTGCCTTTACTCTTGGTGGCCACGGCCAGGTGGTTAAAAACCGTAGCACCAAACCAGTCTCGAAATGTGATGGTATCCTTGAGGATTTCAGCGAGCTCCGGCATAGTTCTTTTTTCATAGTTGTTGGTGAACAGTACGGCTCGTACAAGAGGGGTCTCATCATGCGACGTAAGCCCGCAAATGTTAGCTCCCCGGTCGATAAGATCCTTTACCACGTCCAGAGCCCCCATGGCACATCCCCAGTGCAGAGCAGTATTTCCCTGATCGTCAATTGGACGATCAGGCTGGAAGTGCGGAGGAGGGGAAGGCGGTTGAATTCTCCTCCCTGCGGGTGCATCGCCAACTGTCATGAAGTAGTCTAGTAACTCGTCTCCGTACATAATATGTTGTTGTTCCACCGCCGTCAACGCGTTCGCGTCACCCTCTCGCTTCCGTTTTCGATGATGGGTGGAACGCTGGGACACATGGGCGATATCTTCTTCTGCCAGTACCGAAGAGGACTCATGGCTGGCTTGCGCGATCGACTCGTCGTCATTGAACGACGGTTGGACCAGGGAATGCGTGTCTTGGGTGTGATTGAAACTTATAGTAGTGGGCGTGCGCGTGTGGGCGGCAGCGAATGATCCACCACGCCCGCCTCGCCGGCCTGAAGCACCCATCTTATGGAGTTTTGGACGCGAGGATGCTGCAGTGGTGTGCTTTGGGGCCGGGGGTGGTGTTCTGTCACCGGGGATAAAGTCAAAGATGGGGAGCAGCTGGTCCAGCACTCGGTTCCGTTCGGCTAGGATGCGCCCATCTGAGAGAGGCACCCATGTTCCTAAAGTTGAAGTTAGCGAAAATGTGTTCATGGTCATCATGCGAATGCCCAGAGAGCTTTTGTACCTTGATACTTCCCATAACCACCCTGGATTTTCTCATGGGTGCCCTTTTGTACTTCTCTTTCTAGGATACGCGTCCGGGATGGTTTATCAAGCCCAGCAACCTTCAGTATGTGGGTCGCATTAATCCAATCATCATGGCGTCGCCGCATAACACTGTCTGACCCCACTTTGAACTCATACACAGGGACCTAGTTATTCGCAGGGCGGTTAGTGGTAGGTCTAACTAAGCAGGTGGGAGGGTCTCAAGTACGTACATTGCTGTAAGTTGCAGAATAGACCTGACTATCAATACCCGTCATGGTGATCACAAAATGGAACCGCAGGGTGCGGCTCTTTTCTTGTGCTTAAAGTGGTAAGAGGAGATGGAATTTCACGTTCAGTTTCACCAGAGGAGATTGCTAAAAATTCATTATAGCCAGAAAGTTCAGCATTAGGGGGGTTAGGAGGACTGCAGCAATGCCATCAACTGGCAGTACAGAAAATAACACCTGCTTTCCCACAATGTGAACCCAGAGAAGCTCGATGGTGCGCTCAGCAAGAGGGCAGACGCGACAAACCAAACAAGCGCGTTAAGTGGGAGTTCCGGGGAAACTCTGCTCCGGGTTCCGACCGGCCCAAGCAGACTGTGCGTGTGGGTGTGCTTGTAAGCACATGGTGGCTATATGGAGCACTCTGTACTGTTCAATAAAACTGCAAGTCCCAGCTGCTTGTGAATAAAGGTCAACAAGACGGAGGTATCATGACACTCAAAGAGCTGGTTACGGATGGCACTAGCCGTGAGTTTGCCGATTGCTGAACCTCTGAGGGAACCACCCCGAACCTCATCACTAACCGTGTTGATAGAGCCGGCAGCCGCCACTCGCGAAGAAATGTCGAATGCTCGCCTCCCGATTGCATACAGAGACAGCTGCGCGCATTTACTGATCCCGCTGAACCGGTGCCGCGTCCAGGAGTTTTACCTACCGTGGAAATGCGAGGTGCGAAATATTCTCTCCAGCCTGGGTCCCAGGAGTTCATGCAACATATGATACCTTGTTAAATAAGCTATCGTGTTGGATCACATTTGTGCTGATATTGGTGTGGTAGAACGAGAGACATACGTACGAAAAATGCCAATATGAGGAGTTCAAGAAGCGGGTCGCGAAGATGGACGAGCTGCGTGCAGCGAAGGGAGGCGCCCGAAGCAATTGAACGAGACAGATTTTGAGGATGGTCATGCGCGCGCCAGAGTCGACCTACTGGTGGATTGTAGTATAACCAATGTTGTTTCGTGAAATGAAAGCATTACTGCACCGGCTTTTGTTATGAATGGCGGTTTTCTTTCATAGACAAGCTACGTTTCTGCAATACTTCTATCTCCTGGTACACCATGTCTCTATCTGTCTACGGGCGATATCTCAGCCTCCAACACCAACTACGACTATGATGGTTGAAGACGGGACTGCAGTGCAACATGCACCCTGGCATCTCCATCCGTCAGCCCACGCCCCTCTATGCCGTGCGTTTCAGCCTTCGCACCCAGCAAGCGCACGCCAGCAGGCCAGGGGTGCAGCTGGGGGTTTTTATTCGTGACACAGGCATCTCAAATCAAAGCCGCCGGCATCCGCACGACCTCCCCAGCCCCGCAAGGTTGTGACGTGAACCCCGGGCCATCGAGGCGGGCCAGAAGCGGGCTCTGTAGTCCCGCCAGCATTTCGATCAACCACGGTAGGTGTAGGGAGGAGCCCTGTCAGGCGGCGTAGGCCAATGGTTCTGCAGGCACTGTAATCTGCGGGCTGTAAGAGGAAGCATCTCGTGCTGCGAGGGGCGGGCGGGCGAGAGTCTGATAGGGCGCAGTCGACGGACACGGCTGGAGGCCGAGGAGGGTTGTCTGCAGGATGCGAGGAGCCCGTCGGCGGCCGTCCATCGGCGTGCAGCAGTGGGTGTGTTGCAGGCGACGGGTGCTGCCGGTGCGTCTTGAGCCGGGGGGGGGGGGGGAACCTCTCTCGCAGCTTTTTTTTTTCTCCCCCGCGACCAGGGCTAGCCAACACGGCTGGAGAGAGCTGGATACTGACGTTGTCTTTTTTTTTCCCTCCCTTCTGATGCTGGATCTCCTGGTCGTTCCCGCTGCAAAGCATATTTGCCCCTCGCTTATTAATCCACGCCGGCTGTGGAGGATTTCTCATCAACCCGGTCGGAGTTCCGTTTCGCTCGGGGACAATTAGTGTTGGTTAAATAGATGGCCTCCCGCACCCATGGAGCCTCCGCCTGCCCACTTCCTCTCCAGACTTCCCCCTCAGGCGCCGGTGTAATCCAAGCGAGTTGAGAGCCCCCCTACCCGCGATTGCGCCATGGGCCTGCTGTACGTAGTAGCTCTCCGCCCTCCCCTCCCGCCCGCGTCTCTAGACTGACCCCCTGGCTCCAGCGCCCTCGGCACCCCGCTGTCATGGCCGGAGGCAAAGACGAAAGCGAACAAAGTCAGAGAGTGGGGGATCGAGGTACTGGGTCTCTTCCACTGCGCCTAACCGTGCCGTTTTAACCGCTTATCCCAGCAATTGTTGTCCATTTGGAACAAAGCAAAGGGCAAGGAGAGAGATGCCTTGCTCTGGGGAGATGAGGTACGCCCAATCACTGCTTGGGGCCCGGTGGCGCTTGTGTGCATGGACTGACTTCGTTGTCAGATTGAGTATCTCGTTGTTGCGGTGGATGATGAGCAGCGGAAGGTCCGGCTGTCTCTCTGCCAGGCGGATATCCTTCGATCCCTGGCAAAGGACCAGGAACTTGCAAAGGAAGACAAATCGTGCGAGATCCTGCTGCCAACGCATTATGCTGGAATTGTTGACGGCGGACTAATGGGTAGTGACAGTAGATCGGAGCCCCTTCCGAAATTCCACCCCGAGTTTGGCCGCTTCATGCTGGAAGCCACGCCAGGCAAGCCATGGGGCATCGGGTTCAAGGATCTTTTGAGCGTGGAATCGAATATGAAACGGAGGTAGGACTTCCCCGCCCCACGGCCATCCTTTGCGCAGCGCAATGCTCACCGACCCCGCAGACGGGTGATTGCGAAGAACCATATGGCGCCAAATGAATACCCTATCACACTCACCACGTTTCCCCGGCTAGGCACCAAGGATGATTTTTCTACGCCGACCTACCCCCTTTCCGGACCTGCGCTGCGGTCGCAATTTGTGCCGGACGAGATCGCGAACCCGCACATCCGGTTCCCTACGTTAGCGGCCAACATCCGGCAGCGCAGAGGTCGAAAGGTGGAGCTCAACGTGCCCGTGTATCGCGACACAAACACGGTTTGGCCGTTTCACGACCCCACGGTGAACTACGACCTCCACACCTGGCCGGAGGATGACGATGTTCGGAATGGCGCTGCGAAGGAGGGCCATGTCTACATGGACGCGATGGCGTTTGGCATGGGGAGCTGCTGTCTCCAGATTACGTTTCAGTGCATGAACATCAATGAAGGAAGGAAGCTCTACGACCAACTGAGCCCGCTGGGGCCGATCATGCTCGCGCTAACGGCAGCGACACCGATATATAAAGGATTTCTGGTGGACACGGATGTTCGGTGGAATCAGATTAGCAACGCTGTCGACTGCAGGACAGCAGAAGAACTCGGGGAGAAGGTTGGTGGTTGCGCAGCGATCTGTGTGGGACGACCTTGGCGGTGTTGACTGACATGGCTGCTAGCCCCTGAAGCACGATAGATGGCGGATTCCCAAGTCCCGGTACGGGTCGAACTCGACGTATATCTCGAACGATCCGCGGCTACGGGCGGAGTACATGGACCCCGATCTGGTGGTGGACGAGCAGATCAAACAGCGGTTGCTGGCGGGCGGGATGGACGAGCTGCTGGCGACGCACTTTGCGCACCTGTTCATCCGCGACCCGATCGTGGTGTTCGCGGAGGACCTGGAAGAGCTGGACCTGGACAAGACGGACCACTTCGAGAACCTGCAGTCGACGAACTGGCAGCACATCCGGTTCAAGCCGCCGCCGGCGGAGAACGACATTGGGTGGCGGGTGGAGTTCCGGCCGATGGAGATCCAGATGACGGACTTTGAGAACGCGGCGTTCAGCGTGTTCATGGTGCTGATCACGCGGGCGATCCTCAGCTTCGACCTGAACTTCTACGTGCCGATCGCGCGCACGACGGAGAACATGGCGACGGCGCACGCGCGCAACGCGGTGCTGGAGGAGACGTTCTACTTCCGCAAGGACCCGTTCCCGCACCGGCGGGCGCGGGGGTGGGCGGCGGGGGGCAGCGGTGGTGGTGGTGGTGGTGGTAGCAGCTCGGGGTCGAGCTCGCGGTCGGCGTCGGCGCCGTCGTCGCCGCGGCTGGGGCCGGTGGCGGCGGAGTACGAGCGGATGAGCATTGCGGACATCGTCAACGGGTCGACGGCGAGCGGGGGGTTCCCGGGGCTGGTGCCGATCGTGGAGTCGTACCTGGACAGCATCAACATCGACGTGGAGACGCGGTGCGCGCTGGCGCAGTATCTGCAGCTGATTCGGTGCCGGGCGGACGGGCGCGTGGCGACGAACGCACGGTGGCTGCGGGAGTTCGTGGCGGGCCACCCGGGATACCGGCAGGATAGCGTGGTGACGAGCGAGGTGTGCTACGACGTGATCAAGGCGGTGGAGACGGTGACGGAGCGGGAGGGGCGGAACGGCAGCGTGGGGTGGCAGATGCGGTACACGAGCGAGGAGAAGAGCTGGGAGTAGGATGGTCTCTGCAGTGGGTGGATATGATACTAGATATCAATTTATTCTGTTTTCTGGACGTGAGAGAGAGTAAGAGAGTGAGAGAGTAAAGTGCTACGGCGTGGCGGGCGGCCGGGGGCGCTAGCGTGGGCGGGCCGTCCTCGTGCTCCGTGCTAGTACTAGTACTCCGTATACCACGACGTACAGTACTCCGTACAGAGTACTACCACTAGTACTAGTACTCCGTATACCTCGACGTACAGTACTCCGTACTCCTCCGTAGTCCGCCGTACTCTCACCGCTAGGCTCGTACGATGCATGGATCGCGATCCGCCGGCGATCCTGCCCGAGATTTCGCCGGCGGATCGATCGCGCACGGGCGGGCGGGTTGCCTGGGAGCCAGTGGGAGCAGGCGCAGCAGAGCAGCGCGCGCGGGCGGCCAGCTGGAGCTGCGCCGATCATCCCACGCCGTTTCGCCCACGCTTGTTTCACCCGCATCTCGATCTCGGCCATCTCATCTCTCTCTCTCTCTCTCTCTCTCTGTCTTTCTCTCTCGCTCTCTTTCTCTCTCGCTCTCTCTCACTCTCTTTCTCTCACCACACACTCCCACACTCCCACACACCCACCATGCCCCAATGGCCCGCCCCCCTGCCCGCCCTCGCCGGCCTCGACCTCGCCCGCCCGCACGCCTCGCCCCCCGTCAGCCCATCGTCGCACCACCACCACCACCACCACCACCCGTCCTTTGCTCCCCAGCTGCCTAACCACGCGCCCGCCCTCTCGCTGCCCTCCATCCACGAGGCCCTCGGCTCCGGCCCCGGCCCCGGCCCCGGCCCCGGTCCCGGTCACGGCCACAGCGCCTGCGCCAGCACCAGCACCAGCACCAGCACCGCCGCCAGCGCCCTCCCCTTCCCCCAACACGCCGCCCCGACGCCCGCCGCCGCCGGCCCCAGCGGCCCGCCCAACCCCTTTTCGGCCGCCCCCTTCGCCCCCTTCGACCACCACCAGCACCACCAACACCCCCATCCCCAGCTCCAGCATAACCACCAGCACCAGCACCACCACCAACACCACCACCACCACCAGGCGCCCTCCGCCTCCAGTCGCTCCGAGGAACGCTCCAGCGTCACCTCCCTCCGCTCCCAGGACTCGCGCAACCCGTCCGTGCTGTCCCGCGCCTCCGCCCGCTCGCCCTCCCACGGCAGCAGCTCCAAGACCGCCGCCCATTCCCACAGCCCGGCCTACGAAGCCCGCCGCGTCACCACCACCGCGACACCCACCGCCTTGCCCTCGCCGCCTGCTGCCTACGGCCTCTACCCGCCCGCCGCCGCCGCCCCTGCCTACGAGCTCCAGCAGCGCCCCGCCTTCTGGGCCCCCGAGCCCGCCGACGCCACCCCCAAGCCCGACGCCCGAGCCCGCCGTCCCGCCAGCCTGTCCGTCGAGCCCGCGAAGCGCCATTTCGACCTGTTCGATCTGCAGACCTCCTGGAACGAGGTGCCCACCCTCCTCCTCGCCCGAGAGAGCATCGTCCACTGACTGAGCACCCCCGTCTAGGTTGTCGAGGGCACCTGTCGCACCCTGGACTTCTCGCGCGTGCACGCCGCCCGCATCTACCAGGCCAACCGCTCCGAGCACACCCTGCCCACCCTGGCCGAAATCGACGACCTGCTGCAGACCCAGCGCCGCAACCTCGAGGCCCTGGGCCGCATCCGCGGCGCCGTCCTGGACCAGGAACACGCCATGGCCCAGCAGCGCGAGCGCATGCGTCTGCTGCACTCCGAGCCAGGGGGCCCGGCCGCCTTCCGCGACGACGCCAAAGCTGCCAGCGGCGGGTTCGCCGGTGGCGACGCAAAGCGGCGCCGGGGGGTATGCACCTCGTCCCCCATCCATCCCCTCTCTCTTCTTCTTCCTCTTCTTCTTCTGACACATGCGTTTCCTCGCGCGCGCTGTTTAGAAACCCGCTCCCCCCGGCCGCTGCCACAGCTGCAGTCGATCCGAAACGCCCGAGTGGCGGCGTGGCCCCGACGGTGCCCGGACCCTGTGCAATGCCTGCGGCCTGCACTACGCCAAGCTGGCCAGGAAACTGGGCAGCCGGGCGGCCGCGCACCTGCGATCCCGCAACAGCCTGGATCCCCGCCCGCCGCTCCCGCCGCCGCCGCCAGCCCAGCACCTCCAATAATAATTTCCGTCCACACGTGGACTCCACGCGGCGTACGGAGTATTTCCATTCCTCTTTTTTTTTTTTTTTTTTTTTTTCTTAATAATAATCTTCCGTGCCAGCGTTCCTGCAGTCTTGGAGCGCGTCCCACGACACGGCCCGGTTCTACCATCGATGCGGTTTCTACGGCGTTGGGCCCGGCGCAGCTTTTTTTGCCTCCCCCTTTCTCTTTTCTATGTGTCTTACTTCACTTGTCTGAGTTGGCGTTCCCCATCTCTCGGCCTTTTCTGTCGGTGTGTTCCCTGTCGCTTCGATACCGCTTTGTCTGGGGAAATAAAAATCCCTTCCCCTTCGCCTATACATAAATAATCAGTCAGCGTCTTGTTCGTTCGGTTTCAATCAACGGTTTTGCAACGGCGCTCTTGGCACGTCGCCGGTTCCGTAGTTCGTGACTTAGCGTTGTACGGAGTAGAGTTCACACACCGCACGCCAACCACGCCGAGCCTGATGCTTAGTCATGGCTTAGTCGCCCCTCCGATTAGCATTCCGGCCCGCGTTGTTTTCAACCAAAAACACCGCAGCCACAGGTTTAGAATTTAATAAAGTATTATCAAAATTTACTTGAGCTTCGTGCTTGGGCTGTCTGGCCATCGCAACAATAATGCTGCCTGACACCACATCGCACATTACCCATAGCTCTCCATCAGAGCAACAGCATCCCCCCCATTCATCACCCATCCATTCTTTGCTCTTCCCAGGAGAAGTAGCTATGGAACCGAGAACCCCACTGTTCTCACAATTCTCGCAGCTTTGCTGGTATCCTTCATTTGCTCAAGCTCATTTCCATCTTGTCCTGGTTGCTTGCTTGCCTGTGGGCCCCGACCCCGGGGCAGGCCGCCCTCCGTGAGCTCTTTGTGGAAGAAAGTGCCCTTGTTGCCCTGCCCGGTGAACGCTGCCTCTGTTAGGATCACGACGGCAGCCTCAGGAATGAAATTCGCGCGGCGGCACATTCATTATTTGGAGCTTCACTATAAAGCGAAAACTCCTGTGCCAATAATTCCCGATGCTGCTGGAAGATGCGTTCGAGTTTTGTTCTGATTACCAGAGACCATGGGTTTCCTGGCGTCTATTTCCTGGCCTGCAATTGCGGCAGCACTCCTTGTCTACTGCGGGCTGTACATAGCCTGTCTAGTGATCTACCGTCTCTATTTCAGCCCCATTGCTCACTTCCCCGGTCCGCTGTTACCTCGCATCACGTTCTGGTATGAATTCTACCACAACTGGTTCAGGACCGGCGAGTATTACCTCCGGATCCGTGAAATGCACGATAAATACGGTTGTGTAGTCGAGCGATGTCGCATTACGCAATACTGGTTCTACTCTCTAACTCTGATAAGGCCCAATTGTCCGTGTGTCCCCGGAAGAGCTGCACGTCTTGGAACCGTCGTTCTATCACCAGTTGTTCGTAACCAGTGCGGTTAGAAAAAGCGATAGCTACATGAGGTTCTCTCAAGGCACAGGCTATGAAGGTATGTTTTCTATCAGCCTATTGTCTGTCAGCTAATCGCAGCCCAGATCTTGCAGCCATCTCCAGGACCCACGAAGACCACCGTCTATCTCGAGTGCCGCTGGACCCTTTCTTTTCACGCGCGGGCATTGTCAAGGCTGAACCTAGAGTTGTGGAGCGAGTGAAGAGGCTGCGGAACAGACTCAACGCATTGGTAGATAAAGGAGTTCCAATAAACTTGACACACGCTCTGAGTTCCCTGACGACTGGTACGCTGCTCCGCAAGGATGAATAAGATGTGCATTCTCATCCTGCTGCAGATATAATCTCATCGGTAATCTTCGACGAACCAAGCGACTACCTTGCGGACCCAACATTCAACGACCAATGGTGAGCCCTGAAGGATAGAATTTTCTAGCTTCGCTAACTAGCGGGTCAGGTTCCAAACGCTAAAGCATGGAAATGTAACGGTCCCACTTCTGGTTGCCTAACCGTGGTTGGCAAGGTATGTAGGTCGGGCCGTTAGGATAGTTACCTTAGGTTCGAGAAGCTAAAATCTTTGCCAAGAGTCTTCACATCGCCCATCGTTAGGTCGATGACAGAGCGGATGACGCATTGGAGGCTCTGGGATGATGTCTGCACTGCTACAGCCATTTACCCGGCCGTGATGCTGACGTGAAGCGTAGAAAATCCGACGGCAGGTCCTGGAAACCAAGTTGCGGCCACCCGACGAGTGCAAAACGCGGAACAACAGCACCGTTCTCGACCATCTCGTGCACAACGACTTCTATGAATCCCGGCTCGGAAGTAAAGGCTATTCAAGACTGGCCCAGGTATGTGTGGCGAATGACGCCCTGGCTGAGCAGCTTTGCAGTGAGGTATTCTTGCTGACCAGGTGCGACAAGCTTATCCAACAGGCGGAATCACACAACGTCACGGCCACGCTAACTACGATCGTCACGTACCTGTGCCTCGACGAGGAGAAGGAAATCAAGCTTCGCGCAGCGCTGGCGCCGCTGTTTGGGCAAGGTGAAAGCGGGCGTCCAACATGGAATGACCTGGAGAGAGTGCCGTATCTTGCGGCTTGTATCCGGGAGGGTTTGCGGTGGGTACTCTGCTGGAACCGTTCTGCCTTGTAGCTGACGGCCGCGAAACGGCACAGAATGGCGATCGGAAGCATGCTACGGGCTCCACGAATCTCGCCAGATGTTGCACTACACTTCGAGGGCTGAACGATCCCCAAGGGCGTAAGTGCACGAGGCGGGGCCAAGAGAGGATGCACGCAGCCGACTGACTCGCAACCAGACTCCTGTGTCGATGTCCAGCTACTGGATGCACCGCGACGCTGGCGTGTTCTCGAACCCCGGCCGATTCGAGCCGGAACGCTGGTTCTGCCGTGGCGTGCAGCTGCGGATCATGCAGAGCCACTATGTGACGTTTGCGAAGGGGTCGAGGGCGTGCATGGGCCAGAAGTACGTGTACATATGTAACTACCCAATTCAGCTAGTGGAGTGCAGGCTGACACAGACAGCCTGGTGTACATGCAGCTTTATCACACGCTGGCAGAGCTGTACCGGCCGGGGGCGCCCCGGCTGCGGCTCTTCCAGACGGATGCCAGCGACGTGGTGCCCAAGCATGGGCTGCTGTTCCCCTTCCCCAAGCTGGCGTCGGTAGGCGTGCGGGTGGCGGTGGAGAGCCGGGCAGACTAGTGTGCGTTAGCGGATATTGGCAGCGGTTTGAGGTCGCATCGGCGGCATCCTGTCTTGATGGAATATTCCGGCGTATAACTAACTAACTAGTAACTAGTTCGTTAATCTGGGACTCCGTACTTCCAAAAACACCCGCGATGTCACATGCGACCCCGGTACGTCATCGCCAAAAACGGCAGTTCCGCCACCAGGCATCAACTTACCTTCTCTCTCTCGACCTCACTTCTCCTCTCATCATCATCATCACCACCTCTCCCACTCATCTGCAGACTCTCATACCAACCCCGATACTTCTCATCTGCCATGTCATACGCCCAACTCCCCCACTGTGGCTGCTGGTTCATACGCCAAGATCCCTCTATAGATGTCCAGAAAGTTCATCTCCCCCAAGTTGACCTGAAGATCCATGCCACCCTCTTAGGAACTACCTCGCGCACTGTTCTCTCTCAGACCTTCGAAAACTCCGAGCCCACGGTTATCGAAAATGCGGCATACTCCTTCCCGCTGTTCGACGGCGTCAGTGTGGTCTCGTTTCAGTGCGACTTTGCTGGCCGCTCCATCCATGGTCTTGTGAAGGAGCGGGATGAAGCCCGTACTGAGTACGACGCTGCTGTCGAGAAGGGCGAAAGCGCTGGTCTTCTGGAACAGTCGACCGCCGCAGGGGACACGTTCACCACCTCCATCGGCAACATCCCACCGAAATCCACCGTCGTCGTCCATATCACCTATATCGGCGAGCTCCAGCATGACGCCCAGGCCAATGGCGTCCGCTTCACCATTCCCACTTCAATATGCCCGCGCTACGGCGGTGGGTCCAAGGACGTGCCCGATCTTGGGAACGTTCCCGATACAGTCTCCGAGCTCCTGCGCACCGAACGTAAAGCTCATGTTCCCAGCAGCCAAAGTTCCCGACGGACCGGTGCCATTGATATCACCGTTGATGTCATGGTAGCCGATTCATCCGTTATCCAGCGCCTTCACTCGCCATCCCACCCCATAGATGTCCTGCTAGGCCGGATATCCACCGACTCAGAAGATGACCATCGCGCCTCCAGGGCATCCGCTACCAAGGCGTTACGGTCACAGGGCAAGAGTATCGCCTTGGAAAAAGATTTCGTGTTGATTGTTAATGCAAAGGACCAGCACCTTCCGTATGCCTTTTTGGAAACTCATCCGACACTTCCACATCAAAAAGCTCTCATGACCTCCATCGTGCCAAGATTTGAACTTCCTCCTTCCGCTCCAGAAATTGTATTCATCATTGACCGAAGTGGAAGCATGTATGACAAAATCGCCACCCTCAAAACCGCGCTAAAAGTCTTTCTGAAATCCTTGCCTGTGGGCATTAAGTTTAATATTTGCTCCTTTGGCTCCGAGTTTTCTTTCTTATGGAAAAAAAGCAAGTCCTACGATAAAGCTAGTCTCGATGCAGCTTTGGCCTTTACCGATACTATTGATAGTGATTTCGGGGGCACTGAAATGTTGGCGCCGTTCAAGGCGACTGTCGAAAACCGTTTCCCAGACCTAGATCTCGAAGTTCTGGTGTTAACAGATGGTGAGATATGGGAGCAAGAAGAGTTATTCGCGTATATAAACAAAATTGTACCGAATAATCCAATCCGATTTTTTAGTTTGGGGATCGGTGACACTTTTTCTCATTCTCTTATCCAGGGTATTGCGCGCGCGGGAAATGGCTTTTCGCAATCTGTCACTGAAAATGAGGAGCTAGATAAGAAGGTTGTGCGCATGCTAAAAGGTGCATTAACGCCGCATATCGACTACACCCTGGAGGTGGAATATGAAACAGACGTTGGCTCTTCAGCCGAGGATGACGACTTCGAGATTGTTGAGGAACCTAGTTCTGACCAGTCTAAAACAATGAATATTGAGAAGGAGGAAAGTCAAGCACAGACGATCTCCCTTTTTGACGAGACAATTCCAGAGACAGACACTAAAACGCCGGTACCTCTGCCAACCATACCAGAACCTGCAATCATTCAAGCACCTTATAAGCTTCCATCCCTCTTTCCCTTCAATCGAACTACTGTCTACCTCCTGTTCTCACCAATGGTCAAAGAAAAGAAACCAAAATTCGTTCTGCTCAAAGGATCATCAAAGCACGGTCCTCTGTCCCTTAAAATTCCGGTAGAGCATACTGGGGAGGGCACAACCATTCATCAACTCACAGCCCGGAAGATCACCGCAGAATTGGAGGAGGGCCGTGGCTGGATTTTCAATGCAAAAAATGAAAAAGGCGTCTTGTTCATTGACGAACATCAAAGCAAGAAAAATGACTTTGCCAAACGTGAAGCTGTCCGCCTTGGAGTTAAATATCAAATTGTTGGCAAGTGGTGCTCGTTTGTTGCAGTTGACAGCTCGCAGCATGAGCTAGTGAACCTGGCGGGAAAATATGCCCACATTGGAAAGATGGAAGGCCAACACAGCGGTGTCTTGATGTTTCGAAGCGGCGCGCCAATAACTCAACGCGGTGCGTCAGTAGCTGGAAGGGGCGGGCCAGTGCCTCGTTGCAGGCGTGGTGGCGGGGGGCCAATGGCTTATAGCAGGGGGCAAGTGAATCTTGGTGGGGGGTCAAGGGGTAGCGAATGCGCATCATTTACGGCAATGAGTCTTGATTTCAATGACCAAGAGGAACTGGTAGCTTTTGCCCCCGCGAGCGAAGCCGCCGCAGTTTCTAGGCCAAATGTCGAGTCTAAAGAAAGAACTTTCCACCAACTCATTTTGTCTCAAACCTTCGAAGGATCATGGGAATGGGATAATGAAGTATTCCAGATTCTTGGAGTGGACGCCGGGTTTTTAGAGGATGGCATTGATTGGGCCAATGTACTTGGAATTGAACCGGGTGACGTTAACAAAGCAGACAACAACCTACGGCGGATCATCGTGACTCTGGCGGCCGTTTCGTTCCTAAACACAAAATGCCAAGAGAATAAGGATACCTGGGAGCTAGTAACGGCGAAAGCTTTGGGCTGGGCAAACGGAATGGTGTCAAAATTGGGCGGCCGGTCCGCGCTCTCAGAGCAGCACGTCGCGGGTCTCTTTCAGTGGAAAAAATAGCCTATCGGACAAAATACTTTGGCTCAAGCCTGATAGTTTACGCATAGTGTGCACAGAGACTGGTGTTTTTAGTTCTTAATGCTGATTATTATTGTTGTTCTTTTTCATAGGCTCTTATGCAGTCTTAGGCTTAGAAGAGTCACTCTCTCTATTTAGGCTTTAGTTAGGCCATGTGTTATCTTTGTATTCGTCTAATATATCTACCTATATAGTGAAACTGATATTTCATGTTACCCTACGGAGTCCAAGCGATAAAATAAATTCATGTCATGATTGACATCACACGAGTTGTGGTGGTCTGCTCACCATCTCTAATCTGACAATTTCTAGACACTTCCACCTCTATAGCCGTGTTTAATCGGGTAATCAGTCATACAGACATCTAGTTATATAACTCGGACGTCGTCGGGGTTGCAGGCCGTGTGCTGCTGCGACTGATTAGGGTTGGTTAAGCTAGCTTATTTAGGTAATTAACTACGCACGGGGAAGACCCCTAGCTAGCTACTTCTGGACTAGTTAGCTAACTAATAATCTATCGGATATCGGCAAATATATTAATCCATCATGTTACCTCAGCACCTCCCCCACCCGTGATGACGATGCAGCTTGTCCAGTCAACCCAGCTTCATCAACGATCGTCGACCACCTGTTTTTGTGGAGCGCATCGCTTAACGGTAACATGCGTGGTGGCTTTTACTTGTGCAGTGCATCACGCGTCATATCAAATTAGGTTTACGGCGCCCGCCCTAAAATACATACCTACATATTTCACACGCTCTCACAGCTACCAGGAGTCGGCACTATCGACTTATCTCATACAGCATGACCTCTCTAATCCCATTATCTGAAATTCCGACCCTTTCCCTCCTCTATCGGTTGAAACACATTTGTCCTTCCGCCACGCCGTACAATTCCATTCCATCCCAGGTACTGAACGACACTATCTGCCATATTACTAGCGACATCACAAAGCTCGAGGTTGATTGTATTGTCAACGCTGCCAATAAATCGCTTCTTGGAGGTGGTGGTGTTGATGGTGCCATTCATCGTGCTGCCGGCCCAGGCCTACACAGCGAATGCCGAACCCTTGGAGGATGTCAAACGGGGGGCGCGAAAATCACTGGCGCGTACAAGCTTCCGTGTAAGAAAGTGATTCATACCGTTGGGCCTGTTTACTGGACAGAAACACAAATAGATGAAACTGAGCCTGGAAATCTGCTTCGGGACTGCTACCGGAGGTCTCTGGCTCTTGCGGCAGAAAATGGCATGAAAACCATCGCATTTTCATCAATCAGCACTGGTATTTACGGGTATCCAAGTGCAGAGGCCGCCGAAATTGCGATACGGACAGTAAAAGATTTTCTAGACGCGTGTCCCCAGTCTCTTGAAAAGGTTATTTTCTGCACTTTTGAAAAGAAGGACGAGAAGGCCTATCAAATCATGCTTCCGTGGGTATCTTTTCTCTAAGCATTTTCAATTGAATTACTAACGACTGTAAAAGCCGGTATTTTCCACCAGTCACGCCGGATCAACATCAGTCGCCGCCCATCGAGGGAAACCGTACCGTTGCGGACACCCAACCCCTACAATCTTCTGACCTCCTCGCTGCTAGGCTACCCAATGCTCCCACCTCTGATCCTGTAGCACAAAGCCCGCAAAGCACGCTTATTATCTGTGATCCGGAAGTGGCAATATCTGAAACCCGTACGTTAGACCGAGACGACGATAAGAGCGAAGATGATTGGGAAAAGGTCGATCAGCCTGAAGGCATTACTCCCACCGAGAAATTAGATGATGACCCAGTGGAGGTGGATAAGGGCCCAACTGCTGCTGACGTCCAAAGTGTGGTTTCAAGTGTGGCAGATCTGGGATCGTCGACAGAGATAAAGCGCAGAAACGACTAAGCTAGGATATTTTTCATGTTTTGAGAACTGCAATGTTAATCATTGACATATCCTGGGCTTTTCTACCCTGCATTGTATGTATGTGTCTACGTGGATAATGAACAAAATGTACCACCTTTCTATCCTCTTCCTACATTAGCACTCGTGTACTACATGCATACTTCATTACCCGACAGTATCGCCTGCCCACAAAGCCGATAAAATGACGTCATTGTATTGGAAGTTCATTCCAAGATCTTATCTTATCTTCAGTCACGCGACTTGGCAAACAAACACTACAAACATGCTCCCTCCACCATCAGATTTCATTGTGGAAACGACATCGCCGTTTATACCACCGATGCCTTCTGTTTTTGCACGAAGATTTTGTCGATGCCCTACGGCACAATTTACGGCTTTTCGCCGCCATCCTACTGCTGTCAGTTTTCTACGGCCTTTTAGTGAGGTTACCAGGGGCGCCAAAGCCACAACCCCATCGACGGGAAAAGTAAATCGAGCCAAATACGAATCCGGCCCTGATTCCGGGCGAAAGCACCGGGCACAGTCCTCATTTTTTATCTTTGCCAAAGCCTTCCTTTTCACCTTAATACCCCTGACCCCCATCATCATCGTGTTCCGCGAGCATGTTATATCTACATACCCTGTTGGAGGCCCATCCATGGCGCCATATCTGAATGCCACATACGGCGTGGAGGATCTAGCTAGAGAAACCGTGGTAGTCAACAAATTTTTTTGGACGAAAGATTTCGAACATAAGAGTTCGGGTGGCATCGGAAATGAGAACTGGAAGGGCTTGCGCCGAGGGATGGTGGTGATGTTCCGGTTCGCTCTTCAATCTTTTCTATTCTCTTGATTGCTCTGGCCTTTGCTAACTCTATTCAATTTATAGGTCGCCGAGAAATCCTGAAATACTAGCTATAAAACGCATCATTGGACTGCCTGGTGATGAAATTACCCCTCGATCCTCACCACGCGAGCTAAATACGCAGCCCCCTAGTAGCATGGATTTCACAGATCTCACACAACCGCAGATGATACCGTATAACCATATATGGGTTGAAGGCGATGCTAATGACACTAGCAAGAGCTTGGATAGTAACACCTACGGGCCTATCAGTATGAATCTCATCACGGGCCGGGTAGTGGGCGTGGTTTGGCCGTGGGAAGCGAGAAGAATGCTAAGGTGGGAATTGTGGGATGTAGATGCGACTGCCGAGAACCTTCACGAAGATTCCAATAGCTCTTATCACGTCGAGTCAGAAAGGGATAGCGGAGGGGCAACAGGTAGGAGTCAGCGGATGAGAGTCAAAAAAAATGTGCTTTCTGTCCAGGTGCCACACGTTTCTTAACCGCAATTTCCTATCATGAAAGTATCTAAATGATGGACTATCGAGCTTGTGTTTTCGTAATATGCTTGCTAACATCCATGAAACGGGAGCTACTATATAGTTGTATAAATACTACCCAGAATAAAAAAAGGACTAGTAATATATATAAAGTACATAAACCCACACGCCTCGCTTCAATATAGAGTTAATATGTTACCGAAAACCCCCTGAAGTAGTTCCCCGGCAATTAATTATGATGCTTCGACTATCCTCAAATCCTCCCGTTGCTGTAGGCGATCAATTTCTGTTGCAATCGCCAGAACCCACATGTCTCTTTCAGCTCTGCTCCTTGTTTTGAACACAATAGATCTACCTGGCACGCCTAGAGCGGAGACTTGCCTCCATCGCCTCCTTTTGATACGATCTTTATCCGTATGTTCACCTCTGAACAAAGCCTTTCTTGTGGCATGCCATATAACAAAACAAGTAGCTGTGTCTTCATCAGCACTTGTCCATGCATCGTCCGTGTATATCCTTGGTCGTGATTGCTGGTTGGGAAGATTGCTCTCAAGTGTCTGATTTTGATATAGAAGATCGGAAGAAGTGATTATTCCACTGTATACATAGCAGTCTCGAAGGTCCAGTACAGCTTGTCGAGTACAATGTGTTTGAGGTAGTTCTGCTCCCGTCCATGCCCGAAGGGAATTTCGGAAAATAAGCAGCTGGCCTTCAATCAACAAGACGCTGCACTTGGTGAAGGCTCCATGGCGGCGGGGCCTACGGTATAAATTTCCAGACATCTAATATAGTCAACCATACTATTCCGTATATCAATGAGAATGATGTACCTTAATCAAACGACACCCCGACATACCACAGGTATGAAACAGTTCTGGCGATGCATCGGCTTTTGAAACTTCCCATTTTTCTGCAAACTGTCCCACGGAGGATTCTTGAGCCTCGTCAATCTCAAGTCGTTTCAAGTTCCGTCGTCGAACACGTTTCAATAAGGTGATATCCTCCTTAGTACGAGCTTTCCAATACTCCGAAAGCTGAGTTAGACTTTGGACCCATTCGTGCCGGGCTTGTGCGTTATATGCCCGAAATTTCACTACCAGCCCTCCCTCTAGAACAATCTCAAAAGATCGATCATCCTTAGTCTCATTTCTTGCGCCACTGGCGAGTCTTGGTCTCTCTCCATGGTATTCAATGTCACCTGTATGTGCATTCTGCTCGTCTTCGTGGTACTGAGAAGAAACGGGGCGTATTTCTTTCACCCTGCAGAGGTTAATATACCCTTCTGTATTGGTGGCATTCTTCGCAGCCCGACGGTTCTCCGCAAAAGCTTCTGCGTCGTGCTGTTTTGCATACTCTTTACGCCCTATCAAAAGCCAGGCGATCTCTCCGTCTTCGATGGGGAATGGATTCACTTCGTAAATTATTGGCAACTCCCTCCTGATCTCAGTAGACGTAGGAACATGACTTCCTCGTGCTGCACGGAGCTTAGGAGGCGCTGGAGGTGTCGCCTTAGCTGGCTTGCAGAAGCAGAGGTATTGATCTTGTGTAAAGAAGTACAGCCTTTTGAAGAAATCCTTTCCTAGCAAAGTCTGCCTTCCTCTTTGAGATGTTAGGAGGATCAAAAAGCCCTCCGTAGGCCGCGGCTCCTCCAGCCTGCAGGCCGTTGTCCCAGGCTGTGCGGATGTGGGATAATGTTGTTTTGGACGCAACTCCAGTTCGTGGGTTGTGCGCATGGCAATGGTTCCATACATTCTCTGTTCATTTGCGCCTTGTACCCATTCAAGTCGATCGTATCGCCTCCAAGCAAGCCCCATTTTCACCGACTTCCCCCACATGGATAATATTTTATTCCATTCGCTACACTGCGATAAAGTGTCAAGGCACGTTTTCACAATGCCGGGTGCAATGGCTCGCTCCTCTTTCATGGTTTTCAGCAACGTAGCGCAAACGTCATCACTTGCTCCGAAGCTCTGCCCAAGATGTGCAAATGGATTCTGAAGATGCAGTGATATATCAAGGTCGGGAATATTAACAACAAGTGTGGATGGAGGCTTCCAGCCCAACGCCCCACGGAGGAAAGTATACCACTCAACGGAGTGGGCAGATGACATAGGGCGCATAATAAAAATCCGAGTCCCGAGTTTGTACGGTTGCCAGACAACTAATGTCTTGTCAAGCGTGGAAAATAGATTCACTCTCGTATAATTGCGAGTGACAGGAATTTCGTGCGAACACTTTTTCTTCATATCGGAGGTCTGTCTGCGTGGTATCACGCGAGTTTTATAGAATTGAAGTAGAAAAGGGACACTGTCTTCGTGTCCCTGCCGACATACGACGAGAAATTCCCTCCACTTGGATATTACTTTTGTATCGATTTTTATACTGTCATTTTCATTAAAGTCATCTGGAACAGGTTTTGCAGTAGTCTCAATACGAACGAGCATTCTCTCAGCCCTTAAAACTTCACCACTCCGGCTCGCCTGCCGTTGTTGCCTTGCTGTTCGACCTTGTTCGCTCGAGGTTCCAACAAGCCGGCTTTGAATGCGCCTTTGTCGATCGCCAATATTATCTTCTAGATTAAAACGAACAATGCCAGACGCCACACGAGTAATAAGGCGTTGGTGACGACTTTCATTGCCAATTTCCTCTTGTTCAAGATGTGTAGGCTCTTCATGTTGGAGGTTGCGTGTCAGGTGTTCATGTGGAACAGAACCATTGACGGGATTTGTACGCGGTAATAACAATGTCTCAGAAGTAGAATCAGCATTCCATTGCGTTTCAATACTGTTAGGTGAAACGTCTGTGTTTGGGTTTTCTAAAGGTTGACCATTGTTTCTGGTCGTCCCACGAGATTCTGGAGCTGTATAGAAAGTGTCCGGAACTTTACTAGACGAGGAGCGTCTTAGAGTGAAATTGGATTGTTCCGACAAGAACTTTGGTCGAGGTGGTGAACCGGACGCTGCGGAGCCTGAGTGCTGTTTTGGCGATGCCACAGCCGTGGGCTGTGGATTTTGCTCCGCCACAGGGCGATTTGCGACCCCGTGTGAGGTATCCGCGGGGGCCAGAGTGGCGGGTTCAATTTCCGGTTCGCCAGTCGGGATGTCCCCTTCGATGGTTTCCTCTGTGGGATGTTCCATTTGTGGCAAGCTCACAGTATACATGGCTGCCGTGGATGGCCCAAGGAGCCCCGTTAGCTGGTGGTGGCGTGTCGAATCGACATCGGCAGAGAAGGTGGCTGCTCGAGACGAATAGTTCCCAAGGCCTAGCCATGACTTGTACCACGACTTGCGGTGACTCGACAACCACCCTTTGGGAAATGGCCCAATGAACAAGCGACGGCTCGTAGCATGCAGGTGCTCGGGAGAGGCATGCTCCTATCGAGTGATTAGAATAGGAGACACTCCAAGGGAAGAGCTGTGAATACCAGTCGCTGGGCAGTATAAGACTCCGAGTCCAAACCATAGGGGTCATCCCGGGCGAGAGGCCGCCTGCAAGTGGGGACCGGTCGCTCGCAGGGACGTTTGCTGTTCATTTCACATTGCGTGCAGACTCGCTTGTTGTCGTTGAGCCGAAGCGCGTGAAGTCGCGGCCCTAGCGAATGACGTCGATCCTGAGCTGTTTGAACAATTTGCATGTTTGGACAGTTTGATATGTTTGTGTTGTTTGTCTTCTAGTTAGATCATCCCGCAACCAAAAGGGGTGACCCCGCACCCACTGTTTTTGTACAGACAACTAGCGACCAGCACGCAACAACCTGTCAAGCTTCGCTATATTCCTTGTCTACCATCTGTGTTTAAGTTCCTTTTATTGTCATGGCTGCTGTTGCTGTAATCCCGCCAGGTGGAACGTGGTTCGACACTATCCGGCGGTCTTTTGCCGATGTTTCAGTCGATCAAGCAACCGACAACGGCATTAATACGACCGAGTTTCTGGAGGCGGCTGAGTCGTTGGTGGTTCTTTTCGGTAGGTGGTCTACAAACACACTCGATTATTGGACCTTGATTAACACTGCCGTCAGACCTGCTCGGATCCGTTGCCTTTACTCCCGTTAAGAATGACTTACTGGGTAACATCAAGGCAGGTCGATGCCTTTGGAAAACTTACTTCCCAGGGCGTTAACTTAGCAATATATATGATAGAAAATCCGTGAGCGACAGCTTACAGCCCCAGCGGAGTCGGAGACTCTCCAGCAACTTGTTCTGAACGAGTTGAAAACCGGGAAACACACAGCTACCGAAGGCCTTGTATGGCTGGTTCGGTATGGCTTCCCATAACTTTCCAATGGCAATCTGATATCTACTTCTCGAATACATTCTCTCTAACGCGTTGATTCTCCGCAACACTCAGTGGCCTTGACTTTACCGCCCAATCTCTTCGCCTCAACCTTTCTCAGCCTGCTGACGAACTTTCCACCTCTTTCCGCGCTGCATATGGTACCACATTAAGGCCCCACCATGGCTGGGCTGTAAAACCTATTTTCAGCGCTGCTATGTCTGCAACCCCATATAGAAAGGATTTCTATGCAAAACTCGGGGATGATACCACCAAAGTTCACGCAGCGATGGATAAAGAGATCGCAGCGTTAGAGAAGGTGGTGACGATTCTTCAGCAATTCCAGAAGAGACCTGAGGCTAAATGGTAAAAACCGTTGCCCGAGCGGTATCTGCCACTACACTATAACCCCCAACAACTACAGCAGATTAATCCCTAAGCCTCCCCTGCGGGATCCGCATCCCTATACTCCGTATATGGAGCCCTTCTCATTATTTTGAATTTCTAGGTTCTGCGACCTAGGCTGCTGGATAGAGAAAATACATACATATGAGCATGTGCCTGAACAATTTTGTGTATCCGTAACACTGAAAGCATTCTTTACTGAGCTGCTTGGTTAGAATTACAGTTTTGTACTGAGTAGATTGCTGAATTTGCTGTAAGCAAGAAACCTTGAGCTACTTCGCGAGATTACGTTTCATAGGGAAATTCACGGCATAGCCGCGTAATCCTTTCGGGGAATTCCATAAGTATATCGTACGATCTCGTGCAAGTTGATACCCCGTCTGTCCATTTCTCGTGCAGGCCTCGAAAGGTAGTACTGGATATAATGTTTCTACCCCCGACTGCATTTCATAATAGCTCTTGGTCTAGTTACATGTAAATATAGACCCAATTATTAATACATAGATGAAAGTTTTCTTATATTCATAACTATTGATTGAGCTGAACTTCAGTGGGGCCATAAATTCCTCCCAGAAGATATTTGCATGCTAGTACCCACTGTACGCCACTGTACAATACGTTGGCCAAGGTGATGTGAAAGTATGCAGTTAAGCTACAGTTTGTATGACTACAACCAACAATCAGATAAATATAAAGCATCAACCTCCGTCACGCCCTTCGACAACAAAGATTGTAGCAAATAACAATCAACATGGCCTCTGGCATTGTAGAACTTGTATCATCAGTAATGGTTTCACCGGCGGAGCTGTTTCGGACGCGCGGATCGTCACTTCGCCATGTTTGCCCCCAAATTGGTGATGCCTCGCTCATATCATTGGAGCGCTACACATATTCCAGTATATGAGAGACCCATTAAACGCAGTTGCCGTAAATAACAACCGGGAAAGCTTTGTGTAGCCAGTCACGACAAAGACACGCCTTCCAAATCTCTCATCATAACAGCCATCTGTGCTCGTTTTGCTGCCTCGGCAATTAGACTATAATCTTCCAGGAATGGCGCAGTGGCAGTCGGACCACCTTTTTCTTGCGTCTGAGGCATCCCTGATTGCGTCTTGGCATGATGAGAATCGATTTCTGGAGGAAGATGTTGGGGGCCGCTCAAATTCGACGATAAGATGTCGGTCGATGATGGTTTGTAGGTTTGCGGGTTGCTGGGTGCCGTCATGGGTCTCTGGTGGCTACCGATGTAGGAGGAGGACGAGGAGGACGAGGAGAAAGTAGACGTGGAGAGGGCTTGGGCGGCCATGGACGATCAGGTCAGCGCGAGGGTGTAGAAGTCGCAGGTGCTTGCGAGATCGATGTGGCAGATGCTAGAAAGGGCCGCAACTGAGGACAAGTAGATTGGAATGAATACAGGGGTAGATCCTCGAGTAGCGAGGCTCCTGGCCCATTACTTACCGTCTGGCATGGGTTGGCGATGCAGTCTGGAGGGGAGGGAGCGGGGAAAGTCCAGGGAACGAGGAGCTAGTTAACTAGTTCACGATTAGTGGGTTAACTTCAAGTCTATCCTAGAACAAAGAAACAGAAGACAAGGGCCGTCCACTCTCTGCCCGTCCAGGCGAGCAATACGGAGTAGACCTAGCTGTTCCATTGCCCACAGCCTATGGAGACGCCGCCCGCAACGATCATCACTTGATCGTCGTCGCCGCCCAGCGAGACCAGTTGATATTATTATGTAAGCTACAATATCACGTGTATTGATATCAAAAATCCGCACAGGTTGTGAAATGAAAATGACCACTAGTCCAACCATGGCCGAAGACGTTGAGGATCTCGGTCTCGATGCCGTATTCAAGGAGCCCGAGGGGTTCCTCCCACCCCCCAAACCGCCCACCTTCGCCGAGCACCGCATGTTGTCTGGCCAAACATTGAGGTTGAGACTTGTGGGCGACCATCCACTTTATGTATGAAATTCTGTCTCTGGACTTTGTTCTTTACTCAGGACCTGCTGCTGATAGCTGTTGCGTGAGAGGGCTACTTGCTTTGGAATGCTGGCAGGATCGTTTCTGACTACCTTGAAGCCCGCGCAGATTCTTGGGTTAGAGGAAAATCCATTCTTGAACTTGGTGCCGGTGCAGGCTTACCAAGCTTAGTTTGTGCAATTGAGGGTGCGAAGACTGTGGTGGTTACGGACTATCCGGATGAAGTGTTGATAGATAATCTGCGGATCAATGCTGCTCGGTGCCAGGAATTAATCCAGTCAAACTCGCCGTTTCCGTTGTCACTCCATGCACAGGGATATCTGTGGGGTGCAGACCCCAGTGCGCTGCTCAGCTACCTGGAAGCCCCAAAGGAGGGCTTCGATGTGCTCATACTCGCGGATGTAATCTACAATCATCCTCAACACCATAACCTGATCACAAGCCTACATATGACGCTTAAGAGAACCACGGATGCGGTTGCTTTTGTTGTGTTTACGCCCTATCAACCCTGGCTCCTGCATAAGATTGTTGCTTTCTTTCCCAAGGCCGAAGAGAACGGGTTTCAAGTGACAAAGCTGTTTGAGAAGGTCTTAGACAGTCCTTTGTTCCAAAATGACCCTGGAGTACGTTTCTCTTCGATCACCGCACCCAAGGGTCCTCTTTACTTACTAAAAAATGTGATTATGTAGGACGAAAGACTCCGGAGAACTGTATTTGGCTACGAGCTGAGGTGGAAGCCAGAAGAATTAGACAATCCTAGATCTTTATAACATCCGGTGGCAAAGTGCCATTCATGGGGGATGTCTACCGGGAGCTGTAGCATGCTTGCACGGCCTCTACGAAATTAGGCGATGTGGAGCCAGAGAGAATTGATCCCTAGTGTAAATCTGTATTCTTTGGAGGCCGAAATAGACTGAGAAGCGGCTTATATAAGCAGTCTTCTGGGCGACTCGATATCAACCCCGCCAATGCCCGCAACGACTTGGAGCGCGGAGTCTCCCAGCACAATGCCAGTGAGTTGTCTCGCGATCAACCCTGTGATACACCCTCTTAACACTCTGTACAGCTTATAATTCTTACCGGATACCCCTGCTCTGGCTTAACCTATCGCGCAAAGCAACTACAGACGCTTCTCGAAAATCTGCAAAACACCCTGTTCCCTGTGCTGGATGACGAATCGCAATCTCAATCGCAGAAGAACCGATATAAAATCCATGTTGTTGCTTCGCATGATGGCGCTCACCCTCGGACGGTGTATGATACCGCTCGGTCAGAAAAAGAAGCTCGGGCTGTGGTCTATGGGCGCGTGAAGAGACTATTGGGGAAGGATAGTATGGTGATTGTTGACGGTATGAATTACATTAAAGGGTGGAGGTACCAGCTCTGGTGTGAGAGTAAGGCGGCGGGAACGACGTGCTGCGTGGTATGATGGGCGCTCTCGCTTCCCAAGAGCTATACTGAGCAAAGCTAGGTACATGTTGGAACTCCAATAGATCAGTGTGTTACGAACAACGACGAGCGTCTACAAGGTCGAGAGCAGGAAAAAAATGCTGAAACAGTTTTAGCTGGTACCACTGCTTGTGAAAATGCATTGCCGGAATACGACGACCAACCGTACCCACCTGAACTTCTACAAAATCTCATATTCCGCTATGAAGAACCCTCTACATCCAGTCGTTGGGACAAACCCTTATTCACAGTACCATGGTCTGATCCTACACCACCGATAGAAGCCATTTGGACCGCATTAACCGGCCAAGCACTCAGTTTATCAGCCCCATCCATCGTTGCAACTCCAACGTGCAGCATACCTGGGCAAAATCTTCCTACAACGGACCCCGATCCAGCTAATGCCCCAGTGCTACGAAGAAGCGGCTTCTCCCGTCCCAAAATCACTCCACACCAAGCAACTGTACAACCTCCTACAACTGACCCTAACGCTCTTTATGCCCTTGAAAAACGCACCTCTGAAATCATCACCCACATTCGTAACTTCACGCAATCTCATCCGAGTATCTCGGTACTTGGTGTGTCGAATACATCAGACAATTCCAATACTCCAGGCATCTCAATCCACATACCGAACGTACCTATCCCATTGTTTATTCCTAGCTCTACTCTAGCAGCCTCGCCGACCGAGGAATTGGCCGGGGCGGGCGGAGTTTTAGCCCTTCCACGGTTACAGAGATTACGAAGGCAATGGGTGGGGATGAATCGAGCGTATCTGGGACAAGGACATGGTAAGGGCCAAGGTGCGATGGGAATGGAGAAGGTCGGTGAAGCCTTCGTGGGGTTTTTAAACGGCGAGTTTGAAACCGTAGAATAAAGGAGCATTTGACGTAGGAGATGGTAGGATCAGAAGGGGTAGTAATGGTTTGCACAAACAATACTCAATGTGACGTTCCTGCCTACTGTTTGATGCCACATACAAAAACTGAAGTTCAATACATCCACCCGGAAAATGGGTATAGACCCCGAATACGTCTCGCTGATACATACATATTTAGTCGCTTGATGACACTGACTTTCTGTTTCCAACAAGCCCTGAGGGGCCATCAAAATAATAATTAAAAAAGCAAACAGTAATCGAAACATAGATCGGAAGACAAGCAGGAAATTCGTGTCATCATCATACTCTAAAAAAATTCTTTTGCAAAATCCCTCAACGGGGAAATGCGGGTCTGATACCCGGACTTGCTGAACTGAAAATATAAACCCCCATTTTTCCATACCCGTCTGCTTTTTCGGGCCTAAAGAGAATACCAGATCCACAAAGAAAGAGAATCGAAAAAAACACAAGGCAAAGAAGGACAGCCGCCAAATCATACAAAACGGAAGACAAAAGTAAACAAAATGATTTGCGAGTCGGTTTGACCGGTCTAGTCAACAAGGCCTTTTCGTTGACAGTTGGCTGGCCTTGATGTATCGATAGTTCAAGGCATGGGTATGTAGTTCCTGCAGCCTTGCGTTGATTCTCTCATGAATTGACGGATCCTGAGGGTTGATATTCCCAAGGTCACTTTTGATCTCAGACAAGCAATCATAATAGCTTCTCTCTGCATTTTGAAGCTGTTGATCCGTGTGGGCCTGGATAGCTTTTAACGTAGCTTGCGACTGGGGAGGGGCTTGGGCCGCCCGGACACGTTTGATCACTTGGCCACCAGCGGCAACACCTTTGCGCTTGCGAAGGGAACCGTCCTTCTTCTTGGTCACTGTAGATTTACCTGCAGAAATAGGGGACCTTTCTGGCGAGCTGGCCTTTTCTGAGCTTGTATAGTCATGAACACGTCTCATGTGGTCGTGAAGATTCCAACGGCGGGGGAATCCATTTCCAGGAATAGATCTATCACACGAAGGGAAACGGCAAAGGTGTGGGTTCTCCCCGTGTCCGTGCATGCCATGCGCTTCCCGCTCGTGGCGAAACAAGCATGCATTTGAGGAGAAGTGTGCATCTACACACTGTGGGACCTTGCATCGGTAGGGTTTCAGGTGGGAATCCAAGTATTTGCTAAGAGAAAATAGTTAATTACTGTCCAAATGCGGTTACAACAAATATGGGGAAATACTAACTGGTATGTGCATTTCTGAGTGGTGGGGTTGTGTTTGCAGGGATTTTTTCCTTCGGCAAACGGGCAGTGGTATTTCCCATCTCGCCGGGTTGAATAAGAATAGAAAGCGTGGTCCCGGGGATTCCTGGCTTCCAATAGATCCTTTGGTCTTTGACCAACGGGTTGTTCCAAATGCAAAAGGTCTGATTCTTTATTTGAGGGACGAGCCAATGCAGCTGATAAAATGGGTCTCTGTGATTGCTTGTGTGGGCGAATTGTTCTATCCAGTAATGGTTTCCGTTAGTGTTTCATACTCAAAACATAAAACCAAGTCTCGAGATAGGTTAACTTACCTATTTGGATCCTGCTCAACAAGTGGTGGCGTTAGGGGATAGAAAGGTTCCCCGATGCTGAAATTTTGAGTAGAAAGAGAGGACGTATCAGAAAAATCAACAAACTGGCATTCGTCCTGGCCGGTAAATGGGTAGCCTTGGGAGCAAGAGGAATTTCCAGAAAAGTCCCGGTTGGGCTCTGTCAGAGGAGGTGTCGCCGGAAGTTGGTTGACATGATTCAATGGCCCGCTCATGTCCAAATTGGCGGTTCCGCTGACATCGCCTGAAATTGACCCCCATGTGCCTTGTGTGAAGGCTTCGGGCTTAATCATGTGTTGAGGGGAGATGCCTAGCCCAAGCGATTTTCGGTCGCCCAATTCAACGGAATTGTTAATCGCATCATTCTCAAACGACAAGTTGAGCGTGGAAAAAGTCCGATATGCTTGTGGGTGGGTGAGGCACAACTGTGCATTCTCTTGAGAATCCGAAAGTCCTGGTAGGTGGCCAAGCTCGGGAATGGACTGATCCGCGGATCCATCAGCACTGGGAAACAGAGGAGGAGAACATGAAGAAAATGGAAGCATCTGGGCATCTGAGATTTCATAATCGCCCGCCTGGATTGACCTGGTATCAAAGGATTCTTCTGTGGCCTCGCTGGTAGAGCTAATGTCCGAGCTCAAAACATCATTAAAACCCCAGTGGGTCATTTCACTAAAGCCACTTTGGCTATGGAATGTTGGCGACAATGAAAAGGCAGTATCTTGAGAATAATCATCATCGGGGACTGTGCTAGAAAGATCCATGCAATCATGAGTTGCAGAATTGAGCCTTGAAGGAATTTGGACTTTTGTGCTAGAAGCAGTGGTCGGTATTGAAAGCCTCAAGCGGCCAGTTTTTGTTCTGGATGTCATAGCGGCTAAACGCTGAAGCAAGGTACCACTATAAGGAAACTGCAACAATACAAGTCAGTGTTATAGAATTCTAGGTATTGAAACATTCAACTTGAAAAGCAATAGTAAAGAGAAAACAAAAGTCGAAGCAAAGTATCCCAAGTCCTACAGAATGTTAGTTGGACATTTTCATTATGATGCCTTATCAAGAATTACACACCAGGCGTGTCCATATTGAAAGCGTCTTGGAAAGTCGCAAACCCGTGAGCCTTCACCCGATAGGGAATCCAGGGACTTGTGTAAGATAATCCATGGGCAGCCAGGCAGTAATGTAGCTTCCAAGAGACCCGTTCCAGGAATAGGTGCATAGTCGTGTAACAAACAGCAAACGCAGAGCAACAATCAAATCCTGGAAGTAGATGATATTTCCGTGGCTAAATTTCGGAGCGCTGTTCTGTCAACCAGGCACACTGGAATAGCGAATCGATGACCCACATCACGATCACCCAACAGCAGCTGGCATCCACGAGGTTCATTCAGGCTAGGGTTGCCGGATCCACTCCAGAGTGAAGGTAAGTCATTTGACAGGCAGAGTGAGACGGTCCGTGGAGGTTGGTCGAATGTCGTAGAGGGACACCAGTATCGGTATAGCTGTTCTTTAGTTGTACATCATTTGTCTTCGGACCACGCCGGGTCCAGAGGGGCAAAGCATGGCGATCATTCCAGGTGTGGCGTGAGAAGCATTGTATCCAACGGACAACCCATAGTTTGGGTCGAAATTTCATTATCCAACGGAAAATGCACCATTATGCACTCTGATGTCAAAACATACCATCTGCGCGGATCGCGAGGTGGTCGTAATGACGTTGGCTCAAAGCCTCCTAGTCGAAGATTGAAATCGGTTCCTGGGAAATTTGGCGTCCTTACGGGATGTCCTTGGGTTTAAAGATCTCGGCCAGGAGACTTGCACAGGTGAGACGGAAAATACATGAGTTGGAGTACAGGACCGGAAATAAAATAGAAGGACAAAACGGTACAAAAAATAGCAAAAAGAAATGGGCTCTACCTGAGATGTGTTGACAGCGAGTGGCGTGCTTATTTAAGGCAGTGCGTATCCAGATTGGAGGAACTGGGCTGATAGTTTTCAAGCAAAAGCAACAGAAATGAAAAATAAACCCGCGGGCTGGACTCCAGAATTGGACTGTGGTTTTGAGAAAGTCGATTGCCAGGTGCGAAAAAGGTCAGAATAACTAGGTCCGTGTCGAATGTCCTTTTGAAACTTTGTTCGCTGTGCTTGAAACCCCGAGATGGAGATAGAGCTGTCGATCTTTGAATGGAATGCTTGACCGCAGAAGATGATATAGTGGTATATGGCTTTGGGGACAGGTGGTGTTTGTACGGACAGAAAGGGGGGAAAGGGAAGCAGGAGGCCGGGCGGGAAAAGGGATTTGACCCCCCTTTAATGCTGGAAGCGAGCGCCGGCCAACTCACCACCAGCAAGAATGATGCAAAGCGGGGCACCCGGTCTCAGGTGAATTCCCGCGCAGTCTGCCCACACATTAGCGAATGGAAGGATGGCGGGCAGGGGAGGCCCTGCTTGCGCTCGGTGCGCGGGAGCCACTGGGAGGATTCGGCGACGCTCGCCAGCAGCTGCATCATCCCGTCGCAATCTCCACCCGGCCTGACGTGGCATCGTGATACGCTACGGCCTCGCGCAGTTTCCGTGCAGCCACCACCAGTCGCGGCATTCGCAGCCGGGGCGGTGTGAAGGTGGCTGAATCGATTCGATGCCAGCAATCCCGAAGGTCGCTCTGAGGGGCCTGCGCACGGCTGATCACATCGCACTACATCGTATTGGTGCTGGCAAGCAGGGTTGCGTCGAGCATGTGCGACGGAGAGATGCATTTTCGTTGCCTTGCCAAACAAATCTACAGAGATGCGTGCACATGAGGGGCTTGATGAAATAGTAACAAACTGTCGGCTGTCAATCACCCTGCCTCGCCCGACTATTGAGAGCTAGGGAGGGTCTTGGAACTGCCACTGGAAGCATGGCCATTGGCGGGAGACCGTTGGGCAGCAATGCAGGATCCGAAATTTACAAATCGAAACATTGCCCCAGCCATCTTCCAATGATTCGCGGGGCGTCCCAGAGGTGAAACGCTCGGCAGTCTTGGCCACGCATCTGAAAAAGCACCCTGAGTTGAGTCAGCATTCCTGCCAAAGACGTCACAAAAAAGAGCATGGAGATGACGGGAGAAGGGCTTTGCAGTCAGAAAAAAGTGAAAGATGGTGTTTGGTTTCGTTCAGCGGCCGGAGGCCGTCAGGTGAACTATGCTTAAAAACTGGGATTCATCACGAAATTCGCAGCCGAGTCGCCATCAACAGTGCGCAACATACCTTCAGAAGCTAGCTGGGTTGGCTGTGTCCCCTGCCCGTCATGGAGCGAGCCAATGGCGCTCTGTCGGCCAGAAAAGCATTGCACGTTCAGACCTCTTCGCTGGCGAGGGTGGTAGTGAGGCTGGCGGGAGTGAGAACGAGGAAGAGAGGTGGTGGTGGGAAGAAAGCAGACGGCGAGCACCTTATAACCCGGTGCGTGTTTGCTGACTAATCTGACTAATTATGTACATCCTTTCATTCTGGCCATGCACCCGGCAGGCAAGAGAAGAGAAGAGAAGAGAAGAGAAGAGACGAATTAACAATTAAGCTCCGCTTCCACCGGAGCACTCCGTACCAACATGCAATATCTCGCGGCTCCCGGCCTGTCCAACTGACCCGGCTCACTGCCCCTTTTCTCCCAGTTTCCTGTCGATTGACTCGACTAAAGCGTCCCTAAACGCCTCAGGGTTCTTGATCGCCTCTTCTGTCATGTTGATTTCCTTTTTCTTTGCCCAGGTATGCACCTCTGCAAAGTTCTGACAGGTGTGAGTGGCGTCAAAATCGGGCTCGACTGGAGAAAATGGACCACTGCCGTGATTGAACGTGATCAGTGTCGTGTCCGCCCGGCACATAATCACCTGGCGGATAATATCGATGCAATGATCTTAAACTATTAGCCCCCATCGCTTCTTCAACGCCTCTCTGGTGTATCTTACCAACATGGTCAATGATGGACACCGACTGGCCCTCGTCTGTCATGTTGTAATGGTCGTTATGAACATAGCGGCGAATTTTATCCTAACAGTTAGCTGGTTAGCCCCTGTGAACGACGCCTAGGTTGGTATAGAACTATGGTACGCACAAGACAGTGGAGCTGGTGAAACACCGCCAGTTTTGCGAGATGGTGTCCTGGCCTGGACGGAACTTCGACGCTCGTCTTTCGGATTTTCTTCAGTTCTTCTGTGGTGACGAGCAGAGGTCCCACTACCCAAGTCAGCAAAGCACGTTATGTTAATCGTTCTCCCTGCGATACATACCGTCAAAAAGCTGGCTCCATGCGTTGTCCAGCCCTGGGCCAGGAACACCCTTATACATGTTTGTCGTCTCAACTTTTCCGTCAAATCTCACCGCTTGATACTCTTGAATGACGTGTGCGGGTGCTGTTCTCAACGTCAGCTTCCCCAACCCGGGAAGGGTATTCGGATCCCTCACAGTAAACAGAATCAGGCAGTTTGCCCTTATGGCCGAATTTGCAACCCGTCCCTAGACTAATTACCCCCTGAGACGACAGGACAACGCCAGCCATAAATGTTGCCATAAGCATCAGTATTAGCGAAAGAAGTGTACATGCCTTGCAGAAGAAAGATATTTCTTTTGTGTTTGAAAATATATTTGTTGTTGTATCCGTCCCTTCCAGATCCTCGCCACGAAGAAGTCGACTTCCCACACCATCGCCCTCGTCAATGTCAAGCGTGACTGTCATTTTGTTAAGTAGGTCTGCCCTGTTGTTCCTTCTACTTATCAAAACCTATCGCTGCTTAAGTAATTGAGAACGGTTTGGGGTTGAGGCTCTAGCTCTCCTTATATCTTCTTAAAATGATTAGTTGAGAATAGTTTGGAGTCGGGGGCTTTGCTTTCCTTAAATATTGTTAAAATGGTAACCTGGTTCCGATGCATGGCGATTTCGATACTCTTTCCTTTGCCTGGATTCCAAGGTTCAAAGTCCGAACCGGTCCGTTCCAACCCTGGACTTGGAGCTTGATGACGATGCCTTCGTCCGTTTGCGGAACCCAACATCAATCTGGGATCAGATAAGGATGAAGTTGAGTATTGCCTTGGAAAGTTTAACAACATCCGATATCGTTAACTGGTCGTATCTGGTGCAGACTTGATTTAAAGAGCTCAACACGTATTGCCTGAAAGCAAGCTGAAGGCCCTACCTTGATATTCTACATTATTACCGGGAAAAGGGCTACATGCTCTGGCTTGCTCTTCTACTCTTCTCTGAAAATGTCTATGTTTTAAGTTTTTATTTTTTTTATTATTTTGCATTTGGGAAAAATCTCATCGTCAGCGGCCATTTAAATTCCTAGGACCACCCGGTTCTCTTTCTGCCTTTCATATGTGCCTCTTGTTCTTTCAGTGCCTTCAAAACTTAATCCTGCCTTTTTTTCCTCTCCCGTGACACCGGATTTCAAAGAAGATGAAGTCCTTTACAAAGTGTGCCTTTGCTAGTGCTGTCGTGCTGTATCTCGCATGTCTAGGTGTAACTACACCGGTTGCGACTCGTGCAGTCGGTATGTGAATTTTCAGTGACGCTCTCCATCCACTTCGTGCTGTATCTGACGATTTTAGACACCATTCCATCTCACGTTAGCATCGAGTGTTTCTCTGGTCAGTGTTCCGAGAAGGATCTGAAGGTGCTCGCCGATGTTCTTGACAAAATCCAAAATGACCCAAAGGCCTCCAAGAACTGGAACGTTACTTCATCCATCGAAACTGTCAAACCCGGTGTCAAAAAACATGCCAATGGTATCAAGCTGGCTCCCCGCGATGATGCCCCTAAGACGGAAAGCGACCTGGCAGGCCTGGACCTAAACCAAGTCAAGCACTGTGCAGCTGGCGACTGCTCCAAACAGGACCTCGAGGCAATCAAAAACCAGGTCAATGTCGCGACCATCCCCTCGTGGCTGTGGCCAATTCTTGGAAGTATTGGCAAGTTCAAGTTCAACTATGGCCTCGACTATGGCATGGACTCCCCCCAAAAGCCTCCCGCCCCGAAAAAGCCCGAGTAATCTATCGCGGTGTCTCCGGATTCCATTTAATTATTACTTAAGTAGTTACTCCCGGCACAGCGGCTGCCGCAAGCTAGTCCGCTCGCTCTGTGTTAGAGCTAATCAAGTTCAATTATTGTTGAAGCCCAGCCCTTTTGTAGTGTATCAACATCGTAACAGTCCGGTATAGATGTCCGTATGTGTCCTCAAGCCCGAAGCAGCCTAGCTGCGGGGGCAGGGCCGCATTTGGAAGGTAGTCCGTAGCGAGGACGCCGACGTCCAGACTTGTTGCCCCTTCACGCACGCAAGGACGCGGCCTTCGATGTGCTCGCGAGACCGATGAACTGGACAGGAGGCAAGCTGTTTCGTCATTCCTTCAAGGACAAGACCACCCTCAAGGCTCGCGAGAAGCTACATTTCGCCAAGGCAAAGAGGCGAGCCCACACGAGCCGAAGAGAACCGCTATCCCCTATCCGAGTACCGCGGTCGGCAGTGGATGTTGCTGGGCCAAACCCGCCGTCTTCTATAAGGACTGACCAGCGGGTATGCAACCAGGGGTCGTTTAGCGGCGGATGGAAAAGCACAGAGAACAACCGGCGACACAGAGTCAAGGATACTAGAAACGCCCCCCTTTCTATTTATACGGGAGATCAACTACCACCGCCAAATGTGGAGCCCGATGCCGGCACCTTGGAGGATTTCAGACGCAGGCTCCTCAAAAAACATGACTGGGCAGACCTCTCTATTTCGCGTCCGGTTAACATGCGCTTTACTAGCGAAGCGGAACGGTATAATTATGGTCGAAGGCGGCCGTTGACTCAAGCAGATCGACAAAGACTGGCCGTTGGAGAACGAAGAACAAATTCAAGGCCACCATCCTACCGGGCCTTGAGGGGGGTGCATAGGCAAAGAAAAGGAGAATATACACCGACAGTGCTGAATCCCGATGATATTAGTATCCGTATTCATAAAGAGCCAATAGTCTATCTGGATTCCCAGCCTCGGAGCGTGTCAAAAGCGATGAGCATGATGTCATCCGAGTCGATGCTTCTTGATCAGGAGGAAAACCACACAAATGACATTTTAGGGCTACCTTCGACACTCGCACAACACGAGAGTAGTGAAGAGCTAGGCTCCTTCGGAAATCAAAAGGGAACCTCGGTAAATAATCCTGCGCGAGGGGAAATATGGAGGTATCCTGTATCAAGTCCTGTGCTTCCCGACAACTGTGGCCTCCCGGTGCTGAGTAGACACGGCACTTTTGCCGCTTATGGGCCTAAGACATGGTATATTGCGCCCGACGTGGAGGAGGCAGAATGCCCATATACCAGGGAAAATGAACATCAAGAAGCAGACACCGATCCATCAATGATGTTAGGGCCACAGAACGAAGTATGTCAAGAGAAGGATCAGTCATCCAAATTATGGAGAGGCATACCAGACAATATAGAAAAGAAAACAAATGAAGAGCAGTCACGAGTTCAAGTTTTTTTTGGCCAAAAAGTAAACGAATGTGCGAAAGACTGCCCAGACCCAGATGAGATCTGGAAAAGACTAGTATTTAAGCCACAAGAAACTAGGAATGGAGGAGATCTCATAAGGAAAACGATCAGAAATGATGTTGAGGACATGAGTAGCATCCACGAAACCGATGGCTTGATTGATAACGACTTCAATTCAACAATCGGTGGCGAGGCGGTCCAGACCGTCTTCAATACATCTTTAAACTGCGTGGATTCCATCATTGACAACGCGCCCTCAGAGACAGACTTCCTGTCTCAGTTCAGTCCAATGGGAGGGTATATCGACGAGTTTCTAAGTGAGATATCGATGCATAATAATGCGAGAGGATCAATCTTGTCAGCCCAGCCAACGTCATTGGTAGACAATGATCGTGGAGGACAGGATTGCCAGAGTATAGGGTATGTGCCATTCCCTCCCGACGGTAGTTTAACATATGGAGGGCAGTCTTGGGATAGCTTTGCTTCAACAAGTCCGTCTTCATATGGCAGAAAAGCGCCGTGGCATACATAACAAGGGGATTTCCATGGGCTTCGACAGGAATTTCATGTATTTATTCCATTTGAGTACGGAGTATATGAATGCGCAAATTTGCTCGTTGCTAGAATTCCAATGAGATCATGGCGGAGAAACAATCTCCCATTCCTTTAACAATCCAAGACCACAGCTTAGCCCCAAACGATCTCTATGTATGTAAGTTAACTAACTACATACATCAACACATCCAGACTAGTGATTCTACTTGACGAAACGGACACAATGAGGATCAGAATACTGCATACTGCCTTTCTCTTTATCCCCGTCACCTCTCTTTCCGTCCCGTATACGAAACCGACGCCCCTCCCACTCGTCCTCTGGCATGGTCTCGGCGATGACTTTGGCCGCGATGGATTAAAAGAAATCTCACATCTCGTCGAAAAGGTGAATCCGGGCACCTACGTCCACATCATACGCCTGGATACCACACCTGAGAAGGACCGCGAGGCCACCTTTTTCGGAAACGTCACCGAACAGGTTGAAACGGTGTGCGAACAGCTGGCCTCTGACCCAATACTGAATACTGCTCCCGCTATAAACGCCTTGGGATTCTCACAGGGAGGACAGTTTCTACGTGCATACGTAGAGCGCTGCAATAAGCCTCCCGTTCACAACTTGGTCACTTTTGGCAGCCAGCACAATGGGATCGCAAGTTTCCAGTCATGCGCTTCGAGCGGGGACTGGATATGCCGTGGGGGTGAGGCATTGCTGAGATTCGGCGTGTGGTCTAATTTGGTACAATCCGGTTTTGTCCCAGCACAGTATTTTCGTAATCCAGAGCAGCTGGATCAGTACCTCCAACATAGTAATTTCCTGGCTGATGTCAACAACGAACGGACCGTGAAGAATGCTAAGTATAGGCAGAACCTGATGTCACTCAATAAATTTGTTATGTACATGTTCAAGGACGATAAAATGGTGAAGCCCAAGCAGAGCTCACATTTTGCGGAAGTCAACCAGACCACTGGGGAGGTAACGCCCCTTCGAGAGAGACAGATATATCAAGAAGACTGGCTAGGCCTAAAGTCTATGGACGAAGCCGGAAAACTGGAGTTTCTTACTATTCCCGGCGAGCACATGCAGGTTACTTCTGATGTAATGACGCAGACGATTGAGCGTTACTTTGGCTCCGTCCAGCCCGACGAGTATTCAGGCTCTGGCCTCGTATTGCAAGTCCAATAATGTTTTGATAAGCCTTTTCCTTCGTTTTGAGCGGGCGTCTTCTGTGGATTTTTTCATTTTTATGGCCATGCGTGTTCACCGTTGTTATCTCGAAACCTACCTCCTAGGCCGCTCTTGTTCAGGTGGTGCCTAAACAGCCTTACAAGACACCGCTCTAAATCTATATATTCTTACTATTTGGACGGTGGACCTTTGTAGTATGCAGTGCTCGGTGTCCGAGAAGTGTGCTTGGGTTTTCGCCATCTCACTGGTATCTGATCTACTTGGCTTGAAAGGCAAAAACTCCGCATATTCGTACAAAGGTATCTATGTACTATGCATGTATACACAAACGCCGCCCGTGCCCCCCATTCTCAATGTAGAATAACATCTGGGGGCCGGTGGCTAGGTTTGGGTCTCTGATATTGTGATTTTTGAAGATCTCGGTTGAGATGCTTGGTTTGCCCCAAGGTTGATAATTAGTTACCCAAGGCATGTGTACTCCGTATTGCCTAAACCTGGATAATATTAGACATTTCCGGTTTGCCATGTGCTATAGTTTCTGCCTTGGTTCTAGCACGGCGATTCGCATTAAAATCAGCGTCGGAGTCCTCTTCATCGTCGGAATTTCTTATCCAGAGAACACTATCCTCGGGATGTGGGCCTTTCGGCGGCTCTCTTCCCTTCTCATATGGCCTCTGAAAGACACCATTCTTGTCAAGTGGGCGAAGCCGATAATATAAGCCTACGAGTTAGGGAGGTTAAAGATATCCTGCGTATTGGACGGCTGCTCTCGACTAAAAACAAATAGATCATACCTCCAGCAAGTAGGGCGTAGCTATCAGCATTTTTCATCTTCTGTGCACTAGTTAGAGTTTTGATGTCATGTACTCCATATGCTTCAGGAACACCTGGTGCTAACTCGGCAGGGACTGCAAAGGGAACATCAACAAATTGTAAGACTTTAGATCCAAATAATACAGGCGTATGGAGTAGACTTACACTGGTCCCCGTCTATTCCATGCAAAAACTCATGGAGAAGTGTCACGCTCATGAAATCTTCTAGCAGGTCGACTTCAATACCCTCCACTGCGGCGTCGTTCCAATTCTCAACGATCGCGACCTCATGGAATTTGAGATCCCCCGAAGGGGTTTCACAGAGTAGAACGACAGCTCTTGGATTCTCTTGACCGGTTTCATACGTGATGGCCAAGTGATCTCCGGAGCAAAACCTTGTTCCATAGATATTTGACGTCGGCCGCATGCGGGGCCAGTCAAAGTCCAGATAATCACCTGGACGATATGAGCTTTCTATTAAATGGCGATCGCCACACTTAATCAATATTGCCCCAATTTGCGGCCCCCTAGAGTGCTCTCCTACTTCCTTAGGAACCCGCTCCATATACCCTGAGCAGAAGTATTGAGCGTTAGTAAGCATAGTTTGATGGAGCACATGTATAGGAAATCAGAGGTCTTACTCTTAAATGATTGCAGGCCATTCGGAGTACCAATTAACGTATCCACAATTTCTCCTGCCGGAGGGTTCTGTAAATCAGCACGAAATTTGGCATGTTTGGCCATACGTATGGCTTCATCAGCAGCGGCCCGGACATCGGCTCTAAATCTATCGCAGCTTTGATGTATTGAGTAGCTAGATCCTAGGGATATCAAAGTGCACAAACAAAGTATGAGAGATGACACCATAAACGGATTAGGGGAAAAGGCCATATTGGTTGCCTCGCTTCACGTAGAAACCTCGAGCCTTCTTGACACAACACTAGTTCTACAGCAAAAAGTGGATAGATATAACGATATTCCTCACTTCGCCACCAGGCAGATTTTCGGACTTGTCTGTTAGATCTGGCACAAGTGATCCTGGTAAAGGGGGAACTGGGCGGAAATATGGCATCGTGGGAAGGAGAGGAAATAGAACCTGAATAGGAAACAAGATCGATTCCCAGGATTTATTGGTAAAAGTGCAAAGAATTAATTGGCGCTGAAGAAGCATCGACGGGCCGTTCATTTGAGGGGCTCAATGGAGCGGCCGCGAGAGAAGGCATAGCAAAGGTAAGCCTGCCCATAGAACCAAAAAAGCAGCATGCATTGAGCTAAACGTTTCAGACTAGCAGCCGCCTGGATGCCTGACCTATTCGGGTCTCTGCAGGGGCATATGTGTAGCTGTCACACGCGGCATGGGAAGCAGCAGTAATACGAAGCATGTCCGTTCCACTAAGGCGACCAGGGCGGCAAGGCTGACGAATCATAGCCGCAGATATCAAGAGCGGCGGGAAATTGTTTCGAATACATTCATGAGCTCAGTGACCACCAGCGGAGAGACTTCCGCTCCGGGGTTGTGACGCCGGGGCGGAGGGGGCCTTTAGGGGCGGAGATTTATCAGCAGGTCTTCTCACCAAGACAGTCGGACAGGAGCAAACGGCCAGGAAGGAAGAGAATGGATGGGGTGATTCGAACATAAAAGCATCTCGCCCATGGCGGTGCTGTGCTGTATTTAATGCTGTCTGTAGGGCTTGCTCTAAGTCGTCCCCAGTGAATCGGCCAGCCAGCTAAACCTCCCTTTGCAAACATGCGATTGTCTTGGATTCTCTTTCTAGTTCTGCGACAATGCGATGGAAGTCCTGTGACCGCATCAGACGCGAAATCTACTAGTGCACCAGGGCCGCTCGTCATAACGACGACTAGTGGTGGCTCTATATGGAGTCAGACGTTTCTGCCAACGCGTTTGGCGGAATATGTGTCAATTACAACACCAACAACAATAACTACGGCGGATAATGCAGGGAAAGCCGCGTTGGTGGGCATTTTTGTGGGCGGCCTCGCTTAGGTCGGGGTAGCTGGCCCTATACCAATCGCGCCTCCACCGACGCCGCCACCAGAAGTACCTGGACCTGACAAAAAACCACCTGAAAAGGATCGAAAGCCCCCCGAGATGACTATGACAAGGCCCTCAACATCGATGAACACACTGCCAGCCCAAACACTATTTTACCATATATCCAGGCATTGGGATGCGGCCGACAAGATCCACGGCCGGTTTCTTAGAATTCCATATGAAAAGAAGAACTGTGCTGAGAGATCGGGGCCGACTGTCGAGCTGAATGCTGCCACTGATAGTATCAAAAAGTTTTGTAAGAAGTATCGAGACAAGAGAGTTGACGACAAGGGATTTCGCGAGTCGCCAGACATGGGGGCCGGAATCGTCTTTTCGCTGTCGTCCAGACTAAACCATATTTGTCCAGAAAAGTTTTCAAATACGCTCCGGGTATCGGACTGCGAATGGCTTTTGAAAGCGTGTCTAGAGATGTGTGTAAAGACAGCGTCTAAGAGGCACGGGGGTATCATCAAGGATGGCTGTTTTGTTTGGAGCGCCGTTGCGAAGGAATACGAGGGTGACCTTCAGTGTCAAAAAGAAACAGGCGCTGATAAGGATATAGGGGTGGACGAAGAAAAGGTTATAGTACGCAAATGACTCTTCCATACTGATATTGGCGAAGATATATTCTGATACTGATCCCAGGAGAGCGCCAAGGACTTCTGCGCGAAACACGCCGCAAAGCGGGTGAAGCCAGAGAAGGGCTTTAATGAAATGTATTTTTATGATACTCGAAATTCAGCAGCTGAGTTCTCCATTAGCTATAATAACTCTGCAGAGTGTTCACCCAGCAAGGTGCCCGAGTATGATCTCGACCAAGCGGCATGCGAGCGCTTTTTTACGCGCGCAATCAAAGGATGTGATACTAACACCAGGGTCGCTAAGTATGGAGGTGATGTAGGCGATCATTGTGGCGTCTTTCGCATCAAAACGAGGAATGTTGAGCGCTTTAAGTGCATAAATAATCCCCGTCCGGATCCTACAAGCATGCCCAGCGAGCTTGCCCTAGCTGCTACCAAAGACTATTGCGGGAGGAAGCTAGAATTGGATCCTGACTATAAGTATGATAATGAATTCCATCAGACGACGCCTAAGGGAAGCGGGGAGGGTGCTTTTGTCCAGGGCGACACTGTGGTGAGAATGAAAGCGCAGTTTCTCGGGAGCGCTGGTGACAGGGACTGTCCCAAGCAAAAGAAGTTCACCATGAAGCCAGACGAGTGTGAGAGAAAGCTGAGAGTAATTATCGACGGGTGTAAGTTGCCGCCAACATGTCCTATGGTGTATCATAGGCTAATATATCGCTTTTTAGGTCAGGAGAAGGGCGGCGCGCTGATCGATAAGACGTCCCATGGCTGCGTCTGGTGGGAAATTTTTGGGCAAAAGGCCAGAAAATGACCGGCTGTTTAATTAGTAATTTGATGCACATATCCCCGTCTTCTTCGGCTTCGGGAATGAGTTCCAATCGGCTTGTCCAACACGAGGCTCCTTTCTCTTAAACTTTGGCCGCTCCACTGGTGACTCAGGGCCATCACAGGCAGTAAGTAGCGTTGTATGTCAAGGCCAACGAAGGGCGGAAGCAGAAAGGCTTCTGACTTCACCTCTTAAGCATTCCAACAGCCATGCCGAATCTAAACGACCGGCCGCAGCAATGGACGCGCACTGTCCCCGACAACGATGGTGCAGAAACGGTCTTTGTACTCTCAACCGATCGTTCTCTGCTGTCGATCCCGGCCTTGATCAAAGCGTTTAACGAGGATTATGTGTACTGGGCGCGCGCAGTTCCCATGGAATCTATGCAGCAAATGGTCAACAACTCGCTCTGCTTCGGTCTATACAAGTCCATCACCACGGACGGCGGATCGTCAAAGCTCGAGCAGATTGGGTTCACGCGTTTCATCACCGATTACGTGACCTTTGTATATCTGTGTGACGTGTACATCCTCCCGGAATATCAAGGTGCGGGGCTAGGAAGCTGGATGCTCGGAGTCATGCAGGCCGAGATGGATAAAATGGAGCACTTGAGGCGGTTGATGCTCATGACGCGGGGCGACAGAACAAAGGCTTACTACGAGCGTCTGCTGGGTGTGAAGTTGATGGGAATGGCAGGCCAGGCGTATGTGCTGGGGAAAATTGGGATGGCGAGTTGTGTATGATCGATCAGGTTAGCAATGCAATTACTATCTAAGCAAAAGAGAGTCAGAATGATCGCGATGATTGACGATACAGTCGTACTCCGTACGGATCCGTATAGAGCTATACCGTATGGTCGGATCCCGTATAACCCACCTTGTTGGGTTTGGGCTTGTTTGCCCTGTTTGCTGTGTCTGGCAGACCGCGTTCCGCATCAACGCGTTGGCCAGAGCCTCACGATGAGGAGGCGAGGATGCGAGAGCATTGACCGTCGATGAACACTGTGCATGGCCATGGCGCAGTCGCCGGCAGAGCTCTTTGGTACCTCGTGGACGCTTCATCGCCTGTCTCCCCTATTCCATGCCCAAGAATCCAAACTTTCCATCTTGGATAATCCCGATGCCTTGTCTCTATACGCCCGCCGTCTACGTGATATGCTCACCGGAGACCAGCTTCGGGGAATCCGGCTTTCTCTTGACAGTACCTCGCTCCTGGACGAGGCCCTTGAAAAAGCGGGTGCACTTGTCGCCTGCAAATGGGAGACCATTCCTACTTGGAGTTATTGGAACGAAGAGCATTCCATTCTTGAGGATCCGGAACAGACTAGTCTTGTGGTTTCCGCAGAGCAATCTGCTGGCATCTTGGTGACCTTGCAGTATGAGGCTATTCGATATAAAGCTGCGTTACTGAGCGGTCCAGATGGTTATCGGCAACAACAACATGAGGTGACTTATCTTCCACTTTTGGTCACACGGATGCCAAATGCGCTACGACAAGCATTCATTTCCTTCTTAGAAAACAACTTCGATGCACGTGTTTCAATTCTAAGGCTTCCATCGGCATTCCTATGTTCTTGCTTAGAGGCTTACTTGACCACCTTATCCCATAAGTCTCAACGAGAGGATGGCACAAGAGCTGCCTTGGAAAGGGTAATAAAAGAGGTTCAGTTAACGCTATCATTTCCACCACCTACTACACCTTTGCTGAAAAATTTGGAGATCTCTTTACCTCGCCAGTCGTTGAGTGACTTTTATATCCGTGCCCTTGACAACAAAGCTAAGCCACATGACGGTGGGTCTTCTTTAACAACACCATTTTTGTCAGCCCTTTTAAACTACTTTAAAACCCACCTTGCCATGGATATCGATATCACTGCCGCACAGCCCCCCAAAAACCATGCCAATCACGCCCCTCGAATAACAAAGATTGCATGCGGAGCCTTCGTGCTTGGTTCCGAGGGACGAATGAAACTGCTTGCAAATCCTGGTCGGGCTATCTTTCTCGACGATTCACAGCTTAGCATCGATAGTGAGGATGATAGCATTATAGGCCAAGAAGAGCAAGAGAAAAGGTGCATTTGGAGGGCAAACGAAGGGCTTCTTCGTGCATTGATTGGAAGAGCAACCTGTACTCAGCACCGAATTGAGGAGAGAGCCACGCTCAATAATGTTACAACCTGATTCCAAGACACTTCGTAAATTGCGTTAATACCCACTATCCTGTTACACGCCACCCAGGCTACGCCGCAGGTAACTGTACCTTGTCGATTATTAAAAATTTGTGTTTGCTTAACCAAGACGTCCAACTACAGTGCCAACTTCGGATGATTTTGATGCCCTGTCACAGAGTCAGTGCTACTGTCCCTTTTCGATGTTTGGGGCGGCGGGAAAAAAAATCTCGTATAAAACTCGGGCCCACACCCCTCGACGTTTTTGATAAAGAGGCTTCTAGCCTTGATAATCAGGCGTGGAATTAATGGATTTTTCAGCCTTAAAGTGGACAGTTTTTAGAAGTCCTTTTATTATGCAAGCGGTGTAATAACTGGTGTTGTTCCTACTGTTTTTCAGATTGTCATGCACTTGAGCTCACTCCCAAAGCAGCTACGTTTCTTATAGGGGAAGGTGACCTATTAATCAACTAGCCTTTTCCCTATGTACTCAATATGTAAAACCATGTTTATTATATGAGCAAGAAAGTAGTAAACACTATAACTGGACCTTTTACGCCCTCAATCGCTAGTTTAGTTTAGCATCAATAAAACATCTGTCTAGTTAGGTTGTAAGCATGCATGTCCACATATGCATGCTTTGGTATTTTCAAAGAAATCTTCAGGTAATCTTGGCTTATATCTGCCAAATATCATTCTAGTCCTTCTGTATTCAATGCTCGTCAATATATCGTGTCTCTGTCAGTTTTAAGGCTTCATCAACGCTTGACACAAAATGCGACATCCCTCCACAGGTTTCCACAATGCCGCTCTTGACCATTAGACGAAAAACGTCACTTTCCGGCCGTGGAATTCTACAGAAGAAAACCCTGACATTTTGATCAATATATTCTTTCACAATATCCGAAAGGACTTGGATACCTGAGCCATCGATGCTCGTCACCCCGTGAATATCAAATATCATATTCCGGTTATTTTCTGGAGATCGAAGACGAGGAAGAGCAGGATGGGCAGCATTGGTGCCATAGAATTCAAGGCGTCTTAGACGATTCTTCAAGTCACCCGTGTTCGCGAAAGTCAGTGGCTCGGGAATTTTCACAATCAAACAGCCTTCGATGAATTCAACTCGCTCTGGGTGTAATTCTGCATTTTCAAAATGGTTGTCGGTGCCAGAAACCTTGCCTAGAATCTGGATACGTGGTTTTGTGGCATGTCTAATTACTTGCAAGATGGAAAGACCCATGCCTAAGGCAATTCCAACATACAGAGAGTAAAAGACGGTTGAAACAAAAATCAGAAGCATGAGGCTCAATTCGGACCAACCCCGAATGCGAATAAAAAACCCAATATCATGAGGGCATTCTTCAATGAGGGACCACGATACAACTGATATCACGGCAGATAAGACGGCCATCTTCCAATCGTTGTTAGGAGGCTTGGATAAACATAAGAGCAGAGAAGACTTACCGGTAGGTAATAAAAGTAAGGAAGCAGGTAAACGATACAGATAACTGTTATTAGGCATAAAAACATACTACTCATCGGTGTTTTTGCGCCAGTTGCCGCACTCAATTTACTCCTTCCGTAACCTCCGAAAGAAGGCAGTGCCATGAAGCAACCACCAAGAATATTAGCGGATCCGAGGGCAACAAGCTCTCTATTGGGGCTATATGTCATGCCTTCGATGGCACCTTGATGAGTGCTTCGGAGTCCCTTGGCAGCGATTGACGATTCGAAAAAACCAAGTAAAGAAATAATGAAGGATGTGCTCATCGCAGTTCTAATATGATGAAGGTGTTCCCAGTTGAATGGCCAACGGAACGCAAATGTAGGAATTCCAGAGCCCTTAATATCTCCTAAAATAGCGAGGCCTTTTTCATCCCATGAGAATTTCCAGGTTAGAACTGCGGAGAGAATTACAACAATGAGCTGATCCGGGAAAAAAACGACACTTGGAAATCGTGGCTCCATATATTTCTTCAACGTCCTAGGTCATTGTTAACAATTTCATGGAAGTAGTTTACATACAGTACAACCCTACTTACCGAAACACCATTATTATGGCAAAGCTGCCAAATGCGACAGCACAAGTTAAACCATGGCCATAGTGCACGTTTTGAACCAGAAACAACAACTTATCCCAACTACTACCATGTGTGGCTAAGCCCTCGTGTTTCGCGCGTTTATTCAAGCCCATCTCTGGAATAAGCTGGTCAACAAAAATCACGAAACCGATAGCACTAATAAAGCCCCGTAAGAACGGTCTGCTAAGAATGTTATCAAGAAAACCTAGTCTGGTCAAACCGGCGACAAGAATCATTGCACCAGCCATCCCAGTTACTATTCCGGCGATGTGAGCGTTAGCAATGGCATCATCGTCGACGGATTTCCCCTTGCCCACAGCATTTCGAACAACCGTCCCCACAAGCAGGGAACCAGGTGCTTCGGGGCCGACCACAACCTGAGGACTGCTCCCAAGGAGCGCGTACATCAAAGGGTGGAAAACAAAAGAATAGAGTCCATTTAATGCGGGGACATGGGCAACATTGGACGCGAGTGAAAGACCAAGAGGGATATAAACAGAGGCAACAGTTAATGCCGAGATAAAATCGCCGCGTAAATACTGCCAACGATACTGTGTAATCCAATTTAGGAATGGGACATAGTATGCCAAATACCTATATGTGTAACCCCTTAATCAGCCGGTCGCCACGAAAGGAAAAACAGTAACCTACATAATACGGCGATTCTTCACGCCGTGTACATCGGCAAGTTGCATTGTCGCGGACTTACCGGCCGTTGCGTGACAGGGGGCCGAGGAAATACCGTCACCTCGGATATTTTGGCATGAGTTTGCCAAGGAGCAATTATCAAGCTGCTGGCTAGGGCTCACATTGGGGACCCGGTTATCGTGAAATTGGGAGTCAGATGGAAAAGTACCATGCTGAGAGCCACCAACGCTCACTCCATGTTGGTCAGACTCCAAGAGGGGCGTGCTCGAAGATATGGCATCGTCCATGTTACTATAAGGGTGAGAAATCGTTCCCACGCCTGTCATATCAATGTATAGTAGAATCCAGGGATGCTAACAGGGGTGTTATGGCGAGTGATTGAATGTGGAAAAAGGGATTCTCGGAAACACGCCAAGGATCGCAGCTCATTCTATGGTGCAAGCTCGATATAGATTTCCGTGCTGGTGATTTCCAGTGTCGAAGCACCTGAGCACAAAGGCAGCAACAACAGATAGCTGGGGCTCTGGACGCAAGTCTTAGAGAGCTTCGCACGGCATTGAAACCACCGGACACGCCAACAAATCACCAGGAATGCCGTTTTAGGGATATTGTTGTCGAATTCGATGGCGATTACATCATTGCTTACATCATCAGAACAATTGTCACGTGATGATCATGCCGCGCTAAACCCGTTTCTGCTGCACAAACGAGTCATGGCGACGAAACGAAGAATCGAGTCGACAAACGGCGGAATCTCATTGCGCTGTTCCTGACGATTTGCTGAGCCTGTGGCGCTTGATATCGCCTTCGGTAACTGGCATCTCATACCCCGAACCTTTACAGCGCTCCCTACTGCTGGGGATCGGCCCTACCCCGCCATCATGTCGTTAACAAATTGCCGTTTTTATGAGGAGAAGTACCCGGAGATAGACAGTTTTGTGATGGTGAACGTGAAGCAGGTACGTGGGTGTTTGAAACCAAGCCTAAACCCTTGTTCTTACCTCTTCGCTCTCTAGATTGCGGAAATGGGAGCATACGTGAAGCTCCTTGAGTACGATAACATTGACGGCATGATTTTGTTGTCAGAATTATCTAGGCGTCGTATTAGAAGTATACAGAAGCTCATCCGCGTCGGAAGAAATGAGGTTGTAGTTGTTCTTCGTGTGGATAAAGAAAAGGGTATATGAGCCACATTTTTCCATCCCATCCCCACTATGCTCACACGCGACCCCCGCTCTAATAGGTTATATCGATCTGTCAAAACGCCGAGTCTCTGCCGAGGATGTCATCAAGTGTGAGGAGCGATACAATAAGAGCAAATCTGTTCATTCGATCATGCGCCACGTTGCGGAGAAGACACACACTCCGATTGAGGAGCTATACCAGCAGATCGGTTGGCCGCTGAATAAAAAATATGGACATGCCAACGATGCGTTCAAACTTTCGATCACGTAAGTAGGAGAATATTACCGATAAACTTGCTGTGTGTTGGTCACTGATCCTCTGCAGAAATCCGAGTGTGTGGGACGATGTAACTTTCCCAAGCCAGGTCGTCAGAGATGAGCTCTTGCTACACATCAGCAAAAGGCTTACGCCACAGCCCACTAAGGTGCGAGCGGACATTGAGGTTACATGTTTCAGTTACGAGGGTATCGACGCTGTTAAGGACGCCCTACGAACTGCTGAGGCCAACAACACCACGGATACACAGGTCAAGGTCAAACTGGTTTCCCCTCCATTATATGTCCTGACCAGCCATTGCCTGGACAAAAACCTCGGCATCAAAACTTTAGAAGACGCTATTAGGAGCATTTCTGAGAAAATTCGGTCTTCAGGAGGGTCATGTGTGGTCCAAATGGCACCTAAGGCAGTAACGGAAGAGGATGAAGCTAACCTGCAGCTTTTGATGGAGAAAAAAGAACGCGAGAACCAAGAAGTTAGCGGCGATGAAAGTGTCAGCGAGAGTGATGACGCGATGGTTGAATAGATGCCAAAGCATTTCTCATCATCTAAACCGAGTCAACGAGCACTGCTCGCCCTCATTTGATCCGCACATGAGTTGCGGTGTGCTGGCATGGAACAATAGCGCTAGAAAAAATGGAACTTATGGGAAACTTCTACCCTCCGATGGCGCTGAATAGCTCGCGGATAGCATAACCACCACAAGATGAAGGCGTCGTCCGTATTGCGTGCATTCGGGTCTCAAAATTAACTACTTTGTCGTTTAGAGGGTAAGGGAGCCGTAGTAGTCTGTCAAACTATAGCAGTGAAGTAGTACAAAGTAGTTGATTTCGCAATCCAGGCAAATCATCAATTGATCCTGGGCTCTAGCTCCCAGAGGAACATGATGACTAGTTACATAGTTACCTGTGCATGCCACCTCAGTGCTCATCACCTCTCACACCTCGCCGTGATATGCCTTTGGGCGTGGCTAGCCCGTCTGAAGTGGCGATTAATCATGTATCTATGCATAGTTGGTTTAACTTCGCCGCGCACGCGGCTCGCTTGGGGTTGGCGACGCTTTAACTAGAAGAAGAGCTCTACCGCCGCAAACATGCGCCCACAGGACGAGGAACGGAGCGCGCCTTGTCGAGAGCTCCTTTGTTTCTAGAAGACGACGGGCATTGTCAGCTTTCACTTGATTGTTGTATTGCAAGGGAACCCAACGCCATGTCGCGTCTGTTCTCGAACGAGCAACATGCTCTTCTCCATGCCGAAGAACATGAGCGCAGTATGTTTGCTGCGGATAAGCTCCCCCCTGTGTGCTACTGCTGACATTTGCTGCTGTAGTGCTCCCGCGCAGCGAGGACGATACTGTTCCTCCCTGTCTTCCTCCCAAAGAAGTCACCAAGGTCGCGCTACGCTTGAGGCACTTGGTCGAGCAGGTGATTCCTTGCGACCTCGAAGAATGCGCAATAAGCAGGCCAAATAGCACTGTCATAACTAAAGCTGTCATTGAAACAGCGAGAAACACTGGGGGGATCGAATATAGAGCTTGTGTTGTCTTTGGCCTCTTGGTCTGCCTGCGCTGGTTTAGAATCCAAGCTTCCAAAGAGCTTTGGGACTCCGATCTCCATGGCTTGAGGGCTGCAGCATGCGAAATTCTTGCGAAGAGATTGTATGTGGTCCATGTGAATTGCCCTTTAACAAGCAACTGAAATCTGCGCACAGGCTTGAAAGCGAAGACGATCATGATTTTCTTATGCAAGCAGTGCTTCTGAAGCGATATTCGGTCATCACGAATGACAATGAGGTTTCTTCCCCTGTGAATGTGATTGAGCGCGCTGTTGATCTACATGCTTTGCAAATCATCGGCTCGTCAGGATACCAAAAATGTATCAAGTACCTATGGCATGGCTGGCTTTGCCAGGATGATCTGGACGCTTCCAATTTTGTCGAATATAGGAACCGCACCAATACGTCCTACTGGGCTCACTTCAACCCGGATAGGATGCGAGTCCCGATTTACCAGAATACAGTTCAGATATTTTTCTCCATGTTATACCTGGCACTGTATACTGGTGTTATCAATACAATTAATTCGACTGGTGATCTTGATATCGTGGAAGGCATTCTCTATTTGATGACGTTTGCCTTTATTTGTGATGAGGTCTCAAAATTCTGGAAAGTTGGCCGCAACAACTTTGGGTTCTGGAATGCGTTCAATTCCACTCTCTACTCCCTTCTTGCCGCCTCCTTTATCATGCGGGTGATTGCCCTTACTCGCTCGTCCGACACGCACGACTTGGAAAGGCAACATTTCAACAAGTTGAGCTACAACCTTCTAGCGTTTTCTGCGCCGTTGTTCTGGGGCCGACTTCTTTTGTACTTGGATACCTTCCGCTTCTTCGGGGCCATGCTCGTGGTCTTGAAGGTGATGATGAAGGAAAGCTTGATCTTCTTTGCACTTTTGGGAGTAGTCATCGTCGGCTTCTTACAGGGCTTTGCCGGCATGGACCAAGCGAATCCCGACAACCTTATGACTCCCGGCATGATTCTCCAGGGAATGGCGCACACGGTGATGCAGAATCCTGATTTCGACGCTTTCAAGGACTTTGCATTTCCATTTGGTATTGTGCTTTACTATTTTTTTACTTTCGTTGTTATGGTTGGTAGGTCAATACGCTCCTAAGCTTGCAGCTCAGTGAAAATAGCTGACTATGTATTCATAGTCCTGCTGAATATTCTCATCGCTTTATATAACAGTGCCTATGAGGACATTACTGGAAATGCGACCAATGAGTACCTTGCCCTTTTCGCCTACAGAACTCTTCAATTCGTCCGTGCTCCCGATGAAAATGTTTTTATTGTTCGTGAGTTACTACCATTCCCTGGCTGCTCATTATACTTGTGCTTATAAATATAGCTTTTAATCTTGTCGAAATATTTTGCTTAATCCTCCCGTTTGAATGGTGGATGTCCGACGACCGCTATGAACGTCTGAATCATTACATTATGGGTGTTATTTATTCCCCGCTTCTCCTAATCACTGCCTTCGTTGAGATGTGTCATGCGCGACAGATCCAAATTAACCGGCGGTTAGGCGAGGAAGAAGACGAGCAGTTGGAAGAGTGGGAGGAGGTAGCTGCTTTAGTTGATGCAGGATCTGACGCTGCGGAATGGAACCGAAAGGTTCAGGAGATCAAACCAAACGTAGAGATCGACCCCTGCGTGATAGAAGTTCGAGAGCTGAAACAGCAGATCTCTGAGCTGCAAGCATTGGTAAGGGCGATGGGCGAAGAGCGCCGCACAGCCGCTCAATTCGATAGAACTGATCCCGTACGGACGAATGGGACAACGGGAGATTCCAACTTGGAAGAGTGAATCGACAGCCGTTGGTGGACACGTTTTCATACCGGCTACACTAAATTCAATCTATTTATCATCCGATAATACGTTGAACAGTCATTGGATATATGTATGTATCAACTAGGTTTGATCAATCATTCTGCAGCAGCCACTCTAATATCTTATAAAGAACAAACGCCATTAGCTGTGCATAACCAAAAATCACTATTCACCGCTTATGGAGTATATGCCATCATGAAAAAAAACGGATTGTCATTCATCATTACTGTTGTCCATCTCATGCCGGGCTCCCTGAGTCTGGATCTCCAGTGTTCGCGAGGTATACGCCCGCAAAGTCTAATTGGCCTAGCATGCCATTGATTTTATCAATCTCTTTTCCTAGCTCTTCCACGTTCGTCGCTAAACTGCTAGCCTCGTCAAATTTTCTTCTGCGGTTCGCATCCGCAATCATCTCCGATACGAAAAACTTTTGTTCTTCGAGTACAATAAGCCTCTCACGGAGAGCCTTTTCTTCCGTTTCAAGGGCTGATAAGGCACTACTATTGTCGCTGATTAGGCTCGGTATACTACTAGTATGTTTGTGAGAGTTTTGGTGCCCATATTTGATTGTAGCTAAAGCGCGAGCAGTAGGCGGGCTTGTCCCATTATAAGACAAGCTCTCTGGTGTTGGTTCAGCAAGTCGACCATGTGGCGTGGCGTGCTTAAGAAGCTTTGGCAGTGTTTTGAGTGGTAACATGTGAAGGTGTAGAAAATTGGTGGCCTGGTGATAGATAGCCTTTTGTAGTCTAGCTCGCGTAGGAGAGTCGGTAGGAATATCGCGAATTCGTCGAGCAGCAACATCGTACTGGGAAAAGGAATCCATCAGGCGTTTGCGGACCTTGGATGCTTCTGTCAGCTGAGCCGGAGAGGGAGGGTTATCTGGATCTCTAAGGAGGGTTATTAGTGTGTTAAAGCGTTCTCTTTGGGTATACTAACTGTAAGGCGGCCAATAATTTTTGAAATCGAGGTAATAAGATCCTGATGCCTCTTTCAAACTGGATCAGATTTTTATACGCTCGAGTATCGGGAGATTCCCTAGCGAGGTCCAAAGTAAAGTCTCGCTTATCAAATAGAGTTGATCTGCAGTCTTTGCAAAGTCTAACATCTATGCAAAGGTTTTTTGACGTCGCCGATTTTTCGGATAAGTGGGAAGTACCTACGACGGTCAGAAAGTCCACAACTCGACTGGCATCACTCTTTATACGTACGTGTTGCAACGTCCAGCCCAACCTCGGAAGAGCAGTTGGTCTTCGCATCACCACAGACTACACGACCACACGTGCGACAATGATGCCTCCGGAAAGTGTATGCTGTGAACTCTTGCTGGCAGAATGGACATCTTGAAACGCTTGTATCGTCCTCCCAGTTAACAACGGACTGTTCAATTTGTTTACGCTGAGTGCCCTGCCAGGAGAGCGACCATCTCTTATTCGCCCCCGACTGAACATGGTCAAGAGGAAGCTCAGCGAGAAGCTGTGTCAGCCGGCTAAGTCTCTTCTCTAACCGCGAAACTTCTAAAAATGCCCGATCTACTACCGGTTTCCTTCTGGATATGAAAAATGCGGTGTGATCGCGCTCAATCCCTAAGGAGAAAATGAGCCAAATAAGCCAGACTTGAAGGACAGAGGACATACCATTTTTATCATTATAGCCATCTCGTGACTTATAACATGTCTCACATACTCGACACCACAAACCACGAACTGGTTCATGTTGAGCGGACCTGGAAAGCTTCATTTGATACATGGTATGCTCGTCACAAAAAAGCCGCCCACATTTCCGGCAGTTTACACAACCAGTGGTCACAGTCAACCGCTTTTCGCACATTGGGTCTAAACAAACATCATACAGCGTGCGCTGCTGCCAATGTACCCTTGTTACCAATTCATCTGGGTCCAGCATCCTGGGGGGTTCCACAAATCCACTTGGAGCAGCGCGAGTGGGCGCCGAGGAAGCAAGTGGCGGATTGTTATTAGACTCAAAGACATCTAGGCCTTTCAATTTCTGATTCAACACGGCTAAGGGTTGAAACTTCTTTGCCTTTTCCACCTGAACTTGAAACCAGTCCTTTACCTCAATTTGTTGTTCATCTTCGAGATTTCGGTGAGCATCATCAAGGTGTCTAGACAGCTTGTCAATAAACTGGGTTTCGCAAATTCGAAATATATATATTTACCGATTAAGTTGAAGTAATGTCACCTGTTTCACGTTTCAGTAACCAGTTCTTTTAGTGTAAGTGGAAAGGCCTTAAACTCACCATTTCCTCGTTGCAAATCGGACATGCGAGTCGACTACTACTGCTTGTAGCTGCAGTCTTTGAAATAGAAGATTCTGCATTGTCCAATGATATCCTTGATATAAGGTCATGTGTATCTGATGACACTTGCGAAGCCGATGCCTGTGAGTTCAGGGAAATGCTACTTGCAGACGGAGAATGAGCCTTCTTCGGGTCGACAGATGGAACTGCCAGGATTAGCCTTGCACTACCGAACACTCTTCCCCCTGCAATGGGTTTATTCGTCATTCTGGCTGGAGGTTTTATGGTATTGTTCCTACCGGGAGGCGGAGGAAGGGGTGTATAGGGAACTGGGGTCTGAAACCGGAGAGTAGCCGCCTCCTGCCAGCAGTAGGGGCATTTATTGAGTTGAAATCGCAGCCACCACCTTCATTCTACAATGTGGATGTTGGTGGTCGGCGCTCAACCAACAAACCCTCGACCGGCAGGCGACGAGATGCAGATGTCGTCAACTCCGACGACGACCGTAGAGCCAAGCCACTAGTGCCATGACAGTGCTCCGGCACGGATAATTCCTGCTCCGCGTGCCGATTACTCCGGAACTCTAAACCAGATCGCTGGCCTCATTATATAAGCAGCGGTTTTTCAAGTCGCGGACATCCAAAGCCAGCTGTGACGAACGTGCACGAGCTCCAGCAATCCTATAGACGCAAGGATCTGGGACTTCTGTGTCTCCCCTTACCTGTACCTATTACGCTATAGATGATTCCGTCCATGTTTGTCGCTCGATCGGCCCATTGACTCAGCCAACATGTGAGTGTATTCGTGACACCGTGGAGCTCTTATTGCTAACTCGAATCAAGGACGCCGCTCATAGCTAATGCTCAGATACGGTCTGCGGCGCTTCGAAACCCCCTTCCAATCCAGTTACACGCCTACGTCTGGCCTTTTCTGATAATATGGCCTGCCTTCCTTGCCTTCTACCTCTCTCCTGAACGCTATGATAAATACATCCAAGGCTCAGAATGGACCTTTGTCTGGGCTGGTTTTATATTTACTCTTCAAGCTCTCTTATGGCTTATGACAAAGTGGAACGTTAATGTTGATGCCCTTTTTACCACTGCGAGTGCGAAGTCGGTCGACGATGCCCAGCTCATCAAGGTCCTTCCGATAGCTAACGCTGGATCGGCCGAGATATGTCGTTTGATTAAAGAGCAAACTGGGGGGAAAAGTCACATCTCGTTTTTCTTCCAAAAACGGCGGTTTCTATACTCCTCAGAGCGAAAGTGCTTTGCCCCTCTTTCCTATGCCCTTGATGTTGAGCCAAAGCCACACCTGAGGGATTTTCGAGATACCCGGGGCTTGTCATCCAATGCTCAGATCGAACATATTCACAATCATTATGGCGACAATACCTTCGATATTCCAGTCCCAACTTTTGTTGAGCTATTTAAGGAGCATGCTGTTGCGCCGTTTTTCGTCTTCCAGGTATTCTGCGTTGGTTTATGGCTTCTGGACGAATACTGGTATTATTCTTTGTTCACTTTGTTCATGCTTGTTGCATTTGAGAGCACGGTTGTCTGGCAACGCCAAAGGACTTTGAATGAATTTAGGAGTATGAGCATCAAGCCATACGACGTTTGGGTACACCGAGAAGGCAATTGGATCGAAATCAGCAGTGACAAATTACTTCCAGGAGATTTACTTTCTGTGAATCGGACCAAAGAAGACAGTGGAGTCGCTTGTGATATTCTCTTGATTCGAGGGAGTGCAATTGTTAATGAAGCTATGCTTTCGGGAGAAAGCACTCCCTTGCTCAAAGACTCAATCCAGCTTCGCCCAGGCAATGAACGTATAGATCCTGATGGACTCGATAAAAACTCGTTTCTCTACGGAGGCACAAAGGTGCTACAGGTGACACAACCAAAGGCAATTTTGGATGGGAACGCGGATGACAGTATATCGCGCATCGGCGCTCCCCCCGATGACGGTGCACTCGGTGTTGTTGTTAAAACTGGGTTTGAAACAAGCCAGGGAAGTTTGGTTCGAACCATGATCTATTCTACCGAGCCAGTTTCTGCTAATAATGTGGAGGCATTGCTTTTCATCCTATTCTTGCTAGTATTCGCGATCGCAGCATCTTGGTATGTGTGGCAAGAAGGTGTGGCTAGAGATAGGAAAAGGTCGAAACTACTGCTTGATTGCGTTTTGATCATCACAAGCGTCGTTCCACCGGAATTGCCCATGGAATTAAGTCTGGCGGTCAATACCAGTCTTGCAGCTCTCAGCAAATACGCTATTTTTTGCACTGAACCCTTCAGAATTCCTTACGCTGGACGAGTTGATATTGCTTGTTTTGACAAGACCGGAACACTGACTGGGGAGGATCTTGTGGTGGAAGGCATTGCAGGGCTGACGCTTGGTCAAAAGAGCGCTCTAATTTCACCAGATGGCGCGCACACTAGCATTGCGAAGGTGGAAAATGTTGGTGATGAGACGACCCTTGTGTTGGCCACCGCGCACGCTCTTGTGAAGTTGGACGAGGGTGAGATTGTTGGCGACCCCATGGAAAAGGCAACGTTAACATCCCTTAAATGGTCTCTTGGCCACAACGACATCCTCACTAGCAGGCCAGGAGGGTTTGTCCAAACTGCGGGGCGAGTTCTCGAATCTGTCCAGATTAAACGGCGATTCCAGTTTTCTTCCTCGTTAAAACGACAAAGTGCACTTGCCACCGTAACCAGCATTGACAGACATACCTCAAAAAGAGTCAAAGCCTCTTTTGTGGGTGTTAAAGGTGCCCCGGAAACAATCAGCACTATGCTTATTTCTGTCCCTCCTTATTATGAGGAAACATTCAAATTTTTTACCCGTAATGGTGCGCGGGTTCTTGCGCTCGCCTACAAATACTTACACGCCGACGCTGAATTGAGCTCTGCAAAAATTAATAACTTGAAACGTGAGGAGGTTGAATCCGATCTACATTTTGCTGGATTTTTAGTCCTTCAGTGCCCCCTAAAAGAGGATGCTGTGAAAGCATTGCAAATGCTCAATGAAAGCAGCCATCGAGTTGTTATGATTACTGGTGATAATCCACTCACGGCAGTTCATGTTGCAAAGCGAGTTGAAATTGTTGATCGAGATACGCTTATCCTCGATGCTCCAGAACATGATGTGTCAGGAACAAGATTGGTGTGGCGCAGTATTGATGATAAGTTTAGCGTTGACGTTGACCCTACAAAGCCCTTAGATGAAACTATCCTTCAGACAAAGGATCTTTGCGTCACTGGGTATGCTTTAGAAAAGTTCAGGGGGCAAATGGCGCTTCCTGATCTTCTCCGTCATACCTGGGTATATGCGCGAGTATCGCCAAAACAAAAAGAGGATATCCTTCTGGGAATGAAAGATGCCGGCTACACCACATTGATGTGTGGCGATGGAACCAATGACGTTGGGGCTTTAAAACAAGCCCATGTTGGCGTGGCTCTCCTTAACGGGACGCCGGAGGATCTTAGCAAAATTGCTGAGCATTTCCGAATGACCAAGATGAAGGAGATCTACGAGAAGCAAGTTTCTCTTATGAAGAGATTCAACCAGCCAACTCCACCCGTCCCCTTACACATCGCCCATTTGTATCCACCCGGACTAAATAATCCGAATTATGAAAAGGCGATGCTCCGTGAAGCTGAAAAGAAAGGCCCAGCCACTATTGCTGCTCTACAAGAAGCCAGCAACGTACCAACTATCGTGTCTCCTGGTGCCCAGGCACTACAGAATGCTTATGATAATGTCAATTCTCAGCAACACCGTGAGCAACAGGCTAAGATTGCCGCCGCCAGCCTTGCAGATAAACTTACGACTAGTATGATGGAGCAGGAAATGAACGACGATGAGCCACCTTCACTTAAGTTAGGAGATGCATCAGTGGCTGCGCCATTCACAAGCAAGCTTGCCAATGTTATTGCCATTCCCAACATCATTCGTCAAGGACGTTGCACACTAGTCGCCACGATTCAAATGTATAAAATTTTAGCATTGAATTGTCTTATCAGTGCGTACAGTCTAAGTGTAATATATCTTGATGGAATTAAATTCGGAGACGGACAAGTTACTATCAGTGGAATGCTCATGAGCGTGTGTTTCTTGTCCATATCTCGAGCAAAGGTATGTGTGTCCATTATTGAGCGACTAGGCTTCTAACCGATTTCGAACAGCCAGTCGAAGGACTTTCCAAAGAGCGCCCACAGCCGAACATCTTCAACATTTACATTATCGGCTCTATTCTCGGACAATTTGCTATCCACATCGCGACCTTGATTTACCTCTCTCAATATGTCTATTCAATTGAGCCGTAAGTTTCTAGGTGCATTTACATTTTATTCAATGCCTGAGCCTCACACCTTTCACATTAGGCGCAAGGAAAATATCGATCTTGAGAAAGAGTTTGAACCATCCCTTTTAAACTCGGCCGTCTACCTTCTTCAGCTCATTCAACAGATATCTACATTTTCTATTAACTACCAAGGGCGACCTTTCCGAGAATCCATCCGTGAAAACCGAGGCATGTACTGGGGCCTTATCCTGACTTCACTCGTAACCGTTTCATGTGCTACTGAGTTCATCCCGGAGCTCAACGAAAAGATGCGACTTGTGCCTTTTAGCACCGAATTCAAGTTTATCCTCACCGCGCTCATGTGTGTAGATTATGCAGGCTGTTGGTTGGTGGAGAAGGGACTCAAAAAGTTTTTCAGCGATTATAAACCAAAAGATATCGCTATCAGGCGCCCAGATCAAATTGCAAGGGCTGAAGCAAGGAGATTACGGGAAGTAGAAGAGGAAGAACGTGAAAATGACATCAAAACAAGACTTTAAAGCATATTGTTTACTGACACAATCTGTTCTGTTCCTCTGTTCTTATATTACGTTTTTTTTTCGTGCTTTTATTTAAGGTCATATAGAATAGAGCTATCACTTCTAATAGGCATGGGACTGGATAGGCGCCTTCGTGTTTATATTTTTTCCAATATGTAGTTAACTAATTGGGCGCTCACCACTTTCTCACTACTTTGACTTGAAGGAACTCTCTGAACTGATATGTTCATATGCTGGTTCGGAAAATGGACAAGTATTCAACTATCGTATTATCCTATTTTGGTGAGGGTTGCCTCTTCGATACTCCTTATGGAAGCGAATTGAAATTTGCTGCTAGGTCTAAAAAGTCTCATCGTTTTCGCTAACTCAGTGCAGCTGGATCATAAGCGGTAAGTATATTGGTTCATGACTTTCCAGCACTGTCCTTGAGAGTAACAATACGATTCAGCACAATGGCATCGGGTCTCGAGTCTTTGTCAACTGTAAAGTAGCCCATGCGCATGCCTTGAAATCGAATACTGTACGGTTGGATAGTAGTGGCATCGTCGCCCTCTGTTACTTTGATACCTTCTTTTCCTTCCCCACCCTCTTTATTTTTTTCTTTCGGCCAAGGTGCTGATGCAGAAATTTCATCAAAGCCTGTTTCAAGGAGAGCCTTCGGAAATATTTGTTCCGAGTCGGGATTAATATCTGCTAAAAAGCCATCTGGGTGGGCGGAGGGATCCTCTGATTTGAATAATTGATTGAATGCGCGAACCTCGGCACGCTTGGGGCTATTATGTGAGGGAGATTCACCCACCCAGTGAATGTAGCTGTTTATACATATAGTCAATGAACCATTTCATAAAACTCACTAGAGTTCTAGATACGCACGTCTTTGGTTTCTTAGCAGGGGATCCCTCTATTGGTTTCTCGTATTTGGCATGGACACAGATAACTTCACCACTCTTTGGATCCTTATCATAAGTCGTTGCAGTGATGGGGTATGGTGCTTTCATCAGGCCAACCGTTTTACCGGGTGCCAAGCGGAAGTAATCTGAAGAATCTTCCTCGCGGAAATCCGATCGCTCGATATATACAACCTTCGTAAATGGCACCTTACGGGACTAGGATACAACCGTTAGTAGGTGCCATAGAATCGTTGGGAGTAAAGGAACATACCCCAAAGGAGGGATCCTTCGAGTACGGAACTTCAACCATCTCAACAAAATCATCTGGCAAGTCGTCGATCACTACTTTCAGAGGCTCCAAAACCAACATTAAGCGGGGAACTGTGGCTTCAAGATATTGGCGAACTGTCTGCTCTAGCTTTGCAACTTGGACATTTGATTTAGCTTTGGTCACGCCCAGCTGATTGACAAATGATAAGATAGCGCCAGGAGGAAAACCACGTCGACGTAGTGCAATGAGAGTAAAAAGGCGCGGGTCATCCCAGTCTCGTACAAAGCCCTTTTTAACTAGCTCGATAATCTTGCGCTTAGAAAGAACAGTCCCGGTGATGTTTAGGCGGCCATATCTACACAAGGTTAGTAACAAACATAAGATATATCTGAAGTAGTCTGGGGAGACATACTCGCGCTGCATTGGCTTATAAACTTCTAGTTTATCACATAGCCACTCGTAAGATTCACGAGAAAGTTCGAACTCCATAGTGCACAATGAATGAGATATACCCTCTATGCTGTCACAAAGCGGATGAGCAAAATCATAGGTTGGATAAACCTTCCAATTACTTCCGGTACGAAAATGAGATTTATCCTTTTGGTCCAGAATTCTCCATGCAAACAGATCCCACATTTGTGGATTCGGGTTTTCCAAATCTTGCTTCATACGAAGGGCGGCTTCGCCTGGTTGGTATTTCCCATCCTTCATTGCTCGAAATTCATTCAACGATTCTTCAACGGGTCGTGAGCGATGACTGCAGGCGTACCGTTCGCCACCAGTCCCTTCGCCTCGCTGGGCTTTGATCTCGGCCTCTTTCATCAAGCATCTGTTAGTATCGGAACTACTGGAGATCGGGGAGTAGATGCGACATACTTGTGCAATGGCAGACGTACGCTCCATCACGTCTTATTAAGTCCTCAGCAAGCTCATACAGCTTTTGGAAATTATCACTAGCCGCTGTGACTCGCACAGGTTTAAAACCAAGCCAATGAATTATATCCTCAATTGCAGTATAGAACTGTTCTTCTTCGCCCTCCGGATTTGTATCGTCAAAGCGCAGAATGCAGCTACCTCCATGATAGCGTGCAAATCCGAAATTCACTGCAATCGCCTTGCTGTGTCCAATGTGTAAGAAGCCATTGGGCTCCGGTGGAAAACGAGTGTTAACTTTGGGTATCGTCTCTGAGATTGGCCTTTCCTGATATACATCGGCTAGAAAGCCGACCTTGAACATAAATTCAGGATCTTGAGTGATCTCAGTTCCCGAATTACCACCTCCCGGCGTTTTGGAGCCCTTCTTAGCTTGGTTTGAGTTGTTAGTTTTGGGTACCTTCGGCTGCTTTGGGGGCTTCTTTTTTTGGGTGTTGGGCTCCTTTGGCCGTTCCGGCAAGTCCACAGTACCCGAGGGGGTGCTCATTTTAGGAGGAATGGCGTCAATAATGGCTGTAAACAAAAGCGCAACCACAGGCGTTGTTTTGAATTATACTAACCGAAGATACTGTGAGTGACTGGCGGGACAAGTCTCGTGCAACGACAGCGGGGGCTGACTCATAGGAACGCTAGTATCGATCCGCACTAGCGCCGTAGTCACCCACCATCGGCATTGACGACGCGACTGTTGACGCCCTACGAAGAAGGGAAAGAAGATAAGCCCAGGGAGAGGTGCTGGCCAGCAACGGGGACACAAGAAAGACAGAGGAAGGGTTATTATGTATTATTGCTTGTGATGTCGCCAGTTGGATAGGTGCTTTGCTCTTGAGCTAGATGTACGGTGACCCAGAGCCCTACAAACATACAGGGGTGGACACCGAAACAAGGCTGTGACCAGGTGGAAGCTGTTCTTTGAAGCCCAGCATGCTCCATGATTTGCAGCAACCTCCTTCTGACTGGATACGACTGCACATCCTCCAGCACGGGCCGGGCGGGACTCTAGGCGATTTGTCAAGGTCAAAGCTGGGGATGCTGTAGCCGAGTGCTACCATGTAAGCACGCCATCCTGGAATACGAACCACTCAACTGGCAGCCACAGGCCTTTGCCGGCACGCGTATGCATGCATGTCGGTGATAGCCACGCGGGAATATAGCCATGGCCAGGCAGTCGAAGATCGTTGGGGGCGATGCCAAGCCGGCATTCCGGCGCTGATTTTTCCGGCGGCGCAAGGTTGAGCCGCAAGCGGCTCCAACGCCAAACACGATTTCAGGCCGCCGTATTAATATTGTGTGCGGTGGCCAACACTTCAGCTCTGTGCGCGGAGGCGAGACTAACGCCAGGCGGTGCTGGCCCTGTCAAAAGAGACGGGCGGCTGGACAAGGCCCGATGCCGGAAGAAGTCAGACTCTTTCCCACGGTCCCACTGCAGGACGACCAGCAGGTCCCGTATCATCCTTTTCATAGCATGCGCTGGCGATCCCGTCGTATGTTGGCGAAATCCAAACCAGCCACTCAGCAGGTGGCTTTTTTTTTGGCTCTGGCCAGCTCAACCTAGGCTTCTCAGCAGGATGGGGCCGCGTATGAGCCCAGAGGCGAGAGCCCCCTTGAGTCTCAAATATGATGATTAGCGCCCAGTTGGCAACAATCCACAGACGATGGTCCTAGCAGTAGAGTTTGTTGCCCAGGCCCGTCAACCCTGCAGATGGAGGTGGCGCCCAGCATCACCAGACCTACTAGGACTTGATCTCTTTGCGTTGTTGCGACACGCCTTGATACGGCACGCTGGGGCAGGGATCAGAGCCGCAAACTTGTGTGCTTACTTTCTTTTTTGGTGCCTTTTCAACCCTGCTCCAACTCCCAGCACAGCATGCTTCTGGAAAACTCACAGCCTTGTCAAGCTCCCTGTGGTCCAAGCATCGTTGGCGGCCAGATAACCTTTTAGCCTTTGACTTTGCAAATTAGATCTGAACTAAGACACTCTAAGCGCTTCATTGTCCGTGCTGGATCCAAAAAGACGATGGATCTCAACCCTGAGTACGTATTTTTCAGCCTCATTTTTGCCTCTTCTTCACGCTGAAAGCGAAAATGTTCTACTCACCCGAAGTTTGTTGGCCGCCCGGTCTTGAGCCTCATTAAGATCCGCGATGCAGATATAAGTCGAGTGGGAGCTTGACCTTTTCACCAATATGTCAAAAGACAATGCTCTCCAAATGGCCAACCAGCATTGCTGGTAAGGTAAAATAAAATCTTTCCTCAGTCTGTTTAATGCAACTTCAATATCCACCAAGACCAGCAAAATTCCTCATGATGGTCTCCTGTGTTAAACATCGCTTCTTTAAACCGTCCCAGAGATTTCTTTCCGGTCTTCAAATGGTCGCTACCGACAAACCTATCATTGCTCTTCTATCCGGATTCAATATACTGGGCTGATTAGCTCCTAATACATATTTTTTGTTATTCTACTACTTCACACTACGGCGTGTCTTGCCATGTCTCAAAAATTTGATCTGGTGCCGTTTGATATTTGGCATGAGATTGCCTCATACCTAGGCCCCAATGACTACGTTAATCTTAGTCTTGTTAACCGAGACATGTATGAAATGCTAAAGGACGAGTTCACAGCCCGAAAATCCGCTCAGGTATGGTCTCTGGGGATAGCGCCGCGCCTATCTGCCTTCTCTCCCGATATCTGGGCGACTTCGTTGTTGACCCGTTTTCATAGAGATTTATGTTCCACAGCGCTGAGTGCAGATTGGCAGCCAGTGGGAAAATCAGCTACCGCCAAGCCATAGGACGCATCTTCAATGTTCGGGAGGCAGTGGCCACGGCAAATCCTTACTCAGTGGGTCTAATGGGTTATGCGGAGAGCTTTCAATTCCGGCAAGGTGTTCTCTGTTACCAATTTGGGGATGTCATTAGGGTGATGAATGCCCGTGAAGCACAGGATACAGAGGTTGTCATTGATGTTAAGGCGGCGTTTGCAGATGCCGTCCTCCATCGAGAGTTTACACAACATGACGACAATCTGAGAACGTCCCTTAAACACTATTCCGATGGCATTGCTTCTTGTTTATGCGAATGGTCTAATCGCGTATGGCTACTGGTCTTTGATGTTCATTCAGTCCGTTTGGGTATGTCTTCGAACCGTGTGAAGATGGCACGCCAGTTGGACTCGACTCGAGGCCTTTTTATTCGCAATAATGGCACCTACCTTTATTACGGAACGCATTCGAGAAGAGTTCATCATAGCCATCGTGACCATCATGAGTGGTTAATACACGGGGTGAATTTAGAAGACAACAGTGATATTACAAAACGGCCGCTGCAGCTCGAGAATGTCGTCGGCTCCGAGCTTGGGTCAACAATTTGTTTCGAAATACGAGATGATTTTCTCTATATTGTCTCCAATCAAACACAGCACGAAGAAGAGGAAGTTGACTGGACGTCGTTTTATATCTGCGTGCGCATTCCTCTGTCACGACCCACAGAGCCTATGTGGCAACGATACTGGCGACGGCAGCACCAAGAGGGGCCACTAAATGATACTTGGACTAGCTTATCTCTACAGACAGATGATGAGACCGGGAATTTGATCATAGTCGAATCCCGGCGAGAATGGCGAGATGGTGGCAGTGAGAACTACAGGACTTATTACATGCAGCCTATTGATCGTCCTTTTGCCCAGATGAAATGGGATGCTGAACGGCTCGGTCTGGCAGCAATCCACCCTCTCTTTTTCACAGAAGATCCACCTAGCCCTGGGTTCCCACGCTATAGGCCTGTCAGTCGACTGCCTAGCGACGACCCTTTGATACACACCCTCGATGCTTTCAGCAAACCGAATTATGTTCCTCCGCGAAAACGTGTGAAGCGGCAGTATCATCATGAATACACTGAAGAAGAACGAGTTTCGGATTTGCGAAGGGATTTTCCACTTTCTAAAACAAAATTCTGGGCATATCACCACTCAGCAGGGACGTTTATCGACTTGGTAAATGACCCAAATTCTCAACACTCCTCAAATTCATCAGATCGCCTACGCCTCCGCATTGGCTCTCGTAAACGCAAGTGCCCTATCGACGAAACCGGCGAGGAAGTCGAATCTGGATTTTTATACCCTCCGGAGTATTTTGACGAAGATGGCACACCGATAGATTGCTCTGAAGAGCGATATGAATCTCGTGGGATCAAGCTGTGGCCTCCGGATAATGCACCGGAAGAGCTATTGCGAATCACCTGCCCACGATCCGCTTTAGGGGCTGTTGAGGGGTCTACGGACGAGAGGACGATTGTTTATTTAACGAGAGCTGCAGGAATGGAGGATCATAGGCAAGTAATTGTCTTGATTAATTTCGATGCAGCCATCAGATTTAAGGGTTTCAAACGACTAAATTCAGCCTCAGTTCGTGGGAATCCGAACCCGCATGCCCACGCAAGTGAACTGTCTGCTAGTAGTGTTACCGAAGACCCAAGCAGCACAGCTCAGTACCTCGAGACCTCCCTTCCCACAGCTACAAGCTACTCTACAACAACACAGCCATACCAAAACGAACGCTTTTGTCCTCTCGAGACCCCGGGGTACCATGGTCTTAAGCTACCCGCTTCGGAACCACCATGGTTCACGATTGAACGCGCATCGCATTGTAGTATGGTCGGGTACTGGCTTCGCTGAATAGCTTTGTAGGTGCTAGGCCGTGAGCCAGAGAATGAGGGCATCAGATCTCTCATTATACAATCGAGATCAAATTCCAGAAGATAGTATAGCTAGCTTACTAGTGTTTCCCTGGCATGGCATCGGGTCACAGCAGGGATGGAGAGTAACCCACCCTGGCCCCGGTGTCTAGTTATGTATACAGCATGGACCAAAGAAGTCCTAGATCTAGAACCAAGCAGTTTTGGATGTCCATATCTATATCAGATTGTTTTCCTGCACCGCAATGGTGCTCGACAACAGCCTACCCAGCGGGGGAATATCCCTATCACGTGACGAATCAGGCCATTGAGTCATTCGATTCTCTCCTCCTCCTCAAAGTACTGGCCGTGAACATCATCAACTACACCTTTCAAGTCAGTAGCAATCATGGCATCGACAACTCTCCATCTTCGTGCGGAGGACAAGATCCTCGAGCATAGGTATGGTTGCCCCCGATTCGCCTTAGTTTTTACCCCACCCTCGCCGTTTTTTCTATATTTTATATGTATATTCAATTAACGAAATCCTCCCAGATCCGCTCTCACTCCCTCTACCACTCGTTCCCTCCTAGATGCTGGCTACACCATCAAAGTGGAACGATCCCCCACTTCACCTCTCCGAAAGCGCATTTTTCCAGATCAGGAATTCGAAAAAGCGGGGGCCGAGTTGGTTCCCGAAGGTAGCTGGGTTAATGCGCCCCGGGATTCGATTATTGTAGGACTAAAAGAATTGGACGAAACCAAGGACTTTCCTTTGATTCATGACCATGTTACGTTTGCCCACTGCTTCAAGAACCAGGGAGGATGGGAAAAAGCGCTTGGCAGATGGAGCCGCGGCGGCGGGGTTTTGTACGATTTGGAATTTCTACAGGTTTGCTGCTCTTCGTCTTGGCTTAATGATCTTTGGGGTTTGGCATGTAGCTGATATCTCATCCATTTGTATTAGGATGACTCTGGAAGGAGAGTAGCTGCCTTTGGCTACCATGCCGGGTTTGCAGGTGCTGCACTTTCGCTGAAGAATTGGGCCTGGCAACTAGAGCACCCTGACGGTACTCCGTTACCCGGTGTGGACGATTTCACTGGTGGAAAGGGATATTATATCAATGAAGACGAGATGGTCAACCAGATTCGTGCAGATGTGGAACGGGGCTCAAAGATTGCTGGCCGCAAGCCTCGGATATTGATTATTGGCGCATTGGGTCGTTGTGGAAGGTGAGTGGATGGGTAATACTTGTAATGCGGCATAGTACTAACTAGCCATAGAGGAGCTGTGGATGCATGCGTCAAGGCAGGCTGTGAAGATATCCTAAGATGGGATATGGAAGAAACAGCAAAGGGTGGGCCATTCACTGAAATCATCGAATCAGACATGTAAGCTGATTGGTATCTATTGACAACTTGGGATCTTCTAACGATTTCCAGCTTCATCAATTGTATCTACCTTACAAGCAAGATCCCGCCATTTGTCGACGACAATAGCCTCCTTGGCTCGAATCGCAAGTTGTCTGTTATTTGTGACGTAGTATGTTTCTTCTCAGAACTCTGCCCGGCGCTTCGCTAACCTATGCGTCCATAGAGCTGTGATACAACAAATCCAAATAATCCTATTGTAAGTCTAACACCCCATACTTAGAGTCTTAAGCTAACTTAATGTGCTCCAGCCCATCTACAGTGCGAATAGCGTAAGTGTGATTGAATTTGAGATTTTGTTCTGGTGCCTTCTTTGGGCTTCTAGCTGACTATTACGCCTCTTAGACCTTTGATAAGCCTACTATCCAGCTTAAATATTCCAACCCACCTCTGAGCGTGATCTGTAAGTTTGGATTTTGGGATCAATCAAGTCAATTGAACACTAAATATATCGTAGCAATCGATCATCTCCCGAGTCTTCTTCCAGCTGAATCATCAAACGCATTCTCGGCCGACCTTTTACCTTCCATGTTGGAAATCAAGAATCGCGCTTCGCATCCTGTGTGGAAGCGGGCTGAGAACCTCTATCAGGAGAAGGTGGCATTGTTACCCGCGGAGTTACAAAAGAGAGAGGTTTAAACTTTGTCCTCTTTGACCTCTTTGATACTGTCTTTGAAAACATAGCCTGTTACCTAGAATATTCTCTTCTCAAAAATAGAAGCTATATGCGGGTGAAACTGAAGATGACTTGTTCTGTAATTCAGATCATAACAAACTTCGATGATCTGTTATCTACCTGAAAGCAAACCTTTACTTTACGTTCCGGTCTTGACTTGATTAGATAGTTCCCATGTATAAAAACCATATTAAAAGTACACCTTGCCGTTTACTTCGTTTCCCCCAATGCCTTTATATTCCAGTTGTCTGACCTAAACAAGTTCGTGGTGACCTATATAGCTTCCCCACAACGGCCAAATTTTTGATGAATCCCGCACGCAGAAATTCTGTATAACCTCGTGAAATCATAACTGTCAGTGGGGCTCTATGCGACGCCCATATGGCTTAGTTGGTAAAGCGTATCACTAGTAATGATAAGATCCTCAGTTCGACTCTGAGTGTGGGCACACAAGGGTGTCTATTTTTTTTTGGTTTCTTGCTCCTATAATAAGAATGCTGGCAGATCTAAGACATGGATATTTCCTGCACGCAACTGGAAACGGTTACCCTCTGAAGGGATTGTCCTACGGAGGACACACATCGCCTCTTCATCCTTGGATGGTTTGAATTGGGGGAACAGCTTTGGTAGTTCACTGTGCAAGGCTAATGCAAATACACACGGCTTAAAGTAAAGTAGCTTACTATCTACGCCGAAAAAAAAAGAAGCTTCTAAGTTACATACCAGGTCACGCGGGGGGGGAAGCCACCCATGCAATAAATGCTGAGCAAAAGGGAATCAATAATAATGCTGGGCCAGGGGGCGCAGCAGAATAAGAAAAAAAATGAGAAAAGAAAGACCAGAAACACTGAGGCGTGGCATAACACCCTGCAACATATCGGTGTGCCATGGGAGTATAAATAGATCATCACAGTGACAAGAGAGAGCCTGGATGAAAGTCATTACAACATATTTGCTTCAGATGTTGCACGAGAGTCTAATTGAGTTGCACGTAATTACCTGCATGCACACAAGGCCTGTCAGTTATTGTTGCTGTGCCGCACATGCCGCTGGAGAGAGAGAGGGGGCTGTCATACCAGGAAACTGTCCCACTTTCCCATGTACCTTGCCGGTCCACCACTCATTGTCATTATCCGTCCTCGACACAATCTCGATGACATCTCCTGTGGTAAAGCTCAAGTCGCCCACCGCCTGCGCCTCGTAGTCATACAGAGCCGTCACCGTCTCTACCTGCGCCGCGGCGAATTTGGCGGGCTTCGGCTTGGGCGGTGGTGGAGCAGGCTTTGCTTTCGCGATGGCCGAGAGAGACGAGCCGGCGGCTATTAAGGGGGAGGCGGCGTGGGCGGAGTACGGCGGGGGAGGGTTCTCCGAGGCGCCGCCTGCGGCGTGGCGAGCGGGATGGGCTTTTGACTCTGCGGCTAATTTGCCCTTCCCGCCGGGCACGAATTTCGAGCCCGGGCGGCGACCTCCCATGGTTTTGAAATGGACAATGGTGAGCTGCTCCGTGCGCTCTTTGACGTCGCCTCGTTTTTTCTCGTATGCCACCTCGACGTCCGACGTGAGGTCGAAGTAGCCAATATTCAAACCCTGCATCTTTTCGTGGAGGGTGTAGAAAACATTCAACTGCATATAGTAGAATGATTGGAAAAGGGGCTGGATAAACTCTGCTTCCAAGGTGAAGAGTTTGGGCAGTTCGTCCTTCAATAGGTCGTTGTAGTAATTGAACTCCTGCGTGGCCTGCTCGACATCACTTTCGACCTTGTACATTGCCTTTTCGTCCTTCAGCGATTTATCCTTTTTATCCTGGAGCTTCTTGAGCGAGGCGCGGTGGCGATCATAGTCCAACTGCTTGTGCTGTCGTTTCACGGCGACTTTGCGGATGACCTTGATGATCTCGAGGAGCTGGTCGGCCGGACTGATGATTCGCGATTCGATCAATTCGAGTTCCGGCTGCAGCGTGGTCAGGAGCTCCCGCACGATATTTGCATATTCTTCAGAGGCCTGGATACCATCTGGGTTTCCTTCAGGCTCTATCGACGTTGGGTCGGAGGCTCGTCCAGAAATGGGCTTGTATAATTCTGCAATGGCTTTCGAAAACTCAATCTGGTGGTTTAACATGCCTGCGAGACAACGACTTTCGCGTTAGTACGTCCCCAGAATCAGCCAGGCTACAACAATTGACAACCACGGCCCGGGGGGAGTGGGAGAATAATACCGGTGATGGCGTCGAAATACTTTTTCGATTCATCGTGCAGCTTTTTGGTTTCCTTCTCAAGTTCTTGGAATCTCCGCTCAGCGTCGAGGTATACGGGGTCCTTTGTGTTGTCTCCGAGGTTGAACTTAGCTCGGAAATTTTGCGGAGCTCGAACGAACCCCCTTTGGAATCCCTTCAAGCTCATCTCGCTAGGCGACGGGATGCGAATGCTGTAGCCTGAAAATCTCGAGAAATCGTAAAAATTGTTTGAAGAGGCAAGTGGCCTGGGCAGCTGAGAAAGGATTGTGCGGGGGAGAAAGTCTGCGGTCGAATTAGCATGTTACGGCAAGATGTCGGCGATGGGGGGAGGGGGGGTATAGGTACATTTCAAAGAGCGCAAGAGGACGTTTGAGGTCCCGGCAGAGGTCTGTTTGCCTTACAAACGCAGGAGGACTGTCGGTCTTCTGGTGAGCTGCGATATCGAGAATGTTTCGCGCAGCCTGGGCGGCTGACATAAGCGGCCGCCTGCTCGTCATCGGCGTGGCTGAGAAACAACGCCTATCCGTAACAGGCCTAGCGCGGGGTGGGCAGTGCCACAGGGCATGATGTCATGGTTTCTGGAAGACGAATGGAATATTATCTACGGTGGACGCTATATATACAGCACGAAGAGAGTCGTGGGCTCGCAGGGCATGGCTGCGGTGGGCTTATTAAAGGTGGTCACGTTTTGGTTTCGTCGCGATAGTTCTGGACGACGGTCTCTTCGACCTCGTGCTCAAAGACGTCGACCTGCGTGGACGCAAACTTGCGAGCGCGGGTGCCGCGTTCGAACAAGAGATCGAGCTCGGCAAAGGACCTACCTTGGGGCTCTGGGAGGCGGAAGAAGGTGTAGATGACACACAGGAAGCAGATGCCGCCCCAGAAGAAGCCGGCATAGTTGCCCCAGTCCCAGGCGCTGGGGTTCAGCATGTATGGGGTGAGGATGTTACAGATGATGGCGACGACGTTGTACAGATTGCGGCCCAGCACGACGGTTTTGATCTGCAGGCGGCGCGAGGACAGCTCGGAGACGAGCGAGTAGCACACGGTGCCGACGGTCAGCTGGTAGATCAGGGCCCAGCCGATCATCATGCTACCGGTGGCCATCGAGCCCTGGGTACGATGGGCGCGCGGGACGAGCCCCAGGAAGCCCATGACCAGTAGCATGGTGGACAGGCCGGCGAGGCCGTAGAGGTAGAGGGTGCGGCGGCCGACGCCGAGGGTCATGAGAAACCAGGCGCCGAAGACGCCGACCATGTTGATGGCGTACTGGCCCAGGGCGAAGGAGTAGGCGTGCTTGGTGTCGAGGCCGGCCTGCTGCAGAAAGTAGGTGGAGTAGTTGGAGAAGGAGTTGCCGCTAAGGTTCTGCATGGCCCAGACCATGCAGACGATCTCGGTGCGGCGCAGATCGACGCCGCGGAAGCAGTCCCAGTAGCTGGCGCCGCGGGTGAGCTTCTCCTCGAGGGCGTTGGTGTGGACCATCATGGCGATGGTCTCGTCGGCGTCGAATCCGGTCTCGCGGTTGAGGCTGGTGAGACGGAGCAGGGCGCGTTTGGCATCGTCGACGCGGCGGCGGCGGACGAGCCACCAGGGCGACTCGGGGGCGAGGGCGATGCCGACGAAGAGCGGCAGGGGCCACATCCACTGCAGGGCGTAGGGGATGCGGTAGGCCCACTCGTCGTTGCGCGGCAGCATGGCCTTGAGGACGGCGATGCCGATGAACTGGCCGAGGCCCCAGCAGAAGTTGACGTAGGTGGTGAGGTAGCCGCGCAGGGCAACGGGACAGACCTCGCAGGCGTAGGTGATGGTGAGGGTCTGGAAGACGCCCCAGGGGATACCGCACAGGATCTCGGCGGCCAGTAGGGTGTGGACGGACTGGGCAGTGAAGAAGAGGGCGATGAAGGCCGTGAGGAAGGCGAGCGAGGACAGGATGGTGGCGCGGTAGCCGAAGCGCTCGGAGGCCCAGCCGTTGATGAAGAGGCCGATGATCTCGCCGACGGCGGCGCCATTGCTGAGGCCGGCCTGCCACTGCGACGTGTTAGCAATAGTTATATATCTACATATATACGAAGGGATGGGCGTACGCTGGCGGGCACCTGGTAGGAGCCGTCGGGCTGGCGGACGCCGTACTTGCGGTTGAACTGCGGGAAGGCGTAGAAGTTGCCGACGAGGCTGATGTCGTAGCCCTCCATGACGATGCAGGTGGAGATGAGCACGCTCCAGGCGACGGCCTTGGGGTACAGACGGATGCCCTGCAGCAGGGTCATGGCGTGCTCCTTGTCGGTGGCCGCGCGGGCGGCGGCGCGCAGGTCGGGCATGGCGGGCAGAGTGGGTGGAGGGGAGGGAGGGGAGGGAGGAGAGCAAGACGAGGGCGCGCAGCAGGTGGACGACGGCGGGACGGGCGCATGGCAGAGCTGAGAAGGCGAGGAGGAGAAGAGAGGAGGAGAGAGGAGAGAAGCAGACGCGGCAGCGGAAGTGCGACGGCGAATACGAGCGGCGAACCGCTAACTAACTAACTAGTTAACCAGCGAACAGCACCAAGCCGGAGAACCGCGGTCTACTAACTAACTACCAGTTAGTTACATCGCATCAACAGCCAGGTCAACACAGACCGCTGCCGTCTGTTACCTCCTCGCATCGCCTGGTCTGGCCGCGCGCTGGGATGGATGAGGCTGGTCTGGTCTGGTCTGGTCGGGCCTTATTGCGGTCCGGGCCGCTGTACAGGCACACACGCCGCAGCAACAGATAACGACGCCGACGGAGGGAGACACAGATGCAGATTCAGACAGATGCAGATGCACAGCCTGCCGCTGTGCTGCTGGTCGGGCCTGGCCTGCTCTGGCCCGTCGACGCCGGCCAGACTTGCGGCCGTTGATACCCCCCGAGTTATCAGACCTCCATATCAGACAGAGCCTTCAAAAGGCCGTCCCACCCGCCGCCATGCCGTCTCTCTGTCTGCTCTCCAGCACTTCTCTAGCTATCGAGCACTCTAGCTACCAAGCATCTCCTACCCCTTCGCTGTCCCCATGGCTGACGTGATCGAAGACATCGAAGCCGCCCTGAACGCAGCTTCGTCCCTCTCGCCGCCCGACCTCCCCGACTCGTCCAAGAAAAACAAGCAGCCCAAGAACACAGACGAGAAGGAGAAGGAGAACAGCTCTGCCTGCTCTCCGCTCAACACTTGCCTGATGCTCGTCTTTGCCGCCGGCGTGGTGGTGCTCATCACCTTCATGATCATCAGCAACGGCAACGGAGACTCGCCCGTCCGCCGTCCTCGTCTGCCCATCCGCCACCACGGCTCGCTGGCCTCCGTCCACCTACCGCCCGAAGTCTCGTGCGGCCACTCGCACGCCGATGCCGTGGCCCGCAACTGCGCCTTCGACGTGCTGGCCGCCGCCTGGATCCCGCCGCGCTGCCACGACCGCGACCTGGCTCGCGATGCGCAGGCTCCCGATACCCCCCTCGCGCGCCTCGGCGGTGCCGGGCCCTTCCCGTGGTGGGCGGACGCCAACCACACGCTCCCCATTGCGCCGCACCAGCTGGCCGTGCAGCCCGACATGCGCGCCTTTACCTGGGAGACCTTTCACGTCGCACACTGTCTCTACAAGTGGCGTGCGCTGCGCAACGCTGCCGAGCGCGTTGCCCGTGGCGAGCGCGACGTCTGGGTGCACGACCAGCTGCTGGCTGCCGGCCATATCGACCATTGCACCCAGGTCATCGCCAGCCAGCCCCAGCGTGCCGGCGCCCGAGCCGAGGTGCGCTTCGCCTTTGGCCGCTGCGTTAGACTTGATCCCGTTGCCTGATCGTTCATCATTGGCCTGTATTTCTTTACGAGTGATGACCCTGTTCTTATACCCATTCCTTTCTTCATTGCGTTGCTATGTGTTTATCAAGGCAGCCTCTCCAGAACCACATCATCTGCCCGTCTTTCGGCATACCCGTCCTCGTCTGCTACCTGTCTGGCCTCGGCCCACTTTCGTATCTCTTCAAAATTCTTGCACTTGTGCTTCGTGTTGAAGTCCACGAACGGCCCGACTTGTGTCACCCACCATTGTCCAAATACCCCAGTATCTGCCGTGCACATGATCTGCTGCCGAAGCATATCCAGGCAATGCCCTATAATAGAGCGTTAATGGCCATTCCTGTACCCCTCCTTCTTTCTTTCTATCCTCTTCTTTCATAGCATAATGCCATACCTGTATGTTGACGAAGCACCTCCTTTGAATTCACAAAAGCGCCCGTTCCTTGCCTCTGATAATACTCGTAGTTGTAGTGCGATGTTTGACGAAGCAGATTCTAGCGTCTCCGTGAGATGCATCCCACTCCAGCAACAAGCACCCATTCACTCACCAAGCAGTGCAGGTGGTGCAGCACTTCAACATTCACAAAGAAGCCCCCACCCTTGCTTTTGGCCCGTTTGACCTGTCCGCGGTCGATCCCGTATCTGCCGGCTTCGTTCTCCGGAATCACAATCGCCGCATCTATCGCCATAGCCATATCAGAACAGCTGTCCACTCCCAAACAACATCGGACCTCAATCCTCACATTCCGCGCCCAGCGCTGCCCAAGCCGCGTCAACTTCCGCGCTGGCAGCCCGGCGATATATGGTTTCGTGAGTAAATGATCCGTTGAACTTGACCGTGCTGTAGGAGATAGAAACGTCGTTAAACACAGGGGAGTCTGGCTCATGCCTGTATCAGAATGTCATCCACAATAAAACAAAGGAGGCACTCGAGCGACATGCCGTATTGCGAGGTATGCCGGCTGCATATCCTATCGCGGTTTGAAACGTTGAGCTGCTCCATCAACAAGATGATATTGCAGAAGACCGAAAGCCCGCAGGTGACAGCAAGCACAAACCCTAAGCATCTGTACGGAAACCGAAACGCTCGGCGGGACGATGAAGATTCGCTCCTCGGAAGAATAGCCTCATGGCAAGTTTCAATTCTTGAATACCCCCAACTCAGGGCCTGACAGAGGAAAGGCATCATCTTTTGAGGTGTTGTATCCAAACAGATGCCAATGTCATCATAAGAATGCAATTTTTGGCTGCAGAAAGGGGCTTCAGAGTCAATAATTCACAAGCATTTCAGCTGGTCCACATTTCAGCTTCTTGATCCCTTGGGGGCTACCAAGCAGAAATTTCAAATATAGAGGCAATATCATCATCAAGGTGTGAAGCACAAGCTGTAATCCAGCCCACCATGAACTGTCCCTAAAGGGTAAAGACTCTTCTTGATTTCAATTGGGTATATTCACCAGTATCTCCACTGAAAGAAGGACAAAATATAATTCAAGCTGCTATTGACTGCCCCAAAGGGGCAAATACAGTCCCCAAACTTGCTATATATATTAACCCATATCTCCTCAAAAAACATAATAATCTCATTCAACACTGTTTTAGCCAGAAGAATAAATTAGATATATCCTAATTTTTAAGAGCCAAAGATGAAGCTTCTCTCAGCTGTAGCAATCCTCATCACTGTCATCAGAGTGCACGCAGCACCAGTTGTCGTATGTCTTTTCATAATTTCTTGGGCGAGACCACAGCAGCGGTGGCTAACTTTCGTCCCAAAGCCAGCCGCGGACACAGGCCATACCAATGTTGACCAGGATTTTGATATATCCACAGTATGCTTGACAAGAGGGGAATACCAGTAAAAGCTGACCAGTAATAGTATAACTGATATTTCAGATACCTCTCATATATCATCCCAGGAGATGATTCCTACAGACATAGCCAGTAGGATGGCCTTGTTCCAGCAAGATGCTATGAGATGGGGTAGGGGGAATGACCCATGGAGCAAAGGGTGTGGTTCTGGTTCTATAGTCTTATCTATCAATTTAAAGACAGTAAAATTTCTCCAAAATGTAATTCACTGCAATTGATAGAATTGCAGCATTGCCATGCCTCTGACACAGAAATCAGCCCACTGATTCATATATTTAAGAATGGCATCATATATCCCCGGCAGTAGATTGGAACCCTCAGATCTCAAAAGCTTTACATGAAAATTGCATCTTCTTCCATTGTTCCATGGGCCTTAATATCTCTATCCACTTGTGTCATGGGAGTGACCATGATGCTTCACAGGGAAAAAGGGTCCTTTGAATGAATCTCAAACAATGTTGTGCAAGAAAAAAGAAAAAAAAGGCCAGAATGCCATATTGTATGAGAGGATCTTAAGCCAGGGTATGTGGAATCTCAAGCTTGGTGAAGTAAAGTGTCAGAGGGTATCATGAGCTAGCATCTCATGAATCATGTTAGTGACATCTGGACAGGGCTGATGAAATCAGGGTGGGAAGATTTGATCTCAAGCATAGACATGCAAACCATGTGCAGCACCTACTTCATCTATAAGTACAGAGTACAGAGGCCAGCAGATATGTAGCCCTTTAGCCAAGTAAAAGTCAGTGCATTGGAGAGTCAAGAACATCTGTTGAGCAGGAGTCAGATGACTTGTCAGATGATCAGATCTCTGAAGAAGAAACCAGAGAACTGTAGGTTTGCCACCTTCTCTTCTCAACCATGGTACTGATTTCATTATCTTTGACTATTGGGCTGGCAGAGGTTTGCTAGAGGTTTTTCATATGTTTTTTCTGTAGTCTTGATTATAGCATGTTCATCTATAAGTATTCTTGTCTCATTTGTTAGAAGCAGACTTAGACACAATATTATAGACACTCAGTTACATGATCATCATGTGCTTCTGTGTCATTCAATAGTTATGAGCCCAGACTCTTTCAAGAATTTAATTATTATCTAAAGATATGTTCAAGATACTTTATTTTACTTTTGTTATTCATATAAATAGAGATCACTATTAAGTATCTTGAGATCATATATTGAACTCTCTATTTAAGCTTAAATTTTAATTGTGAAGTTTGCAGAGATCTAATACATCTATATAATTTTTATCAATCTAAGTCTATGGAAAATCATAATCTAGAGTCAACATCTCACTTCAATAATTAATTAAAAATGAATGAATCATCTAGAAGAGTTGTTATGCTGAATAGCTCTAATAATTAAGAAGAATGAATTAAAGACATTAAGCATTTAGCAAATCTTCATCAATTGTGGTCATACATCAATCCAACAAAAGAAACACATTTCAAACTTCAGAAACTTATTATAGAGAATTTTCTTTCTTCTGAAAAAATCAAAAAAACTGTGACTTCTGTGAATATAAAATATGTAAGAAATATGCAAAGAGATCAATACAGAACTTGAAAGAAGAAAATCTTAGCAATGCAAGAGCTACAGAAGACAATAAAAGATTATATAGATTCATCTCTGAGAATTCTTACAATAAGTGAATTAGATGATATAGAAACTACTGCAAAAGAACATCTGAAAGCTCTATATACTAGAAATGCAGTGAATACTTCTCAATTAAAAGCTAGACTAGTAGAAAAATTCAAAACTCTCAAAGAAGAGTCAAAGAATCAAGCAATCAAAGCATATTTACTGAACTATAAAGAAGCATTGAATCAGATGATCATGTACAATATGTGTGAATATATTCACAAATCATTTATCTCAAAACAATTTTTGAGAGTGATCTCTTCAAATTATAGAGAGTTCTTCTATACATATCTATCTAAGCTTCTAATCAAGAAGAATTTGAATTGAGAACATAAGCTGAATGTTTATAGACATATTCAGATATTTTGGCAGTTGTTAAAGAAAGATACTGAGCCAGATCAAAGTAATAAGCTGTCAGCATATTCCACTGAAAGAATCATTTAAAATAAGTCATCAAGAGAGAATAATGAAAGTACAAACTCTGCATGTCTTTGTGAAGAGCAATATGATTGGACATACTGTTCATATTTTAATTCACTTGTTCAATCAACAGGCTGGAAATCAGATTCAAAAATTGATAATAAGATCAAGAAAGCACTGAAGAATTCAGTGAACAAAAGAAAATTAAAGAAAAAGATTGCAAATTGGAAGAAATTAAAGAATTTAAATGCTAATGAAGAAGTTGATGCTTCAAGCAATGTAACAGAAGATGATATTAACAAAGTCATTGTCAAGATATTTTCTAATTCAACTATCTTCACTTTCATAACAGTTTTTAACTCCACTAACATGAGCAATAAATATGAACTCTATTCATTACAGAACAGCTTCATATTAGATGGAGGTGCAGATGCACATATTTGCAATGATTTTACAAGATTTCAAAATTATCAGAACACTGATTCTTCAGATATTATGCTTGTTGAAAATACTCATTGTAAAATTCACAGATATGATGATGTTGAAGTTTATACTCAAATGCTGACAGATGCTGACAAGATATTATTACAGAATGTTCTCTACATTTCTGGCTTTCATATAAATCTAGTAGCACATGGATTGCTGTGTGCAAAAAGTTGTTATTTGAATGATGAGTCTCTTACAGTTTACTATACTGACACAAGAGATATCTTGTTCAATTTGACTGTTAAAAAGAGAAAAATGATCATAGAATACAGATCTATTAATGTTGCAACAGACAGTATAACAAAGAGTGTTTTTACTGCCTCATTGAGCAGAGATTCAGTTAGAAAATCAGTGACAGTATTGATCTTTAGTTTACTAGAAACAATGAATATTTGGCATTTAAGACTTGATCATCTAGAAAGAGAGTCTCTAACTCATCTTCTGAAGATGTCTATCAACATGAAATTTAAAAAGATTTCTCAGAGTTCTCTAACAGTGAAGTGCAGATCTTGCACTCTTTTAAAAGCAAAGCAAATTATACACAGAATGCTGTCAGAAAGATCTATACATTTATTCATGAAGATGTCTATTGATCTCATACAGTTTACTTCAGATTATAATGGAGATAGATGGGCAGTTCACTTATATTATGATTATATCCATCTGCACTATGTGAAAATAATGCAGCAAAAATTCAAAAGTTTGATGTGCACAGTAAAAATGATAAAAGTAATTCTCAATTTATATCAATTGACTATCTTAACTATTCAAATTGATGAAGAAACCTCTATGCAGTCAGAACTGACAGTGTTGGCTTAAACATATGATATAGTTGTTCAACATTCAGCATTCTACACACCAGCTCAAAATGGAGCTGCAGAGCATGCAGGAGCTTTAATAATAATGACAGTGTGTACAATGTAAATTAAAGTCAATTTATCTGAGAATTTGTGATCAGAATGTGTCAAGGCTGCAGTGTATATTTTAAACAGAATTTCAGTTAAAGATCTTGGTTGAAACATTTCTTTTGAATTCTTAGAGAAATATCTTCAAACTGCAACTCCTTTAACTGAAATTAGACATATAAGAGTTTTTGACTGTAGAGCATATTCTTTAATTAAGAATGCACAATACAGAAGAAATCAGAAGCTGACTTCTAGAGTAGAAGTTGAATATCTTATTGAATACAAATCAACAAATATTTTTCACATTTGAATTCCAGTACAACAAAAGATTATATTAATGAGAGACATTATATTCAACAAAGATACACTATTTAATTCTAACAAGATCAGCAGTAAGCTTTTATTACAGAAGAGCTTCATTATGCTGGATACAATATCTTTCATTAAAGTAAGTGATATTAACAAGATGAGCTTGAGTGAGCATGACAGCAAAGATGAAGACTTTGAGAAGAATACATCACATGAAAATCAGAAGATCATTGATCAGTCAATAAGATCAACAGAAACAATGACTAAGACACTAACTAATCAATTAGAAGAAACACATATGTAATTAACATCAGAGTCAATATCAGAGTCATCTACTTCAGACATCTACATTCAATCTCTTTCAGATGACTCAACAACACCATCAACTGAAATAGAAGTGCTTGATCAACTTTCATTGACAATCAATTATTCTGCCACAGAATCTATGAAGATGGTGAGTGATGTTGTGATTGAGTCATTTAAAGATATAACATCTACTACACTTTCTGTCACTAGCTCTATGAGAGTGGTGAGCACAAATGACAGATAATTAATAGTCAATCATTCCGTCACAGAGACAGTGAGCACTAATGATGAGATTTCAACAGTCAATCATTTTGCCACAGAAGCAGTGAATGACTCAGCTGAAGCAAGCTTAAATGAGCAATCTTCATCTTCTAGATGAAGTGCTAGAATAAGATGTCAAAACACAGATCAAATTGACAGATGAACAGCTTATACAGCAATTCTGCAGCAAACAGCACAATTGGATTCATTTTATAAAGACTATTTAACAGCTTTTACAATTATGAATTCTAGACTTTACAGAGAGAATCTTTCAAAGTCTTCAAAGAATTATTTTTCAATGTTGCAACATTCACACGCTGATGACTTTAAGACCATCATGGATGTGGAAATGGAGAAGCTACAAACAAAGAAATGCTTTGAAGAAGTAGAGAGCTCAGAAGAAATAAATTCAATCTCTTTGATGTAAATTTATACATACAAATTTGATGTTAATGATTTTTTGGAACATTATAAGACAAGACTCATTTTTCACAGAGATCTGAATATCAATGATAAACATGACATCTACACTGCTACTCTCACTGTGTGAATATTTCATTTTTTAATGACTATAACAGCTTATTTTGAAATGAAGACCTTTCAGATTGATGCTGTTAATGCATTCATTAATGCTTCATTTGATAACTCTGTTTATTGCAGACCAGCAGAGAGTTATGATAAGAAAAGAAGTGTTTGGAAGATTCTATATGTTTTATACAGTCACTTTAAATCTTCATGACTTTGATATGAAGACCTCACTTCAACACTCTGAAAACTAAAATTCCATCAGATTTGTGAAGAATCATATCTATTTGTTGGTAAGAATATTATTATCTTCTTTTACATAAATGACATAGTATTTTTATATCACAGAAAGAATGTTGGAACATTTGAGCAGTTATTGAAGAATCTAAAGATGTGTTATAAGCTTCAAGAGATTGAAGAGCTAGAGTGGTTTCTAGATATTCATGTCATACATGATAGAGATGCTCAGAAGCTTTGGCTGTGCCAGAACAGTTATATTGAGAAAATCACTAATAAATTCAATCTTACTGAGTTGAAGTCATCATGTACATCAATGATAAC